GATATCGTATCATTTGATCAACATCGCACTTCTCAACACGAAATTTACACATTCACAATGGCGCCCAAAGCAATCATTGCACCCTCCATTCTGTCGGCCGACTTTGCCAACCTCGGCCATGACTGTTCCAAGACAATCAGCCAGGGCGCCGACTGGCTCCATGTCGATATCATGTAAGAAAGCTGATCGTATTTCATTGCCCCCTCATCATGAGAAAAGAACCTCAACTAACACCAAACACAAGGGATGGCCACTTCGTCCCCAACCTAACGTGGGGCCCTCCCATCGTCGCCAAAATTCGCGGCCACGTTGAGAAGCCAACCGAGGCCTACGGCAAGGGCACCTTCGACTGCCACATGATGATTGCCGAGCCCAAGAAATGGGTCAAGGAGTTCAAGAAGGCCGGTTGCGATCTGTACTGCTTCCACTATGAGGCCGCCTTCTCGACGGCCGCCGAGTCGCCCGAGGCCAAGTCGGACAAGAAGACCAGCCCCAAAGAGCTGATCAAGTACATCCACGACCAGGGCATGCTTGCGGGTATTGCCCTTAAGCCCGCGACTTCTGTTGATGTTCTCTGGGAGATCTTGGAGTCCGAGGACCCTAAGGAGAGACCGGATGTAAGTTTACTCATGCCCTTACCCCTTATCTAATATTGGTCTATCTTCCAATGTTGGACTGGCTTGGTGTGAAGAGTGAAGACCTTGCAGAGTCAAAGGAGAAGGAGAAAGGCACATACTAAACACCCCTGTTTGGCAGATGGTCCTCATCATGACAGTGGAGCCTGGCTTCGGTGGACAGAAGTTCATGGCTTCCGAACTGCCCAAGGTTCAAGAGCTCAGGAAGCGGTATCCCGAGCTGAACATCGAGGTCGACGGCGGCCTTGGACCCAGCACCATCGACCAGGCGGCGGACGCAGGTGCGAACGTCATTGTAGCCGGAAGCGCCGTCTTCGGTGCCCAGGATCCTTCTGAGGTCATTGCGCTACTTCGTGAGGCAGTCGAGAAGAGGAACGGCAAGCTATAAGAGAGATAGTAGTAACCTGAGGAAATATGGAAGGGGCGCGAGTGGGGGAACGTACTCGCCAGGTCTAAAAGCGCCTTCACCATGGCTTGCATCTGATGAGTAGACGCTGCTCCTCCACCTTGCAGTTCAGTGTGTTAATGTCACTGGCCCTTCCCCCACAATCCGCGATCTTCTCTACCTCATGTGGCTCGACTGTGGATACTAAGGACTGTAGATTAGGTTGTGTATGCTCATCATCGGAATACCTATTTGGCCAATTCGAAGAATTTCATGTACTGAGAATGAGAGAAGCCTGTCTCTCAAGCCTTATACGATGTCACCCATTCCAACGATGCACAACAACCTGGAATACAACAGACGCAATCAGACCCGAGAGATGAGAACAGCTACTCCCTTCTTGCCAGTCTAAAGGTCGGTTCCGTAGATGACACCTACACCTTTAGTAGCATTTTGCACTATTCAGAGACGTGTGAGACCATCTGGTGCTCAGGTCAAGACGAACTGTCCCAGAGTTTATCAAAGCTCCTGTTTGTTTAGGAGAAGAAAGAAAAAAAACCAAGTTTCCAATGTGAATTGCTCTTTAGAAGCGGGATATAAAGAGCATTTCTAGTGAGGAGTTGTCCTGGGCCACTTTCGGTGCTGTAGCCAAGGTAGGTACCTAGGTACGCACCGCGTCGTTATCGATTAGCCAGCCAAATCATGCGATACTTGGCGAACGATCCCTGCCTTTCTGACCACTTTTTCGTGGGGAAAGAGGATCCGACATGCAGCGGCGGAGACAAAATTTTTGGCAAGCCTGCTCCACTCTAGTGGTTCGATAAGAGCTGCGATAACTTATGTATCAGCCCACGGCACCTTCCTGGCCAGCGTTTTTCTCCTGCTGCATTTGCACTTGCACATTTTTTGTCTCCTCAATTACACCTCGAAATTTGTGCAGACCAGCCAATCGACCTACTCAAGATGGTGAAGAGAAAGGCAGAGAATCAGGCACGGTCTGACAGCAAGAAGTCGGCCAAGAACCTGAAGAAATCGAAGAACAGTAATGCGTCCATTGGCCCCCATGCTCGCCCGGGTTCCAGTTGTGGCTGACCTGCATCACCGCACACAGCTCTCTCCCCGGAAGACACCAAGGCCCGTTTCCGCAAGGGGCTCTTCGACAAGTCCGTCCTTAACGAGTACACGCAGGAGTATGCTTCCTCGACCCCTTACAAGCACGCCGTTATCAACGAGCTAGTCGACGACTCCCTCCTCCGCAAGGTGCGCGACGAAATCAAGGACAATGTCTCTTTCACTCCCAAGGAGACCGACATCTACAAGATCCACCAAAGCGGTGACCTCGCAAACCTCGACGGTCTCGACGACGATGCCCTGTCCAAGCTGCCCTCTCTTCTCGCCCTTCGCGACGCTCTCTACTCGGAGACCTTCCGCAACTATGTTTCCCACATCACCGACTGCGGTCCTTTGAGTGGACGTAAGACGGATATGGCCATCAATGTCTATACCCCGGGCTGCTACCTGTTGTGCCACGACGACGTCATTGGTTCTCGTAAGGTCAGCTACATCCTCTACTTGACGGATCCCGATACCCCTTGGAAACCCGAGTGGGGTGGTGCCTTGCGTCTCTTTCCCGTCGAGGACCGTGAGGGCAAGGACGGCGAGATTGCCAAGACACCGCTCCCAGACCCGGTCAAGGTTATCCCACCGGCATGGAATCAGCTGTCCTTCTTTGCTGTCCAACCCGGAGAATCTTTCCACGACGTCGAGGAGGTATACCATGCTTCCAAGGAGGAGCTGGAAAAGCAGGGTGGCCGCATCCGTATGGCTATCAGCGGATGGTTTCATATCCCTCAAATCGGCGAGGATGGCTATGTCGAGGGCGCAGAGGAAAAGGCTGCCCACAAGAGTGGTTTGATGCAACTGCAGGGCAACCCAGATCAGTACGACCGCCCAATAGCGAAGCCCGTGCAGGTGGAGAAGGAGTCGAGCAACGAGGATGAAGAAAACACGTTCGACGAAGCCGACTTGGAGTTCCTCTTAAAGTACCTCGCCCCTACCTACTTGACCCCCGACACGATCGAAAACATTGCCGATCATTTCGAGGAGCAGTTCAGCATCACCTTATCCGACATTTTGCATCCTAAGTTTGCTGCCAAGATCAAGGAATACGTCGAGGCTCAGGAGGCCAAGAAACTTCCTGAGGGCAGCGAGGAGATCGAGAAGTCTGGTGCTTGGAAGGTGGCTCGCCCGCCCCACAAGCACCGCTTCTTGTATCTGCAGCCAGGCGAGGAAAATGCCCCCGACTCGCCCATCAAGGAGTTGCTGGATGTTCTGCTGCCATCCAGACAGTTCCGTCTGTGGTTGCAAATGGCAACAAGGTCCACTATTGAAGGCCATGATCTCCTTGCTAGGCGGTTCCGTCATGGCAAGGATTATACTCTTGCTACCGGGCATGATGGCAAAGCTCGTCTGGAGCTCAACATCGGCCTAACACCTACGGATGGATGGGGTGATGTCGAGGAGGAGGATGAGGACGAAGAGGAGGAGGAAGAGTCGGATGAGGAGGAGGCTAAGGGCAAGGGCAAGGGCAAGGGTAAGGCCACCTCTAACGGTAGCTCTAAGGATAAGGGCAAGGGCAAGGCTGTTGAAAAGAATGAAAAGGCTGAGGAGGAGACAGTGGAAGTCGGCGGCCACGAAGTGTATATGGCTGGTGACGATGACGAGGACGAGGATGCGGCCATCTACAAGAGCAGCGAGGACGACGACAACATTCTCTTCTTCCAGGCGGCTGCTTGGAACAAGATGACACTGGTGCTCCGTGATAGCGGGACACTGCGCTTCGTCAAGTATGTTAGCCGCGCTGCTAAGGGTGACCGATGGGACGTTAGCGGCAGTTACGAGATTGAGGAACAGGATGAGGACCCCGATGCGGAGGAGTTGGCTGCAGGAGCTGAGGACGACGAGGCAGGCTCGGAAGACGATGAGTTCAACGGCTTCTCGGATGGTCCGGATGGCACCGGTTCCGATTAGATGTGAGCACCTAAAAGTAGATGTAAGATATGAAAGATACCCGGCAATAAAAGGTGACATAAGATAATTGTGGCTTCACTACGACAATCCGTATGCGGGATGGTTCAACTACGTCAGCTCAGCCTTCTCGAGTCGCGCCGGATTTGCGAGGAGGTCGCTGATCTAAACTTTGAGAATTTAACCGCTTAACCGGCAAGTTGTCCTGATGTACACGATCAAGATGAGGATTCCGAATCGTCAAAAGGCAGTTTTGCAACATGGCGACTTCTTTAACTTGTGCAATCAAATCTTACACAGTACACTAGTTACTACACTGCGTATTATGCCGAGGTGAAAGTTCGCAAGTTGGGAGAAAGGATAACGTCATCACCATATCTCCACATCAATGACCTTCCATGACACTGGGAGCCCCGCACAATGCGATCGCACTAGGATGATAGATGAGCATTCAAAAAGACCATCTTGTCGAATGCCGTATGTCGTATGTTATAACAACACTCAAGGTTAGAACGCTTCCACAGATTGATGCATCACCACTTTTAGTGTATACATACAACTACTAAACAAAGTACTTGTACATACATACCCAATCGGCACCAACCAATCAACGATACACAAGCGGGCACTTTCGTGCGCCACCCCGGAGCACAAGTTAAAAGCGGGGCGGGGGGACCAACGGGTCAATGCAATTCCCCTTTTTGGCTCTTCAGCAGTATCCGCATGTGGACGACAAGCTGTATGGCTGCCATGGCACAGGCACAGTGTCGCTAGAGTGTCCCTGAAAGCTGCAGGTCAGCTACTGCAGTCTGTGCAGCTGGCAAACTAGAACGGCGTAAGAGTGCCCCGCAGTGCCACTCTTGGCGCCGTCGTCCAATGGAAATGTCACTAGGTATGTAACGGCCGCGAAGGTCCCTTTCGGCCAGACCGTCTTTGAGGACAATTGCGGACCATTGAGAACGTGGAGAGAGTGGCTTGGGAGTGGGAACCAGTCCAAGGGAAAGGGACTCGAGTGAATAGGGATGTTCGCTGCCCTTGATTTGCTTTTGTCCGATTTCATCTGATTTATCCTTCCATTTATACATCTAGAATTCCCATCCATTGCACCTTCCGTCGCATCTTTAGCTCTGAAGAGGAAAGTCGGCACAAAAACTCGGACGAATCCACCGCCCATTTCCTATCTATCTTCCCACACCTGGACTCTTAGTCGCAAACCAGCTACTGGACCGCCCAGTGTCACAATACAAAGCGGCATCATTCGAGTTTCATATAGCCCCATACTTGTCTTTACTACGATTATTTCAGGACCCCCTCACGCCTTAACGTTGTATACCGGTCCGACTTGACTCTTCCAACGGCGAATAAACAATCTCTTCCACCATGCCAATTCGGAATCCCTTTGCGCGCCGACTTGGCGTTGCCGTGACCCAGGACGAGAACGTCCGCCCCGGTTCCAACGCTGGTAATACCGACCTTGCCCATGCTGGCTTCGAGAGGGTAAACACGGTCGGTTTTAGAGCCTCATCGGCCTTCAACATCCGCAGCAACAAGAAGGGTCAAGATACTGGCGATTACAAGATGAGTGGTATGACAAACCAGGCCCTATCAACCAACCCCAACACCGCCTCAACCCCTCTGGACCATCGTCAATGCCAGTAGAAAGCACCATCATGCTAACTCGTCTTGTTGGTCTCAGTGGTCAATGACAGTGGTGTATACTTGCCGGTATGAAATGAAATTCCCATGTGGCATGGCTTAGAGAAACAATTCAAGCACAGGCATCTGACAGGGATAATCACAGCCCTCCCCCGTCGAGAAAGAAGCGATTTGGCCCAGGAAATACCTGTCGCGCAACTCTACGGAAACAAAGACTGCTGTTCCTGAGATTGAACACTTTTCCATCTCGAGAGAGTCCTTTGACTCCTATAGGAGGTCTTTTGTATGTTTTCGACGCATCCATCCTGCTTTCAGGCCCATGATCGCCGTACACAAATGATGGCTGACCTTGATACACTTTCCTACTTTTAGGACATATCTGCGAAGAGCCCCGTATCTCCAACCGCCGGCGAATTCACTTTCGCACCGCGCCAGAGTCTCGATTCTGCTAGGTTCCCACGCACGCCGCGACAGTCGGTTTTTAGTGAGCACCGTTTCAGGCGGGACTTCTCTACTCCGGAAGAGAGCTTCGAAGAAGTCGGCCTCAACGACGACAAGCAACAGGCCCAGCCGGCCAAAAAGCGCGGCTTCTTCTCCAAGTTTGGTTCCGATGCCCCCGAAAACGCCACCCCGCTGAAAGAGAAGGAGAACGGGCAAGCCATGTCGCGATTCCTCCCCGGCCGGAAGCGGGGACAGAGCGGACAGGGGGCAGAGCTTATGCCTGTCGCTGACCGACCATCCACTGCCACCGCCTTGCAAGAACAGGAGGTGCAGTCATGATTTATGTCAAGTAAAATTCTCCTTCTCTTCTTTTTGGCTTAACAAATTGGGATGCGGATAATGCCGGGGTTGGCCATGGTCAGGCTTTACCTACATGTTAACCTGTGGGCTCTCGGCTGGAGGACTACGTAATGAAGTCACGCACAATGTTAGACCGCACAACTAGACGGACGTCACTCCCTCATGGAGGATGACGCAGGATATGGGATTCTGGCTTTTGGGCGTTTTTGGGTAATGAGGATATTGCTCTTATGACACAGTATATACAGACATGATGGACAAGACTACAACTTAATGAATCGAGTAATTATTACATCTTGCACTTTCTCCCAGATATATTCAAGATCGTCACTCGTGGTCTCTTGGTATTTACTGCGCCTTTGGATCCTTCTTCAACGCCTCAAGGCCCTGAATAAGATCGTCTCTAAGGTCATCCCAGCTCTCGACGCCAACGCTTACACGCAACAGCCTCTTGTCAATATCCAAGTCGCTCATGGCACGCCACTCGATCAAGCTCTCGACGCCACCCAAGCTAGTAGCATGGTGGAACAAGTGCAACTTGCTGGGCAACCTCTTAGCCTGCTGCTCCGACTTGAGATATATGGAAAACACCGGTCCGAAGCCACCAGGCATCTGCTTCCGCAGCCAGCTGCCCTCCTCCTTAGCCTCGGGCTGCTGTGAAGCATGCTGGATCCTCGTCACGAACTCGCTCACCAGGCTGCCCTCCTTCGCCTTCTCCTCCACCAACCAATCCACCAGCTTCTGCGCGCTCTCCGCCTGCCTCTTGATCCGCAGTTCAAACGTCCGTAGGCTGCGCACCCCCAGCCAGCCCTCCAAGCTCCCCAGTACTGCGCCCAAGTACAGTCTCTCCTCCAACAGCGCCGGTAGCCATTCCTGAGCCTTGTCTGGCCGGAACGCCAGCACGCCGCACAACAGGTCGCTGTGTCCGCCAAAGTACTTGGTGCCACTGTGCATGACAATGTCCACGCCCAACTGGAACGGGTCCTGCAGGGGCGGGGGAGCGAAGGTGGCGTCCACGGTCAAGTAGCAACCCAGCTCGTCGGCTTTGCGCCGGTAATAAGCTAGGTCACGGGCTTCGCCGGTGGGATTGAGGGGCGTCTCGACGTGGATAACGTCGCCCGGTTGCAGCTTGGCGAGGTCGGCGTCGGACTCGAGTTCGAGCTTTTCCAGTCCGTTCAGCTTCTTCATGAGTTTGAGAATGCCGTGGCAGCCGTGGTAGCCGCCGCCGATGGCGACGCGCTTGGGGTTCAGGAAAACGATCATGGCGTGGAAGGCAGAGAGGCCAGAGGCGTAGGTGAGGGCGGGGGCACCCAGGAGGGAGGTTAGGATGGCCTCGAGACGCGTGGAGTTGGGGGCCGAGTCGCGGGAGTAGATGTGGGAGTCATAGGGGGCATTGGGCTGTGTTTTTATTGTGTGTTAGTGAGATTATGAGATTGATGATCTTTTTCAATGTTTGACGAGAAGGTGAGGAGAGAAAGAAAGAGGCATACGTTGAGGTTTTCCCATGGTTTCAAGTCGTCTGGGTTCTCGGCATAGCGAAAGGTGGTGGACACGTGCATGGGAGGCGCAACGGCCTGGTGGTTGTTGATGTAGTCGTCGGCGTGAACCGAAAGAGAAGCCATCGACAGCTCCTTGTTAGGGAAGGCCGCGGCGAGCTTTTTGGGGCCGTCAAGGACGGGGTTTCCGGTTGGGGAAGACATCTTGATGGTGTTGGCTACTTGTTGAACTGAAATGCACAGCTTGGTGAAAGTCAGGACCTTGACAGGAGTTCTGAAACTCTGTTCTATCAACCTATTTATATGAACCTACACAGCGGAGATGGTGTTATCGCCAAGTCGACCCGATGAAGAAAGTGGAATCATGTCGCCATAAGGAAGCATGGAGACTCCCGGGTCTGAACTAGTAGCCTTACTCGCCTAATGCGCCCTTGGACAAATCCACTCTTCTCGCCGTGGTCGAATGCCCGTTAGATATTGGCGCGGGGTGACTCCATTGTTGACACAGGTCTCCTCAGTTTGTCATCGCAAGGGCGGGATGGGACCCGTCGGATGCGCGTCGGATGGGGTTAGCAACTTCCTACTAGCTGAATTTGGGGGCTCGTTCGGCATGTTAACGAAAGCTTTGACCATTGGGCGAGTAGTACAAGAAAATGCGTACTGCACTCAGGCACTGTGATGCCGTTCAGATATCGCAAGAAAGATCGAATCCGTCACCAAGCCATTTGGTCAGCCGTGCCAGTCCCTGTCCAGTGCATCAAACCAAAAGATCAATGTCAGAACGGCGCAGCTTCTATCTGGCGTCCAGAACATGGGCATGTGTTGGCGATTGTCCGAGATTGGAAGTTCTTTGACTGGTTCTTTCAGGGTGGGCTTCAAGAGTTACTCCGTTTCCTGTGGAGCCATATGCACGAAAAGGGGCATCCATTTCATGGTCGCTTTCGCTTTCAGAAGAACAACCCTCTAAAGCGTTGCACAGACCCCGTCCAGCTATCGTCCCGACGCTACGGGAAGAATTCCGATGAAAGAAAACAAAGCCCTTATAGAAGTCTTCTTCTCCACTTGAAACAATCACTCATTCGATCACTCATTATTCATTAGAAGTCCAAAGTGTCTGTCATTGGCGGCGGGTGTGACTGGGTGCCTAAGATGTTGGCGACGGCGAGACTCCAAGAGGCTCCGGCGGCCGTTGAATTCTTCCTTACGGACGTCGACATCTCGCTTTCGTGTTCAAAGTTCCAAGCGTCGCCCCCTTCAGGAACGTGATTGTCAAAGGAGCCTTGAAACGTCTCATCCGAAACATAACGGTATCCAAGGGACGGGTAAGCCGAGCTTCCATGCATCGCGCCATCCCCATATTTCAGGAAAGGAACAGATTGATCTCCCGGCGGGAAAAAAGACGATTCCATTGCTTCCATGGGCTACAATGTGGCGCCCCCTTTGACGTCGAATGGCGGAATTGGCGGCAGTCATCAGGGGCTCCGTCTGTCGCAGATGAACAAGCAAACACCACCCCACATACCGTGAGGAAGACCAAGAGAAGTGCGTGCAAGCGTGCAATCTACACCATTATGGAGAGACACCCCAGACATCTCTTCCCGGTTGAGACGACTGGCTGCAGCTTGGCTTCATTGGGGGATTGGCCCCTCAAGGCAAGCAGACTGTGTTTGACACCGCAACGGTCCGAAAATGGCACCAGTCACTCCCATCTGATCGTATCCCAGGGTACCCAACACCCATTTGCACTGCTTGTCATGAGCCGGGGCCCTAATATGTTCGGACAGTTTGTGGGGAGATCATCGAACGTCGAGGCTCGTCTCCCTTCAATACCGGCAGCATGACGTCCTTCTGGACTCGTTATCAAAGATCGGCGACCGGAGACATTGGACCACCCTCTCACCCCACGAAATAACGGTTTGGTTTAAACGATGGCTTGATATGAGCCTCCGGAGAAGGCTTAGTCGATCCCGAGCTGAATAGTCTCTCGGATGGTTGCGCATGTGTATATCATGTTCTCCTCTGGCCCTCCCTTCGAGGCCTCTACTCCTCAAGTTGTTTGCTGATCTTACGTCCGTAAGGAAAGTTAAACAGAAACAGCCACCATGCCCAGAACGAAAGATGGAAAGATCACAAAACCAACGGGCGAGTCTCAAGTCCGGAGAAGGGGACGGCCGGCGATCGACTGGACGCCATCACGAAAGAGGAAACTTCTCCGGCTGTATCTCTGTACTCCCGAGTCGGGCCTGTCGTTGAAGGAGATCCTTGACCTTCTTGCCGAAGGGCCATTCCAACCAAAGTAGGACATATCCACCCTTATCCTGCCCATGACCACCAGTACTGACTGCAACTTACAGACCTCGACATACACAATGTCTGCTTAACGAGCTTCTATCAAAGTCCTACCGTCAGAGGAGGCCCAAAAGCCGAACGTCGATGGAAAGGCGACTGGCCTATCTGAGGTCCATGAGGGATGGTCGTCCGGTTTCGAATCCACCAAAGGGAGACGAGACTGACTGTACCATTCTTCTGGCCAAGAACCCGTCTAGATGGCGGCAGCAGTCCCCTGGAACCCGCTGTCCGACGAAGCGTTTGGGGCGAGAGATGACCCAGCTCAGCATATCGCACCATTTGGGGTTGGAGAAGGCGAGTGCAAGCGACCTAAGCTCAATACCACCAGGTTTCTTCACAGCAACAAGCTTCGACTCGCCAGAAGCCGACATGTCTGCCCTTGAGGTACCAGCATCGACAGGAAGGATTTTCAAGCACAACTCCAAGACCATCAAGGAGAGGCGATGCAGTCGGGTGGAAAGTTTGAGGGTGAAGCTTCCGGGACGCACTTCGTCGTTCTTGGCCGACGTCGTTAGTCTCTTGAGCGGACTTTCCATATGCTCGAGTAGTAACGCCTCTTCTTGTGCCTCTCCCCATTGGAACCAGCGTTCGTTCTTATCTAGGTCGAACTCATCCGCCACGCTATATGAAGGACGAGGGAAGAAGAAGTCTACGCTTCCAGAGGGCAAGGCCTTGTCTCCTGAAGACCCGATAGACTATAGCGACAAGTATGCGCAAAACGCCGACAGCCGGGCAAACCAAGAGCTTCTCAAACACTGTTGCAGCAAAAAGGCATGGTGCATCCACAAGCGCATCAGTGCGGTGTGTTTTGGCAACCGATCGGCCGATACCTTTGTCTGCGCCGCCGAGGAAGTGAACGACCAGGACGGGTTGGGAAACACCGCACTTCATGTTGCCGCCCGATGGATAGCTCCTGGGCCTGTCCTCTTCCGGATCTTGGCGATGTCGACAACCGTAACCCTCAATACGCCGAACCACCTTGATGAACTCTTCCTACACGTGCTCAACCCTCGATCACTTGACATCAACGAACTCGCTCACTTCACGAGATATCTCGTTGGCCGCGAGTTCAATTTCTGTCAACTGGACTCTTCCGGCATGACATTCATCGAGCGCCTTATGGCTCGTCTCGACTTCACTATTGAGGCCCTCGAAACCATCTTCTCCTACCTCCCCGAAGCCACTCGCCTCGTTCTCCTCAGGCACCCCTCCAGCCACAGCCTCAACCCTCATCATACCCCTCAACCGCCTCTAATCCAAGCTATCCGAGCTCGTCTAAACGTTATCGAAGGCAACAGCCTCATCCCCGACCCCTCCCAACTCGAAGCCGCCTCAGCCTACTGTGACTACTTCCTCACCCGCTACGGCACAGCCTACCGTACCGTCTGGATCAGACCCCCTTCCCTCTTCGCCCACGTCCCCGTCAACCCTCAGGGCCGCAACAACCTCCACCAAATCGTCGCCTCCCTCAACGTCGGGCGCAACCTGTGTCCGCCCACCACCGAAAACCTCTGCTATTACACCCCTCCCTCCGCCACTCCCCCACCCCCGTCCTTCGGCGACACCAGCTTCCTCGACCTTGACGTCGACGTCATCGAACCCAGCGCCACCATGGCAGCCAACCAGCACCAAAGATGCCCTACACTCACCACCACAGCTATCACCACCAGCCTCTCCTTCCCCCAAGTCCTCGCCCTCGCCCTCGCGGGCGACGTCCCCGAAGACCCCAACAACCGCGACCTCCCACACTTCCGCACTCCCCTCATGACCCTCCTCCGCGGTTTCGCCTGGGGCAACCATTACCACCCCCACTATCCGTCACAACCACCCGACATGCTAAGGGAATGCCTCCACCTCCTGCTCGCGCACGGCGCGCGGCCGGAGCTAGTCGACATCGACGGCAACAACGCTTTGCACCACGCGGCCGAACTGGGATTGCTGAGTGCCGTGGTGGTGCTGTGCACTCATGATCGGGACTTGCAGAGGACAATGAATCGTACGGGACAGACGCCGTTGGATTTGGCAATTCAGAGGATGAGTGTAAAGGGATATATGCCGATGACGGAGGCGATGAGGAGGGTGGAAAGGCATGCGGAGGTGGTGCTGTACTTGGAGACGGGGGTTGTGATGGGGGATGAGTGAGTGTCATGGATTGAGTTATATGATAATATCTCTGTTTTTTTTCTCGCCTTTTTGTTTTCCCTTAGACTGGCTTCGGTTCGCGTGTGTAATGTGTTTTTTCTTTCTTTTTTTAACGTTGACGTGATAGATGCTAGACTTAGACTTTCCGGCGTCCCTTGCTTACATGGACCTTCCACTAGATATTGATCATTAATATAATCAAATGGCGGTTCAAAGCACGTCTAGCTGCTGGTGCGTTACTATGCTCGACGGCAACTCTGCTCCAATATGATATTGTTGTTCTGGTACGTGCTATTGAGCTGTACCGTAAAAGTGCAGGGTAGGTGACAAATCTCGCTCTGCGCCAGAACGATCGCCCAGGGGTCTTCACCAATCGGTAGGGCTGTAGTTGCCTGCCCTGTGCCTTCTGTGCCCCTGGCTAGAGGCGCCGTGTCTCCACAATTCCCCGCTGTCAGAAATTTGCAAGCCGACCGGTCTACGGCGGGCGACAAGAGGAGGGAGGTCCCGTCCCCGCCCCGTGCCGGACTAGTCAGTCGATGTGTCTCGTTTGTTTCGGGGACCTGACAAACCCGCCAGTGGATGATGTAAACCAAGCCCAGGCCCGACGTTCACTGTAACCTCAGCTGGAGCCTCGTCGTCGCCTTTTCCATCAACTTGAACATCACACTCGGATCTCATTCCATCATTTGTCTGTGTTTTTACTCACATTCATTCAACAAGGCGAAATCTCACGCTTATTCTCATTCAAGTTACACATCCATTCTTGGAAGAAAAGGATCGACCGTTTGTTCGTATCTCACACTTTTATCGCCGAAAATTCGTCAAAATAGGCCGACACGGGAATCACGGCCTCAGCGCCAAAGGAACACTCGCGGACTACCAAAACGACGACGACTTTGTCGGCTTTGACGATTTTGCCGTCGGTGGGAAAACCCAAAAGAAACCCAAAAAACCCAAGAAGCCAAAGAAGCCACGAAGGAAAATGGGTCAAGAAGTCTCTGCCGTTCCTGAAACGACCAAGCCTGAGAACCTCTCAGAGCGCAGCCTGCCCGCGGTCGCCGACTACATCAAGTCCGGCAAAGCTCGCAAGGTTGTTGTCTTGACGGGCGCTGGTATTTCGACTGCTGCTGGCAGTAAGTTGGGTTCCCATTGATGCCAATTTTCCCGTTCCTTTTTGCTCACCCGTCGTTTGCAGTTCCTGACTTCCGCTCTCCCGAGACTGGCCTCTACGCCAACTTGGCCGCCTTGGAACTTGAGGAGCCCGAAGATGTCTTCAGTTTGCCTTTTTTCAAGGAAAACCCCAAGCCATTCTACGTGCTCGCAAAGGACCTTTATCCAGGCAAATTCCACCCTACCATCTCGCATGTCTTCATCAGCCTCCTCGCCACCAAGGGCCTCCTGTACCAGCTCTTCACGCAAAACATTGATTGCTTGGAGCGCGCCGCCGGCGTCCCCGCTGACCTGATCGTCGAGGCCCACGGCAGCTTCGCTTCCCAACGCTGCATCGATTGCAAGACGCCCTACCCGGACGATAAGATGCGCGAACATGTCAGCCGTGCCGAGGTCCCACACTGCGAAAAGTGCAACGGTCTGGTCAAGCCCGACATCGTCTTCTTCCACGAGAACCTCCCCTCCCTATTCTTCGACAGGAGGCACATGGCCGAGGAAGCTGATCTGATCCTCGTTCTCGGCACCAGCTTAACCGTCCATCCCTTCGCCGGTCTTCCCGATCTTGCCCCCTTCGAAGTTCCTCGCGTCTTGTTCAACATGGAACGCGTAGGGTCTCTGGGCTCTCAACCCGATGACGTCCTTGTCCTCGGAGACTGCGACACTGGTGTGCGGCAGCTGGCTAGCGCGCTCGGGTGGCGCGAGGAGCTGGAGGCCGAGTGGAGGAAGCTGGTAGGCGACGAGGAGGCGGACAGGCAGTTGGAGGGTTCGTCAAAACGCCAGGTCGAGCTCCATGATGAGGTCTCGCAGCTGGTTCATGATGTCGATAAGGTACTGCATGTGCATGACGTGAGCAGCAGCGGCAGTAGTTCGCCTAGTCCTGAGGCTGTTGCAGAGAAAGAACCAATTGCGGCCACCCAGCAGGAAGTGCAGCAGAACGAATCTGCCTCGGTTAAGGAGAGTGTCGAAACAACAACAACAACGTTGACAGAGGAGGTCAAGGTTTCCGGCGCTTGAGGAACGGAGTGGCGCAGGCGTCACGTAGAAGACATGGCTTGGATCAGGTTGGAGCCGGGTATTCAATAAAGGGATGTGTCATCGAAGGACTTAACACCGGCCGTACGATATCATACTGCAGGAAAGTATCAGTGATTGATGGCGTTGGTAGGGTATAGGAATTGGGTTTGAGACAGGTTTGGGCTGGCGAGTTGGCTCGTCTGTATCACGAATTTTTCTTTGCTTTTTTTCTTCTTTTAGTTGTTATTTTTTTTTCCTGGCATTGTCAGTCAAGATACCTGTTCCTGGTGTTTGCATTCGATAATCGTTCCTGCAATCTGTCGGCATGGTGCAACATCATCTTCTGGGAGAAATGAGGCCTTCTTCCATGTACTCAGACGATGTCGGTGGCTGTTATCACTCCAGCACCTTTATCCAGTCCCATTCGTCCCTTTACCTTCCCATTTGTAAGTAGTCGAGACCCTGACGGCGAACCGAACGAAGCCATTAAACGCGACATGTCATGGCTGAGCATAATAGACTTGATCGGCGATCGCGATTATGGTCAACCCTATCGGACGGGTCATGGTTTCAGGGTGTTCTCACCACTGTAAATGCTTTTGGGATCTCCACGTCTCTAAACTTTGGGGCATCGTCTTTTTGTTGTCTTGATTATTGATGTCTGAGGCGCAGTCACTGATGTCCCAACCCTATCAACACCACAGGCATCTAAAGCGAACATGCCAAAAGACCGCGTGCTCTGGTAACTGATCGGCCACGAACTTGATCAGAGTAAGTTCTACTCTACCCAGCATTACAGGAGTCATTCTTCACCTGATATAACGGCAGCTTCCTGCCTCGAAGGCCATGTTTTCGACATTAATCCATTGTTCAATGAACATTTCCCCCACTCAGCAGCTACCACATGCATAACGCCGGCACTTCGCCCCAACTACAGCTGTACGATCAATCCACTAGGACCACTTTGCATCGTTTTTCGCTCGCAGATGGTGTGTTTAGGGAATCGCGTACTGCACGAGCACTCGCCTTGCAATATGCAACAGGCGAAGAACGCGTAGTATGCATCGCGCCATGTATAAGGAATTGCCTCCCCTCCTCTAGCTTCATCAGTCATCATGTTTGAGTTGAGGCTTACCTCCAAATCAACACCGACCAAGCACAGCAGGATTTGCCGATCCAGAACAACGCCACGTCAAAGACCATGACTTTTTCATCATCCAACCCCCAGAACGGGGCAGAACCAAGCTACGCAAACGTCTGGGAGGACACTGAGACGGAATCGTGTGGCAGCCCCTTGCCTCGTGTGATAAGCTTCTCTCGGCGGCCAATGGCGCAATTCAGCTGTCCCAAAGGAGGCATATCTGATATCGCCAGACTTGTTGCAGCAGAGAGGAAACAGTTCAACCAATATTTGAAACCTTCTCTCATGACAGCACTGCTCAAGCCATCTCCGATCGTTGAACCACTAGTCTCACCCACTATCACAGAGAATCCTATCATCTTTGAGACTAATAGACCCGGAGCAACAAGAACAAATCGGGGCCTCGAGTCTCTTCGAAATTTCCATGATTTCGGAATATCAGCTGCCTCCAACGCGCCTGTCTCTGCTGAAAGCCAAATCCTTGATCCTCCCCCGGCCGCATGGCCAGACTCATACGAGGAACATGACCACTCACCCCTATCTCCTCCAGCGTCACTCATCGCAGAACCTTTTGACCCTCAAGACTACCAATACGACAAAAGGCACCGCCCGAGCATCCCTGATCAACAACATCTGTCGCACCCTATCCGCGAATCTCAACCGGCATACTCCGCTTTCCCCGCCTACTGCCCACGGAAGCAGTTCCAGGCATTCCCTTCCCTGGCATCCTCTTTGTCCAATTCGTCATCATCACCACAAAGAGATTGTTCCCCCACCCGCAATGACAGCGCTGTCGCTGGAATTTCTCTTGGAGCTAGCGGCGGCTCTGAAACCGAAGCCAGCACCCGCGCTGTAATTAAAGCCATGACCATAGCCGGCTCCAAGACAGACCCGCTCTCCCTCGCCTCTCCTCCGCTCACCGACTGCACCGACTTCACTCATTGATTCATGGACCGCCGCCGCCGACGTCGAAGCCGACGCCTACCGCGGCCCCTCATCCCGTGCATCAACCACATCGAAAGCTGCAGCAGACCCCGCCTCCTCCCCCTCTTACTGCACCCGCTGCGTCGTACCCCTCATCTTTGACATCTCTTATCTCGACCAGGACGAGAGTTGGGAATGCTGTAGCTGCGCTTCCAACAATAAAAAGTTGGGAATTTCATTGTGCTAGGTGTAGGAGGCATGGGAAATGTCAAGGGCGTTGAGTGTGTGTGTGTGCGTGTGTGTGTGAGGACGAGGATGCGAACAAGATCTGGATAAGTGGAAGAGCAGGATGACAACTTGAGCGTGATGCTGGAGAGGAAGTCGATTTTGACTGAGTGGCTTGTTTGGGTGGAGATCAGGAGAGGGTATATGGGAAAGGAAAAGGGGGCATGGAGGGGGTGTACTGGTTTTGAGGATGTTGGATCGGAACGTTTGAGACATTGCCGGTCATGGAACTGGAGGTGTTGGGGGATCGGTAGTGGCCAAGAAGTATTTCTGTGTCGAGACTGATTGTGGATGAAAAGGACGGAGAACAATGAAAAGCCATTCTGGTTTGCGAACTTTCGAGTAATCAGGGTGCCGGAAGGTGGTTTGAATTGGGTCTCTATGAGAAACCTAACAGGTGGCCTACATGATCACTCGGGCCTTACGAACTCGTATTCGCCCGAAAAATGATTCAAATTGACGATACTGCTCATCTATGACTTATCATTCGTTTGAAGCACTGAACTGGTTCCTTTGGCAACGTACCTGTGATTCACAAGGTCATTTCATCGGGCACTGATGTAGGTTCAACACAGTGTAGAGGTCCTATCCAGGCTGTGATTATGAGGGAAAACACCGTGCAAGATGGCCAACGGCCTTTGAGCAGTGGCCAATGTACCCCTTCCGGCCGTTGGCCAGCGTGCTATGATAGTTCCCATGAGGTGTCTTGACCGGATGTGAATAGCTTGTATATCATCCTCGAAATTCGCTCTTTGGTACAACCTACCAATTGCCTCTTTTCTTTCCACATCCACTCGAATAATATTTCGCGCCAGGACCTCAAGATTGGCACAATCTCACTGCTGTCAAAGTAGTAACCAGCCAGCCCAGTTGACCCCCCAAGAAGTCAAAAGAAGAAGAAGAGGCAAGATGTCGGAAACCGGCTGGAGATGCTGCAACTGCCGAACCAGCAACTCGTACTAGGAGCACTTGTGCTGATTCTGCAAGATTCATTCCAAATGCAGCGATTGTGGCAAGGACACATAGGGGACCGCGTCATCCGTGATCGCACCAAGCTTGGGGCCGTCCGCAGGGGTAGATTGCTAAAACTCGGAGTAGCGGATATACGTTCGGCGGAGTGCAGCAGCATACGGGAGATCAAGGGTTGATTTTCAGGGCGCTCGCTAGGGAGCGATCTGATAGTGGCTCGAAGAGGGTATGCTGGTAGCTGGAACTAAGTCAATCAAGGCCGATTGTGGGTGGCAACCTTTGTATTGGCTGCGTGCAAAACGGGGATTTTGGAGCCTGAAGTGATGAAAGGCATCCTACACGGTACCGTAGCGTTAAAATTGGGAGAGCATAAGCCTAGCCAAAGCAAGTAGTCTTTGCGACGATGATGGGTTTTGCGTGCGAAGGGACTTCTGAAAATCTGAATGGTCAGATTATTTCCTACCTCTACCCTATGTCAGTGTTCTGGGATAAAAGTTCCTTCCCGAGAAAAAAAAAAATAAATATTTTTCTTCATCAAGCCTTTGTCATATGATAGCGGCCGTTCATCGGCTATCAAGTCTTAATATCGTAAACTACATAGGAGGCTGTTCGGCCTGATGCTGAGTTGTGAACGCTTCCAGATACGGTTGGAGACCGCGAGCAGTGGTTGACACACTGACTCCAACCGTTAACCACAGTAATATGGTGCCCAAATATACCAGTCTCTGCTTTGGCGCCGATGATCATGTATATCAACCACGGAGCCCCCTCTTTCTAGGGGTTCATCACTCCCCATTCGCATCGTCCATCACTTGCCAGCCGTGATACAACTTCTCGCGTCTACGCCACCAGATTCTCTCAGCACGACATTTCCCCAAACAAAGCCAGGCATCCAGATCATTGGTAACCAGACATGACGAGAAAAAAGCTCCAGTCCAAAATGGCTTGGAAATGCTGCAACCCAAGACCAACAGGACGTCCTAGGAGGGCTTGTGCTAGTACTGCAAGTTCATATGAAGTGCAACGTCTGTAGAACGGCCACTTCGTTGCGTATGCCGACGGGTGCAAGTACAAGTGCGGAGGTCGTCGACGATAGTGGCTGTCGGCGGTCGTCGGTCATTGGCGGCGACAGCGGAGGCACGGCGTAGACCTGACGCGTAGCACCTCTATGAGGGCTGAGAAGAGCCGAGGCCCGTGTCGGTTCCAGCGGACACGAGCTACTTGCAGGAAAGAGGTAGCAGAAAGCATGTGATGGTGGAAAGGGAATGTTTGTGGGCGCTTCGGTCTTGAAAGGGCGGAGGAAGGTGTGCTTGAGGTGAGGAGAGTGAACGGGGAAGGGGCGTGGTGGCAGTTCACCACCGGACTGTGTGGGCCGGAATTTGGGGATCCAAAAATGGTCACCACTTTCACCAGTGTAGGAATTCGCAAATATGCAGGCTGGAAAATCTCGAGGCATTGCCAGCATTTTTCTTTTCTTTTCTCCCTTTTCGGGGTGGTGATACCATCAGGATGATAAGTCTGGACATGGAAAGGGGTGGAACGCAAGAGTAGTTGCAATATATTTATACCTGCATATCCCTACTTGTGCAGCTAAATGACTCAAGCTTCATACTGAGCCTTTCCTAGTGTACGTGCATCCTATCTGTCTTGTTCCTCGTTTATGGCTTGGTCCGAGTGGCTTGTGAAGTTCTACCTCATATACACCAGCGTGGTGGACAATGCATATAAGTGGCAGCTAGGAGGACAGAAAGACACCTTTATAGGATTGTTACCTGCACCGTCCGTCATATTAGGCAAGTATCTCTGATGACAGTATGCGTGGATAGGATATTGCTGGTTTTCTCTTGACCTGGGACGGGTCCGTGACGCGCAGCTGGTTGGATGTTAGGACAAGTATGCTCTGGAGTTGAGAATGCGTATAGACGCATCGCAGCTCAATCAGTAGCTCACACAACCGGTTTTGCCGGACTTTCGTAACTGACCAAGGACACGAAGATGCTGCCACATATTCTCCGAGAAGCAATATAAAACCCCCCTTTCCCCTCCCTCTGACTGTGTTTGTGCTTCCCAGTATTCATCTCCCAAAATCTCGCCGTTCCATCCCGGTTCTCATATCGTCTTCTGCGAAGTTGACACTCCTCTTCCTCATTCATGCTACGTGGCCAAGATCGTGCCCAGTCAACAAATCCAATATTTCGAGGTATGTTAGTTCAAAGACCCCTTGCCTTATTATGTTCAACATTTTGACCGAGTTACTGCAGGGAGTTACCGCGGGTCAACACAAATCCACCCAAGACCACAGCACCGCTAAGCTATTCCGAGCACAAGAACACGGATACAGAAAAAGAAGCTTTCAGAGAAGATGCCGCTTCCTGAAATCATTTACACCATAAGGCGTCTTAACACCGGCGAGCACGCCCCTGTGTGGGAAGAGGAAAATGAGGACATGCATGACAGCAGCTCCCGATCGCTTCTGACCAAGGGGCTACGGAAGGAAAAGGAGCAGCCCACCACTACTAAGCTTGGACCTACCCTTCCAAATGGCGAGATAAGGAAGCGAAAGCGAGTCACCTTTGCTGTGCCGGCACCAATTCCGGCCAAAATCGACCAAGATCACCTCCACACGATGTCTACAATTGACAAGCTCGCCGAGGCGGAACCCCAAAAGCGACCGGGACTGAACCCATTCACTGCCGTCGGTCCAGTCTCTGCCGTAAGCTGCATCACCAAAACCGGCCCTAGGAAGCCCATGTTGCTCAGTGAGGTTAGTATGAACGAACCTTCAGATTCACGAAATCGCATGCTGTCCGACTTGATCAGGACCCTGGACAGCAAGAATGGTCGAAGAACTCGGAACAGATCGGGACATTGGCAGTGGCCCCCCCTGAGCAGCAAGCAGTGGTGGACGCGGCAACATCTATGCGAGACATGCAAGAAAATCAGCAGACGAGTGAACAGGGCTCGTCTTCGGCTTCAACAGAGCACGAGGAGGAAGATACCAAACTCATTTCCACGATGGACCCGGAAGACCCAGAAGACAAACCCCGCAACAAGTGGCTCAAAATTCCCGGTCAGATCTGGAGGAACACCACCGTATTTCTCGCCAACACCGTCGACCACCTGCCCTTCTACACTTCCCTCAAGGAGAAACAGTGGCAGGCAGCAACACGCATGTGGCAAGAGGAGGCCAACAACAAACGCATGAGCGTACCTAGCACAAAAAAGAAGGCTGAGAACTCCCATCACACACCTTGGCTGCGCTGCGACGGACTCTAGGAAAACATCACTATGGAGACTCGAAGGAAACACCGCAGTCTCGGGATCCGCACCTTACGACATCACTCTCGTCTTCTCCCACCTCCGTCTACTCGCTGACTGGAGGTTACAATCGGAATGCGCAACTTTCTAGTTTATTTATTGATTTGGTAGCCCTACAGTAACAAAAAGAGAAGGAAGGAAAGGAGCAGACGCTTTTCCACAATTGTAACAAAGCAGCTGCTGTATACCTACACAGGCACAACACTACGATCCGGGAAGGAACCAGGGCATGGAAAACAGGAAAGAGGGCGTTTGAGCTTTGGGTAATTTCATGGTCATTTATATCAACATCAGCGTTTATATCCGCAGTCTTGGAATCTTGGTCAGCTTTGAGGCAATTGGATTTCAAGAAAAGGCGTTTGGCAGGGAAAGCATCGATTTTCTGCATTTGTCGACATCGGGCTGGCGGGTATTTGGGAACTTTTAAGTTGGTTCTCGGATTTCCAAATGGGCTCCAGCGATTGATAGGACGGTTTAATTTCGGGCGATTTTTGTATTTTGCTCACAGCAATGGCTCATAATGAAACTCAATTCCCTGCAGCCATAGGGAGAGCAAAAACTGGTTTGGGATCAGAACAGTTGGTCACCAATGCAGTATCTGGGAGGGGTTTGGATGAGGAAAAGGTTAGGTGTAAATGAGGTTGAATCTGAACAACAGAGAATTTGGGAAGATCGAGATACGAGTCTCCAGATCAAACGATGAAGCAAATTGAAGCTCAAATCACAAACAACATCAACTTGAGTCTCCGTGATGTTCAAGATTACAGGTTTCTGATAAAGCAGGCAAGTAAGCAACTGAAGCAAGCAAGCAGGTTTGGAAGTCTCAGAGGGCCTTCGACAGATCACGATTTCGATACCGTAAACATCACATGACAACGCACCACTCCTTCCATCTCCTATTTCCCATCTGCCACCTCTCCCCTTTGACGTCGCGCAAACACGCCGAACAAACAACCCAGTTTTTACAAAAAAAATGAGAATGAAAAAAAAAAAAAAAATTGAAAATTTTACTTACCACGTAGGCTTGTAAAACGAACGACACTCAATGCTCTAGCTGCAGACCTAGGAAAATCAACGAGAATTGCTGCGCCATGCAAGGGAAGTAAGACCACATGAACCATTTTACTAGAGGGACCAGGTGACGGACCTTAGGATATGCCCGCTGGCAGTCGCCGTAATTACGATGTATTACAAATTGTCGATTGCAGAGGAAGGAGGAAAGAGCGATGCGGGACACTCCCACATGACTCTGCGTGAAGATAAGTCGAGGTAACGGACATGACAAGGCAAGATAGTACTTGCATACACCCGCATACTCATGATGTTATCATGACAAGTATTGAAACTGGTAGGTATTTCCCATAACTTCCACCTTATCACCATATGCAACTTCGGCGTGTAAAAATTGTACTGCAGCGTTTTGAAGGCATCGCGACATGCAGTCATGCGCATCCGGATGTTGCATGACTGCAGCACCAAAAATAAGCCTGCGTGTCCAACTCGGCAACAAGCTCTTCCGAAATCTCCTGCTTCAGCCCATAAGTAGGTACTTCAAACATGTTTGAAGACTGCAGAATGGAGCAGTAAACCATCGGCGTTTACAAACAATAAGAACAACCAGATCATCAGGCCATATGCAATCCAACAGACCAGAAGAATCAAGATCCAAACAAAAGGGTATTTATGTACCAAAACAAGCCCAACCAAATCACACCTAACTCCCAAGCCCTACTACGCCTAATGCTCCCTGCACGACAGCCTGGGTCTTCATGTCCCACTGTCAATCTGATCAACAACCGTGTTCTGACTCCACGCATCCCACTCCCTACACACCTGCTCCATCTTACCTGGCATCCTATCTCCTCCCCATCGCCTCCTCACCTCGTCCGGCTGTGTCAAAAAGCTGGCAACGAACCCTCCCGACGCATGCCACCCGATATGGCAATGAAACGCCCATATGCCCGGATTGTTTGCATCAAACTGCAGCACCAGGTGCCCGTGGGGCCTGACAATCTCGGAGTCTCTTCGCACGGGGTTGGAAGGGCGGACAATTGTCTTACCGTCCCAGTCACCGGGGCCGGAGGAGAGAACGTAGAAGTTATACCCGTGGAGGTGCATTGGGTGTCTGTTTTCACAACGGCATCAAGTTAGTTTTGGCTTTTCCTCTTTCTCGAGATCTCAAGAAGGGAAGAGGGGCGAAAAAAAAGAAAAAGAAAAAGAAAAAAAAAAAAAAAAAAAAGACTCACGGTCCAGGCCCCTTGTTAATGACAACTACCCTCACTGTCTTCGCCGACCCAAAATCCTTCACGTTCGACACCTCTGGGAAACTCATGTTTCCCTTCATCACCATATCCAACGCCGGGTGATTGTAATCCACCCTCGCACTCACGCCATCAAACAAGAACAGAAACACATCTGACGCGTTCCTGTACGCCTCAATCTTCATCTCCCTGGTCACCGCCGGCTCTCCTCTCACGGGAATCGGATAAAGCGGCTCCCTCTTGTCCAAATCGTCGCTCGCTCCACAAGTACTGTCCGGGTCGCCCGCGTCTGCCCACGGCTGACTCGACGGCGCTGTTTCGGGGTCTGCTTGGTCGTAGTAAACGGCCGCTAACGCAAACGGCTGCTTGGCTGCAGAGCACTTGGCCAGGTCAGAGCGCATCCAAAAGGCAGACTTGGGGTCACTGCCAGCGGCGTTGGCAGTAACGAGGACGTCAGCGCGCTGACCAACGGCAAGGGAGATGGCCGTGACATTGTAGGGTTTCACGGGGACAAAGTCGTTGGCGATGACGGTCATGGTATGTCCGTCAATGGAGAAGCGTTGGACGCCGTCGGCGCCCGAGTTGACGAGCCTTAGGCGATGGGTCTTGCCAGTTTGGAACTTGAACTTGGAGATACCCGCGTTGGGAGTGCACGGGGTTTTGTCGCCTGCTGCGCCCGCGGTATCACAATCAAAGTTCATCTTGCCGTTGATGAGATTATTGTCCGAGGGCACACTGGGACTACCGCCCGGCGCGAGCATGTCCTTGATCAGGTCGAAATAGGGGCGGTGGTACCAGTCGCTGAGCATGACGGGGCCGAGGTCGATGTCGTACTTGGCCTGTGTGGGACCGTGGACGACGATGGGACCGACGATGCCACCGGCGTATTGCGCTGAGTAGTGGGCGTGGTACCAGGATGTGCCGTAGAGACTTGCTTTGAACTCGTACGTGTAGCTTTTGCCAGGAGCAATGGGACATTGGGAGACACCGGGTGCGCCGTCATCCCATGGGGTATCTTCCTGGAGGAAACCGTGCCAGTGCATCGCCGTACCCTCCTCCGGAAAAGAAATGTTGTTGAAGACGTTGACGACAATCATGTCACCCCAGTTCGCCTCAATCAGGGGGCCTGGAAACGCGCCGTTCACTAGTAAGACGTCCCGTTGGTATCCATCCGGTGCAATGAGTCCTCGGCTGATGACAAAGTCGTATGTTCTCACTGCTCCTGTTGCAGGACTCTCGGTGTATTGGTTGTTGCCCAAGTCGGTCAGGTTTCCCCATGGATATTGTCCATCCGGTGTTAAATTCCCCAAGAAGAATGCTAGAAATGGAAAGAGAAACGTTCCCAGTCGGGATGAACTTGAACGAGATGACGTTAGTGGTCTTCTTCCTCCTCTGGAAGAAAGAAATGGAAACATACCCATTTGTTTCCTCTTGAACCAAGTTCGCAACAACACCTGTAAGTTTAGAGCTGACCTCTACTATTGCGCGTCCTACTACACCCATGATGAAGAGTAAAGGGAAGAAACAGAAGATATATCTTGTCCACCCTTATAAGTGCAACCGAGTTGTCGAAAGGAAGACTATGGGTATGAGTGTCCAAGAACGGCCGAATATCCTCAGCTACGAAGAACTACATCGTTACTACTTATACAAATCCCCTTGGGAGACTACGACCGCAAGGGCCTACCGCTTTGGCGCCATCCATGACACAATAATCAACACAGGCCTACCCAGTCCATAGCTATCCCCGAGAAACGCCCCGTGATGTGACCAGCACACCGGGAGAGAAAAAAAGGAACGGCAGGATGGATAGGTCACAGATGCTGTTTGGGATCGACCCTCTACCCCGATCGACATCCTCCGTGTCTGTTGCACCTGGTCGATGCAGCAAAGTACACATTATCCCTGAGAATGATGTTGACGGTCTGTCAACGGAGTCATAAGGTACCATCCGAGATCCGGCGTAGAAACAAACTTAATGTCCACAACTTCGGAGTAATAAGGATCAGCACTGTCCTTGAGCCATGTCACCTAGTGTTAAGGAGTTGTTCAGCTCAGCTGGACCAGCATATATATTTTTGATATTAGGGCGCACAAAGACCAAGTCGATTGTGGCATCGGATATGTCGGACAAAACTCACAATATATCCGGCCTGCCCACCGCTAGGAGTAGCCATAGAGAGACACTTGGATAAACCGAAAACACCAGATGGAGGTTCACCGTTGAAGTGCGAGGTGGACAGCAAGGGGATCTCAATGTAACGATCTCCAGGTGTTGAATTGTCGACGATATGATGGGTACAGCTCCACGGCTCCCATTTTCCTGGACCGCGAGATGACGAGCACTCCGTTATCACTGGAAGAACGCTAGGAATAGCGAGAGGGGTAAAGCCACTGCTGGCCATTGCACTGAGCTATCATCTCGTAAAGTCTCTGGTAGTCGATCAGGCAGTCAGCCTTCTTGAAAGTAAGGAGAGAATACTAGGTACTGACGCCCAAGCAGCGTACCGCACAGGCTCGCACGGACTTGATGTTAATCTGTGAGTCGAAAGTGCATACATATATGTGTACCGTATGGTCTCGCGCAACTCGTATTCCAGGACAGGCATAATCGTGCGGACCCTGTAGGGTCAAAGGTCTACCAGTTGCGTTTGGCTGTGTGTATGTGGCTGTACGAGCAATGGTAAAGCTATAACCCGGCGTTGCCGCACTCTTCGATGCAAGGGAAATGTCGGAGGCTCAATCACAATTATGATCGCCGGTGCAGGAAGCAAGGAACTGGTGAAACAGAATACAGCGCCAGAAAATGGGAAGGCTGCTGACGACCTTGGAAAAGCCCAGAGCATGGCTACGAATGCTGCCGGAACAATGGGAACTAAACTGTTCGGTCAAATCCGTCAGCTAAAAAGAATGAAGCAATGAAATGTAACTAGCTTTAGTCAATTGATCTTGACGTTGCGCTGTATTCGAAGAGAGGGTCGCAATGTTACTAGGTCAACGAGTCCGGACCGCAGCGGGATGTATGCAGATGCAACAACACCCAGAACCGATCCCCTTATATGAGACTGTGGCATGTCTAGAAGCGGATGTATTCCTCTTGCCACGGATCTCAGCCTCCTTTGACTGGCACTTATTGCAAGTTTCGAGCTACTGCTGCTGTCCCAATTCCGTACAGTGGTAAAGACGATTTCCCTCCAAAATTTTCGCCCAGTTTGTCTCCCCACAACGGAAGCGACGACGGTTGAGTATTTGTTAGTTCGCTGGACGAGGTATTCTCAAGGGAGTGAGTGGCTATTGCTTAAGATTGCAAGTACGATGAATTTTTTGAGCCGCATGAAATTGTCTCAGACGGTATTAGGGTGCTTGTACGTATCGATTACTTGGCCGCCTTTAGCCAGGGTGTGAAACTTTTAGCGCTGATCTCGTTTTGCATATTATGCGTGTTGCTGAATTCCCATTTCGCCCAAATTGACTTGCTAATTCAGGCTCAATGTTGTAGCACAGCCGAAGAGCCTCATCATGCCGGTCGGCTTGCACAGCATGCCATCCGTAAGGCTGGCCTGTTGTCATAGAAGTTAGCAAACATTTGTTGAATACGAGCGCAGAAGCCCGAAAGCACCCTTCCTGGGTTGTAGCTCGTCAAAAGTCATATCGGACAAAAGGGGCCCAAACTAATCCACGAAATGATTCGAATTTCTGTGAATTCTGAACAAACGCCCAAGACGCCGTATCCATAGTCGCTCCCGAGTGCGGCCCTATTATTTACACATAAAGTACAGCAAATCGTGCCTCCTGCGTGGACGCTTAGTCGGAGCGACGAGTCGGGTAGTAGGCGGGGCGGAAGGCCTGGGCGGCCATAATCATGGGCCTCCTCTGGGCACGGTAATAGGCCTCGGCGACGATGGGCGAGGAGTCGGAACGAATGACGCTGCCGATGGACATGAAGAAGCTGGAAGGACGGTTGTGTCAGCGGTAGAGTCCAGTACAAAATTCTGTGTCGAAGGGTTTTCCTACCCAAAGGTCGCGCCCGAACCGAGCATGTACTGGCCCAATGTCCTCATGATACCGTTAGGGCCGGCACCATATCTGAAGATGTTGACGGTTCCTGGAGAGTGGCGCACGTCAGGACATGCCTGTAGGTCAATCGAGTCTTTGGGCGATGGGCCTACCGAAGATGAAGCCAATGATGCACCCGACAGCTGTAATCGCAAGAGGTTAGCGACCGGAGTCTATCATATCAAGGGCAGGGAAAACAGACTGCCGCCCATCATGGCACCCATCTTGACTGCGAGGATGGCATCATGTTAGCACGCTCCATGTTGTTTTTGGTCATCGCAAACCCCTCTCGAGTTGTTGCCGTGGAGTCAGCCCATACACTTGTCAAAGTTGGAGGGCCCAACGGCACCACCGTGCTGGGGAGGAGGAGGCATCTTGGTGTTTGGCGGTATGGAATTGACGACACTGCAAAGCTAATTGCGGCCAGAGGAACTGCCAGCTGATGCTGCTGCGCTTGCGATCTCAAAGAAGTGGGAGTGAATTCCGTGATAAAGTGGTTGCCGCGGGCAATTGCAAAAAGTGACGCACGGACGATTTCGGCGTGTGAACGACAACTCCACCCCATCAGCCTTGCCCGCCGGGATTAAGTGCTACAGGGAACATTCCATCGTGATTAGGCCATGTGAAAGCTTATCTCTGTTTCACGAAGCGTGAGTCTTCTCAACACATAGAGAAGAGATCAACAACTATAGACGGTCTATTCCAACTACAGGAATGCAATAATGTGATTTCTTTGGTCCACCTTCGTGCGTCCTTGCTGTTGTACTGTACTTGCAAGCTTCACGACTTGGCAGATGAAGCTCTAACAGAACCGGGATAGGCGGGGATCACCTATGGAACCTCTTTCATGCCTTTGGAAGGCCCAGAGCTTGGGCCACCAACCTCGGCGTTGCCCGTCAGACCACCTACATAGAACTGTCGGCGACGTGCCATCGTCGACCCCATTCATGTCCGTTCCAATTCCCATTTACAGGCATTGCTCACGTGATAGGGAGTTCCTGCTGGAGTTCGTGACAGACTGACAGCCAGCGCAAGTTGAAATCATGTCTCTCCCTTGTTCCGTTGGTTCTTTGTCATCTCCGTGAAAGATGGGATTAAAGCTCCTGAAGATTGCGCCTGCACCCACGTACATACCATCATCTTGCCCCTGGTGGTTGACCTGCACATATCGCACACCAATTCCATTCCGATACAAACACTATATCATATACGCAAGATACCGTGATCGTGTTTACCGCTGCATCTTCAACAAGTGGTCGGAATCCAAAAGAGCCAAGGGGTCAAGCAAGTCGAAGCAGACCTGGGCTACCTACCAAGAGGTGCTTCCTTGTAGAAACAGGGGACCACTGCAGAAGCCAGCGACCACTGGCCGGGCAGCGGCAGTGCTACCTAGTAGTCAAAGGCCCAATCGCGAGGAACGGGCGAGTCCTGTTTGGGATTTGGTGGGAAGGTTTGGTTGAGCCAGCTGCACGCATGGACCACTCCGTGGCTCCGACCGGCCAGTTGCCCTTCAGTCCCCCTGCTCACTAAGCGCTTCAGGTACGGTTGGTTCCTCTCCAAGGCAACGTCAGGACTCTGGAAACGTGAGTCGCCTCGTTCAACCATCGTCGAGTGCCATACTGTTGCCGTCGCGTCTCGAAAGCGTGCTTTGCCATTTGCCATTTTCCATATCTGCCCTCGAAATCGCCGTCACAACTTGCTATTACTTTACTACCTAGGTATGCTTGCTTCTCGCTTGGTCCTTCCTTACTACTTAAGCACCAACATCACGACGGCATCGCCTCTCGACTCGGTGCCTGCCCCTCCGCCAGCAAGGGCGCGAAGCTACCAAAGAGCAAGTGCGCACTCCTAACTCGACAGTCGTCGGCGGCCATTGTCCACTTGTCCAATCCACCTTGGAACCCCGGAATCCCTGCGCCAAGTGCTCGACGTCACGGCCAGATTACCGCCGCGTGCTAGGTGACATTACTCGCCTCTAACTGACCCTTTTGCTCTCAACCCCTATAGTTACCAACAACCCGTCCAAACTCCATCAATAGTGGCGCAGGTACATAATAAGGTCAGGAAGAGAAGAACAAGTAGTCGCATGGGCTAGAGGCCGCACGGAGACCTCGAGTGACAGCCAGTTGGAGCCCGCGCGCCTGCTCCCGCTCCCGCTCCCCGTTTCCAGCTTCCAGCAAAAAAAAAAAAAAAAAAAAAAAAAAAAAAAAGGACAGTTTGTTGTTGCAACTTGCAAAAAGGAACAATCTCAAGTTCCTAGCATAGACGGCAAGCGACTACACTAGCGACCAGCAACACCACCGCCCGTATCCACTTCGCTCCATTCCCCCAGAGCCCCGTCCACGCCAGGTCTCAATGACGGCTGTCGCGAATCCCCCTAGCTTCGCAAATCTCAATCGGCCGGGATGGATTAATGGCGACCAATCGCTAAACTCGATGAACCCCGACGACAATAGAATGAACATGTTCATGTCGCGAAAATCTCTTCAACGATCTAACTCCTCGTCGTCGGTTGCGTCGACGGCGTCCTCCTCGTCCACCTCCACCGCGACCTCGACCGGCTCCGTCTCGACTGCGCCGACCAACGGCAGCCCCAACAGCACCAGCAGCAGCAGCGGCGGCAACGGAAACGGCAACCCCATGTCGGTCGGTGGAGACACCGCGCCTTGGTCGAACTCACAAGCTCTGCGCAAGAAACCGCAACCAAAAAACAACACCAACACCAACTCATGGACTAATGCCAGGCCAGAAGGAGCGTCCGACCTTTCACGCTCAGCAACAGGCCGCCCGCCCATGGCGAATGGCGTCAACGGCGCGCCTCCAACTATGCACCATCAGCAACAGCAGCCATCATCGCAGCCTCAGCCGCAGCAACAACCGCAGTCCGCCATGTCGGCGCCGAACCAGATGATGTCACAAAGCAATCTCGCGAGGCCCGGCGCCGACCAAATGGCCCCCCAACGCCTGCCCGTGCTGTCGCTGCTGTCGCTCAATGGCACCTTCGAACGCAAGACCATCTCCGTCCCCTTTTACCCCGACATAATGAAAATCGGTCGGCAGACAAATGCGAAAACCGTCCCTCTCCCCACCAACGGCTTCTTCGACAGTAAGGTGTTGTCGCGTCAGCACGCCGAGATCTGGGCCAACCAAGACGGCAAGATATTTATCAAGGATGTCAAGTCCTCAAACGGCACCTTTGTCAATGGCAACCGTCTGTCGCCCGAAAATCGCGAGTCGGAACCCCATGAGCTCCAGTCTCAAGACCATCTCGAACTCGGTATCGACATTGTTAGTGAGGACCAAAAGACGGTAGTTCACCACAAGGTTGCCGCCAAAGTCGAGCATGCTGGGTTCGTTACCCAAACGAACAACCTCCTGGATATGAACTTTGGCGATCTCGATCCTTCAAATGGCGGCATGATGATGCCCATGGGCGGCATGCCACCCTTCCGCGGTCGGGCTGGCAGCCAAGCATCTCTGGCAAGCAACGGACGTATGATGCCTGGCAACATGGGTGGTCCGATACCTGGTATGGCGCAACAGAGGCAATTTTGGTTGAACCCTGTCACGACTGAACATATTGTCAAAAAGCTTCAAGTAAGTACATGCCTGTGCCACGGTTCCCGATTCATTTGCTCACACTACAAAAGACGGAAATGCGGAATGCCAAGCTGCAGCACCACGATCTTATCCGAACGGGTCAGTTCATCACCGCCTTGGTCACGAAAGACGACATCAAGAATCAAGACAAGCCCGAAGATATTGAGCCCCCTAAGTTGCATGTGAACGGGAACGTCCCTTTCAAGTCGGAAATTAGCAAGACCCGGTTTTCGGAGCCCCCTGCTCCTCCGCCCTCACAGCCTCTTCCAGAAAAGCCAGATGTTGCCCGCGCTTCGGATGCGCCTTCGCTAAAACGGGGAATTACCGAGCGACCGAAATCACACCCTTCCCCCAAGGACGCGAATGTTAATCAGGTTGTACAACTTACGGAGGCCTTGAACCTAGCAAAGAAGGAACTGGACAGCAACAGTGCTCGGGTGCGAGATCTGGAAAGGATGCTAAACGAAGAACGTGAAGCCCGGTTACAGGCGGAGGTTTTGATGCAAAAGATGGCAGTAAGCCAACAAGCAGTGACAAATGGCACGAGCGTGGCAGCTTTGACGAACGGCCACTCGGCAATGGACAGAGTATTTGAGCCACCGACGGAGCAAACTGAGCCAAACGACGCGAGCGCGCCCGGCGGCCTCGAATCCGAAAAGAGCCCGAAACCGGAAACCAGCAACATCGAGGCTATGGCGGCGGCTTTCCAGGCTCGGATAGAGTCGATGACGACGGAGATGAAGGGGCTTAGGGAACAGCTGGAAGCTTTCAGAAACAGGGCTGAGCAGGCAGAGGCAGAGCGGGATGCTGACCGTAAGACGTTGAGTCAGTTGATCTTACAAATACGTCAGCGAGACGAGGAAGAACAGCAAGGCGCGGCGCGCAAGTCGCGTTCGTCCTCTCGCGGTAGATCGCAACAAGGAGGGAAGGACAAGGAGATTGACCAGACATTGCCCAAGGCTAATGGCGCCGCAGTGACTGGACCAACCCAGTCCGATGGCTCCTCCGAGGATCATGCTGAGGAGGTGCCCAGTCTGGCGCTGACGGACACCTTGAAACCGTCATCTTCGCCCGCGCTAGTATATCCGCACCAGGATCGTGCGTTGATACAAGCCATGCCCTACGTTTCCGTCCTTGGAGTCGTCTTCATTGGAATGGGTCTGATGGCTTACCTCAACGGGTGGCAGCCGCAGGCGAAGAACTAGGGCAGGCCGGTATCATGACACCACAACCCACACACACACACACACACACCTACGCACACCGTATCTTCAATCTCCTTTGTACAGTTTTATAGGAACTTTTTATACCTGAAGACTACCTACTTCTCATCACATTATTATGCACATGCGCTTCCGTCGTCTTGGTCTTTTCTCAAAACATATGTATTATGCACAAAACGCGGCTTACCGAACCCAGACGGTAGGGACTTTTGACAACAAAAAAGTCTGGAGTTTTGATGTGAAATGGTGGCGGGTCTAGCGTGGTTCAAAACATAGGAAATGCCTTTGACAGCATTTTGCTTTTTTTTTTTACCCCCAATTTTGCTCTCTGGCGTTGCTCAACCGCGGCACTGACTCTCACCTTTTTCGAGTCAGCTTTCTTTTCCTTTCCATTGCCCTTCTTTTTCGGTCAAGTAATTATTCAAATTGGCACAACGGGCTGGGAACTGTTGCGGATACTTCGGAGATGCTTATTCTGTTAGTTTGCGGTCAGTTTGCGAGTATTGAAGCGCGAACTTCTTTTCAGCAAGTTTTACAGCTATAGTTGCAGTGGTAAAGCAGCAATGCGATCACGGCTTGGGAGAGAGAGGGACTTGTATGTATGTATCACAACACAGCCGAATTTCTTAGTAGACGCGGGGGAAAGGAGGTACATCCGGTCGGGAAAAGGAATAAATCAAGCGCCGAAGATGGCTTTTCGCACATCATTTATATGAAGATGATTGCTTCCATAAACACTTGCAGAGTGGGTGATTGAACCCAATTGATAAGATAACGAGCGCTGTGGTCTGAGCATTGACCAACATCAAAGGGAGCATTGACCAACCCACCTGATCAGATGGGGGTGGTGACCACCGACAGTCTACACACCACTGCGTTTATGAGAATCATCACGCGGGAAGGGAAGCAGGAACACAGTCGATGACTCTGATCAAACGGGTATGCACCTTGGTCCAGCTTTACATGTTTGTCACGGCAATATGGTGATGGGCACACAAATGACGTTGGGGCTTCCAGTAATTCTATGTCACGAGAGGTGGGTTAACGCAGTTTGTTCATTTAGCCATACATTCTTTACGTGTGAAATTTACCATGCCTGTTCTAACAAAAACTTATAGCAGACACTCGCGCAATTAGTATTAGCCGTGGGGTTTACCAATCTTCAATCATTTTTCTTTTCATCTATATCCCTCTCTTTTTAGATCGTGTCTGGCTTCATGTCTCTGTAGACACATACCGAAGTTTTTACATTTGAGTGTCCCCAGATACCATTTCCCTCCCAGCCTACGTTGCAGCATCACGTAACATACCGTATTTACATTACATCCCCCACCAAAACCATACTCCCGGTCTCGCAACGGTAGAGCTAGCACAGTGCACTACCCAAATCGTTTTAACCATCCCCTACCTTCTTGCCGAAACTTTTCGAGCTCCTCGAGTCATTCTCGGCCATGTATCCATGATAGACGTGCGACGCATCCAAGAGCCGTATCACGTCATTATTTTCTTTTTTTTTTTTTTCGAAGATCGTAGTACGCGGGCAATCTCGCATGTGCTCAAAAACAGTTGTGGGGGCTCGCATTGGAAAAAAGATTTGAAAAAAAAAAAATTGATAATTCGGGAAGTAGAGGTATGTAAACCACTAGGTATGTATGTTCAGGTCTCCTGCCCGTCGCCTACACCTTATTCGGGCCTGGCCATGTCGAATCGGTTCTTGATCTCTCTGATCATGAACATGTGGAACAACCACAGCATTGTTTTTGTTGGGCTTCCTCGCAGGCATTCACGCTGGTCGTCCAGCAGCTGTCCAAGGGTGATTCCCCGACACAGGCGGTCTGTTACCAGCCTCTTAGCCTGCTCGGCTAGACTGGCGGTGGGATCCCAGTCTGCGAAGAAAGATCGTCAGCATCAATCGCGTAGAGGTTGGGGACAAAGAACAAAAGTGTGATTCTGGAGCTCGCAACAACGGTTAGGGTAACATGGGTGATGACTACGTCATCCTCGCGAGACAGACTGGGCATATGGGAGTTTCCTTACCGCCGTCGAAATTGATGTATCTGAGTGGACAGTCAGCTTGAGATCAACGATACATATTGAACAAGTAGAATTAATTGTGTCACTTACGGCATGATTCTCTGAGCCGGTTTCTTTAGAAGTGGCTTACTTGGTCGTTCATGGATGTGGAGTAAGAGGTTGTCGAGTGAAGTATATATAGCAGAGGGAGGGTTGGATGTCCTTGTAGAATGATGGTGGGAGATGAGGAAGCAGAAAGTGAAGAATAACGCAGGACCGTCGGTGCCATTGAAGCGGTCGGGACGGGTAAGGTTTGGCTGCCTGGCGGGAAAGCGTGGTGCTTCACTGGACAGTTCTTATTATCGGACCATCACGTGGCCCAGGTTGAGGGAGGTCCCTATGGGGAAGTCTACGTTCCCTAGACGCGAAAATTACTTATGGTATCCTAAGAACTCGAATGCGGATACTCACATACGGAAATAAGTCTATATTAGTTGCAAATTCCCGAGTAATCTGTTTTCTAGTCATTGCCTTGGTGCCCAGCTTCTTTCTAGCCTTTTCGAACTTCCCGCTGACACACGTAGTTTTACGTGAGCAATGGTACCTCTAATTTCACAAACTTGACGACCAGCGCAGTATGCCATTCATTACTACGCCAGCTAGGTGAACAAAGCCAGCTCAAGATAGTGTGGTAGTAGATTTGGAAGAGTAAGAAGGGGAGAGATGAAGCAAGGAGCATGGGAGAGAACCATGTTGACGTCCCGAAATTGGACAGGGTTGGAACAATGAAGCAATCAAGAAGAAAACACTACAACACCAACCAAATCTTTCTTAGATAAGTACAACAGGAAACGTCAGGTCTTCCCCCCCCCCCCCCCCCCCCCCTGGATATTGCGGGGCCTTTGGGATGCTCATACAAATTTGCGGAAGAAGTGAAGAACTTGACGTTGATAGCTACTCATGGTCCCCACGTTTGTCATCGTTTCCAGTTTTGCCTGAGCGTCTAGAAGCTGGATTAGAATCATGCTATAGAACAAATATCTCATGATTACAGGCGGACTGACCCGGATATAGGCATTCTGTTTGCACCGTAAATGTCAGAGGCGTACGCCTCTGCTCTGTCGGTCGGTAAGCAGCTTCGGGATTCGTTCGAGGAGAATGGTAAGGTAAGTAAAAAAAAAAAAATATCGCTGGAATTCGCTCCCAGCGTCTCAAGGCTAGTTTGATGCCTGATCATACAGATTTGATCATTAGTAGAAAAACTCGGCTTTTACGCCTATTCGTCTTCGCCCTGTCCAGCTCCATCGCCATTTTCATGTCCGCCCAAGCATTTGAGAACTTGCACGAGAACCATGCTGTGGAATAAATGTCTCATCGTTCCAGGCGTACAGCCCTGAAAGCAAGCACCCTGTTCGCAGAGTAAATCCCATAGGCTTACGCCTCTGCTCTGTCGTCGGTAATCAGCTTCCTGATTTGTTCGAGGAGACTGGCATGTTGGTGGGATAAATGCAAGAAAAGATATTGCTAGGCCATTCTCTCCTAACATCCAAGCACTATTCGGATGCTCATGCAACTTTGCTCGTCAACTTAAACATTTTGCGTTCTGCCTATTTGTTGTCACTCCGTTGAGTTTCGCCGCCAGTTTCGCCCAAGCATCTCAAGACTTGGACGAGAACCATGCAATGGAATAAGTAGGCCATCGTTCCAGGCGTACTGCCACGTACGTGTGCACCCTGCTCGTACAGCAGATCCCATAGGCTTACGCCCCCATTCTGGCGGTCCCTAACAAGCTGTCTGGCTTGTTCCAAGAGACTGATATTCGGATTATAATCTATGGAGAAAGAAAGACGTCAATATTAACCGCATAGATATGGCTCAAGCGCATTTGGCCTTGTGGCACATAAATGGAAGCGCGGATATCACCTTACCGGAGTCAAAGGAGATGTGTCTGACGGCATGTTAGCTTGAGACCATAAAGTGGCTGATTATCGACTGAAATGGATGGAACACTTACGGCATGTTTACTGTTTCGAAATCTGTCCTCTTATGAAGTGACTGGGATTTTTTTGTCTGTGGTCGTGTGTGCGAATGGTCTTGAATGTGGTATATAGGTACCTGTTAGAGGGCAAGGTCGGAGACTTGTGGAGCGAATTATAGAATAATGCGGAGGGCACTGGAAGACCAAGAAAGCGGGAAGCCCTTGCAGAAATTGTAGGTATTTAGGGCATCAAGGTTTGGTTTCCTGGCAGAAAACCTTGGTATCATTATCCAGTAATGCAGTTCTCTTGGTATCGAAACACAATGCGGTCCAGGTTTGCGGTGGTCCTTGAGGGAAAGTCAAAACAGGCAGATGAAGCAGATATAAATGTCAGTTACAGGAGAGAGAGGCCCGAGCAAGATTTAAGGAGAGTGCACGAGGCAGACAATGCAGCGAGATACGAATGATCAACCATGAAGAACAGAAAGTCTAGCTCATGATCTGCCAGAAGAGATACTGTGGCTAACCAGGAGCCCCCATAATGCATGGATTGAGTTTACTCCTTAACCTATATTCTCTTTCGAGTACCTAGGCCAGAGGCCATGCGGAGGAAGTGATCCCTATTGTCACAAGGTTCTTACAAGTACTGCAGGAGCTGACCGACCGATGTTAAGTAACCAGGAATCTCAAGCTCCGTTACAATAACGCTGTGGAACAGCCAAAGTGAAGTGTGCTGCGGGCTTCTGTCACGCAGGTCTTTTTGTTCCTCGAGAAGAGCAGCGCGAGTGGCGCCGGCGTCTAGAGCCTTTTGGATCAGCTCAACTGCTTGAAAGGCAAGAGATATTTCAGAGTCCCGATCTACGAGACACTCGAGGGTCAGTAAATGGGTTGCCATATTGAAAATAAAGGGGAGAAGAATTAAAAACATCGAGGTGTTTGCTTGCTGACAACCATAGAGCAGACTTAGATCGTGCACATTGGGGAAACTCTCAGCAAAGCAGAAGGCTTATGGCGTACTAACCGCGGGTAAACTCGATCAAGCTGAGGATATCGGATCAGTATGATATTCGAAGAATCTCGCAAGACCCATAAGAGGAGAGGAATCGTAATACGTACGCCATGTTGAACACTGGTATGCTTGTAAGAAAAAAGAGAACGCGGGAAATTCGGGATGGGTGACAGTCAACGGTCGACGAGGAGAAGTCGCGGTGATACTGAGGAAATGCGGCGCTAAGTGATTGTATAAAATTGATTCAAAATAGACACGAATGCAAGAAACAACGAAAATAGGTACCACAACACAGCCAGCCAGAGGTAAGGGGCAGACCCTTGATTACTTTCCACTTCTCATCTACTTCCATGAGCATGATTCCTTCCTTATTGAAGATTCGATTCTCTTCACTTGCACTTTCCACCCCATTATGTATGGGCCAAGGAAAAGAAAAGGCGATTTAAAGAAGCAAATCTTAACAGACAGAGATACGACAAGAAAAAGCATGGCAAAGGAACAAATCCAGGAAACAAGGGGGAATTGACATTAAGAAGGTAAAGGAGAGCTTATGTCTTTTTTTTGATGCGAACACAAACGATGGAAAAACGAGAGAGAGAAGCCTCGCTCTATTCCGGCCGTCCTGTTGAAATGTAGCAAGCAACGTATCGATATACGTTCCCTTCACTCCCTCGACTCATCTGTGGGAGACCTGGGAAATCGGCATCAAGCAATACAACCAGGGAAGAAACTCCGCGTGGGCTTGGATCTTTTCAGCGACTATCACGTCAGTCTCAGTCGCTGAAGATATCTCGATCGCTAGAACCGGATTCTTACCACATCAATACGCGCAACTCGTCTACAGCCGGCCCTCCAGTTCCACCACAACAGCATTGTAAAACATCCAAGGGATGTTGAGGTTGGTTTGAGCCTCCCTCAAACACCGCTGCTCTACGAGCAGCGCATGGGTGTCGGCGCCGATCGCCAGACGGTGGTCCACGAGACTTTTGGCCTGCCAGACCAAAGGCCATTGGTAGGACCAGTCTAGCAGAAGAGGAGATACTTGATTAGTCGTGGGTCATAGAACTGGGAAGACGTGGTGTTGGAGCGAGTCGAGCATTTCCAGGTCTGTTGCTTACCCCTCTTGAAGTCGATCCACCTGGAGGCAGAGTTAGGTTTGTTCTTGCAGTTTGGGAATGGGTTGGAGGTTTGGAAAGGGCAGGTTCAGTTACTTACGCCATTGTACTAAAGGGTGAAAAGACTTCTGGTAGATTGTTCGTGGCTATTTTGTTTGTGGACTCGAAAGCAGAAAATCAAAAGGAAGAAATTTTCCGGAGTCGAAATTGTGAAGTCCTTTCCTCGATGATCAAAGGCAACGAACAGTCATATTAATAGAAAGGGGAAGGGTGACAGAGGAAGGAGAATGAACGCGTCTATGCCAGATACAGGGTATTCAAATTTTGTGTCTGAGGGCCCAAAAATGGCTGTCGTGTTGTTTGTTTCCATCCGAAACTCGGGCGCTCAGGTCGGGGTTCTGGAAACGATCCGACTTCGGACACTCAAAGTTTTGAAGCACTCTTTTGCCAACTACTGGCGAAACGATGACACAATAGGAATGAGCTTATTCTAGCAAGCGTATTGACACTTTTTTTTTTTTTTTTTTTTTTTTTTTTTTTTTTTTTTTTTTATGATTTTGCACCAGGCGAAACCGTATTTTTGTTGACACTTAACCATTGTCATGTGAAATGATCGGCCCAGGGAGCGCCAAGCCAATGTCGAATTTTTAAGGGGGAAAGAGTGAAAGAAGGGGCACACACCAAGTAAACAACACAACCTGGACCTTAAAAGCGTGAAAGAACCAAAATTCGGATGGCAGTGACGAGGGACCTTTTGTTCGCTTCAAACGACTGATGTACATATTTGTGTGAAGCATAATCTCACACCTGAGGAGTGAAGGCAATTGAAAAATCCAGGTGAGGATTTTTACCGAATTCGATAAACACTAATGTCGCGCGCAAAAGGATTTGTGTCCTTTCATCTCAACCAACTTCTAATTCTCGCTGTGGATGGTGTGACGGTAGAAAGGCGCGTCCATTATTTGACCTATTACTACATACACATATCCGGTGGAGTATTCACAAGCGAACGCAATTGGGAAGAGAACATTGAGGAAACGAGAATGGAAGATGCCGAAAATAATTGAATCTCGCTATGCCATGCCCAAGGTATCTATGTGGCCGTGAGGCAAGTGTGTATGTGTGTATGTGTAGGTGAAGAAGCTGTTCCTCTGATTTTCGTTTGCCAACACAAGGGCAAAACCACCAAGTTCCTTGCATCCTACATCTAAAACATAACGCAGCGCGCTCTTTGATTATTGTTAGTGCGGCCGGTCGACGTTGGGAGCTGTGATGGTGTTCCCTTGCGGGTGGTGGAGAGGACCGGATTCTGTTCAAGCCTGAAAATGATGGCTGTGTAAAAGTGAAACTCCGGCGACTGCACATCGGGTGCATGTCTCCAGATGTCACTCAACGGTCCGTCACGATCGTCGTGCCCTGGAATCTGTCGAACCTTTGCCTTCTCTCTAAGGATTAGTTGCTCGATCAAGAGTTCTGACCGATCGAATCCTTGGGCGAGACGGTCTTGCACCAAGCGGCGAGCTTGGTCATGCATGTTGGCAGTGGGGTCGAAGTCTGTGTAGAGAACAAAAAACCAGTCAGTTCGGGTTACAGATTACCACGACCGATAGGCAGACATCTGAACAAAAGAAAGAATAAACAAAACATATGCCTACCCTGTTCGAAAGAGATGCACCTGGCAATATCGAATGTCAGCGTTGGTGGTCCCATGAAGCAGGATAGATACTAGGGAAGAGAAAAGCACTTACGGTTCCTTGGGTGTCTCATCTATGGGAGTCTCAAGTGTAGACGGGAGAATCTCTTCCGACACGAAAGTAGGCGTTGTGGAGGGAGTCAATTCAGCCACGACAGTGGGCGTGGTGGAAAGAGTCTGTTCAGCCTCGGGAGTTGTAGCTGGAGTAGGAGGACTCTGTTCAGATCCACGCGGAGTAGGGTGGTCATACTCAGTCATGGCGAATGATGAGTTTCCGCTTTTGGACGGCATATGGTGGTAAAGTGATGGTGGAGTGGTTCCGAACATGATCGTTGGATGGAAAGTAGCAAAGATAAATAACTGCGGGTTTATGGATTGTTGAAAGCGAAGAGAAAGAAGTAAGTGGCTGAGCGGTGGTGGATAGAGGGAAGAGAAGAAGACATGAAGGGCTCTGAAGGAAGAACATTTGAATACTGCCCGGATTTAATATTGGTGCAAAATCAGTGCCCGCTGCATATCCTCTGCTGTGCCGGAGGTCGGAATTCCATTCAATGCAGGTAAAAAAAAAAGAAAAAAGGCTAAGGGAAGGACAGATCGTGCATGTATCTGGATATCAGAAAAATATTTTGCCTTTTTTTGCTGCAGGGCATCATGCAGAGTAATTGCTGCACGCTGTGTGAGGCACTTCAAGTAGCTAATAAGACCGAATTACTGTTTCTGTTGCGAATTTCATCGAAAATATGTCTGGTCGAAAAGAAGATAAAAGGCAACTTGGAACGTTGCTGCCGTAGCTTGCCATTGTCCAAATGCACGAGAGAGCCCAAAGCCATGCAGTATGAAATACTCAACGGGGATGATAATGAGCTTCTAGGCGAGGAAGGAACGGGAAAAGGGCCACAAACCACAGGGGAAGCGGAAACAGACGAAGGTGGCCGGAAATCTGGTGTCGTGCATTGCAAGTTCAAATGCGTCCGAAGCCCGCATGCATCCGAAGATCCAAAACTGTTGTGGTTATCGGACTCCGTATCTTAAGCCGCATACCTAGAGGTAAATACGTCGTCGTGGAGTTCGATCGGCCGAATATCGATTTCACGTGTCTCGCCAGAACCCTACTCCCCGTCAGAACCCCCACCTGGTCTTCATGGCAGCGGATGCGGTTCCAATATCCCCATTCGAAGGCGATGGCGTTGTGGCAGAGGGACGTTAGTGTTTCCACCGGGCCCGCGTCTCTGTATTCACGCTACTCCCTCGTAACGCCGTTGTGCTGATTCCTACCCCGCTCCAAGCCCTGATAAGAAACGTGGCTTGCACGCAGGGACAAGTATTTGCGTCCCAATCTAGAGAAAGCAGTTTCAACCTGTGTCAGAGGATGTTGCGCGTCTTGAATCAGGTCAATGGAGGTGGCGTTAGTGTACAAAGGGTTTCCTCTCTTGCACAGTCTCGGGGACTTGAAAAGAAACTCACCGCAAGCTGGTGTAACTGAAGGCGAGTTAGCATATGATCAAATCAAAGTGTCTGAACCGTAGCAAGATATTTCCATATTTACGGGCGACTAAGAATTGGAGAATTGGGGTTGCCTGCCATCTCTTGATCTCTTCCAATATCAACAAGTTCACGGAGTGAGCGGGAAGTCAAAAGTAAGCAATCACAAGACAAGGGAGGGGGATTTAAATAAAAAGGAGAATTTACCAGAGCCTAGGTACTCATCTTCTCATGTGTGTATCGTCACCTGGTGAGCAAGAGACGAGTCATCAGTGACTCAGTCTGGAAAAAAGACAAAGGTTTTCGCTTGTTCATGCGTGTTTGCCAGTGACTGTCTCACTCCCATTTGACGAAGCCTGAAGCAACAATTTGCGTATGACCGTTCGAATCCCGATCCCAAAAATGACATTCGTATCTTAAACTTTATCCAACAAGTCTGCTTGGCGGAGTCAAAGACGTGTCAAAGCTGTGATCGGGGACCAGAATCTTCTCTCCCAGAAGCATGTAGGACTATGAAATCGATGAGTGTCGCTGTAAAAGAGAATGGCATGCCTTACGTAATGAAGGAGCAAGCCCTCGGTAGTTGATAACTATATCTTTCAAGACCAAGATACGTTATTCTGTCACTGCCAATGACCTTGACACCAACGCGGAGATTTGGTTGAGGGCGCAACTGTGCTTATATCGTCTATTTCTGATGTGGCGATTTATTGGGTCTCCAGATTGACAAACATTTCTGGGAAGAGGGCATTTCTAGCCCAGGAGTTGACTGGCAAAGTGCTTTCCAAGTCCAAGAATCATCCAGCACACCATCAAGACCGCCAGCTGGCAGCAAGGCAGCATAATCCGTAATGTTTTTCTTGCCTTTCAGACACTGCGTCTATCGATACAAGCCCTCAGAGTCCGCGACCCTCTGCATTTCATCCCGTCCCATCCCTAAGGTCCCAGCCCCATGCACTAGGCTCCAGGCAGGGACCTACATCTGTAGGGCACCATATAAGGTCCGACACCAGACCCCAATACCAGAACGGGGCCCAGTGGTTGTATGGCCGAGTGGTTCCGTTCGTGAAAACATTGCCGGTGTGCGTGGTAACCGTGGTACAGTTTTTGTAGGTCGCTGACTGGAGGATTGTGGTTCGTTCCACAAGCTTAACAGGGCTTCTGCGCTTTTTGCCGTATTTGTCGCACTCAACGCCGACTAGAAATGTTTCGGACGTGCATTTTGGACTTTTCTGTTTCTTTTGCAAACTTGTATGGGTTTCTCAGTGGTTGTTTGACCGTGATATCGGCGGTTCCCAAAGGGTTGAGCTGCACCCCCCACACTCTTGCTGACCCCTCCCTTCCTGCTATTCTACTGCTCAGTGACGGACAGACAGAGCGTTGAGAATGCCTTCAAGTGCTGTAAAGTCCAAGCCGCGACACGCGATTCTTAGCCGTGAGGTATGCACTGTTAATGGCAAGCTTGATTTTTTTTCACAACCGGCCTGGGACCATATTTCGTCCTTTGGCCCATTGAACTTGACCAGGTTGCGATGGTTGCGTGTTAGGCCTAGTCTATCGTAGCTATCAACCGTTGCTGACTCTTCGGTGACAAAATCTTTGATCCTTGAGGGAAAACGAAATTGGCAAATTTGAGCGGGTGTACCATTTCGGCGAGGTTGATCGGCTGCTCTTTGTACAAGCAGAAGACGTGGATCTTGGGAGAAAGCTTGGTAACCAAGGTGGCAAAACTCTTTCCGGGCAGCCTTGAGATAACTGTTTCTCAGAGTTATGTCTTCCAACAGCTTGAAGGCTACTGCACCAAAGGTCTGACATTTCTCGGCGAGGGGAGAGAACACGACGGCGATAGAAGCAATGGTAGCATCCTTGAGAGGAGTTTCGAAGAAGATGACGGCGAAAATGGCTTCAAACATGACGGAGTACAGCTCGCGACCCGTATCAGCATAAGCTACTGCCTTCGCGATGACCAGACCTCCAAAGCTGTGTGCAGTAAGCACAATAGGCCGGTCTCTGCAGGTCTGTGAGGGGGATTGTCAAAATGATGTGGGTGACGTTAGTCATGGACTGCTTGACCTTGCAGTCACCAAACCAGACCGATTTGTGCATGTAGAGCAGGATTCTAGCCTAGGAGAAATCCTTGACGATGCCGTCATCTTTGTTGGTGGCCCCGTTGAACTCGGACTTTTCATTTCCAGACTCCCAGCTTTTCCGGGGTGGGCGCCGAGACCGAGGACTAGGACGAAATCAATAACGAAATGGTCAGGGGTATTGTTGCTTCGGGGTGGTAGAGCTGCTAGATGCTCTGCAAGACATTGCCGTATCTCTTTGCCTTCCTAGCGGGGACAGCCCGATCTTTCTGGGCAGGAGTGCGGCGTACAGACTGGCGGAGAGCTTTCTGGGTGGCCTAGGGATTGAGCGACATGGCGAAAGGGTCGATGGTCAATCCATGCGCACCTGATGAGCGTCAGAAATCAGTAGAAGACCATCTATAGGAGACAGGAAGTGGCCGTTACGGGAGAGAGGTCATTGTAGCTCAAAGTTCCTTTTGAGCCAGCCTTCGTTGTACGGCAGAATATGCGAAGGAGCTTAGCCGACCGCTGGCTTTTCTGAGTAGTCTTCACGTTGCATCGTATAAGCTTGGGGTGGGTGGTGTTTCGATTGGTCTGACCGAATTGATGCCTACGTCGTTTTGAGTCTGGCCACCTGATCACTTTTGTGTTGGTGTCTACAAGCAGAGATAGGCTCGTAGTTCAAGCGTCGGGAGAACATTGTGATGGGCGTCTGGACCATAACGTGGCATGTCATAGGGTAGATAGATCAATTGCAGATCAAAGGATGAAGGTAGCTTGAAGATGGAATGCGAGCATATTCCATTACATCGAAAAAAAAAAAAAGAAAAAAAAAAGGAAGAGACAGAGAGCTATCTTGACAGCGGGAGAATTTTCTCGTCATGTTCATAGGAAACGATTGAAGTTGGGAAATCACGCTTTTGGTGGTTCTTTCCCATTACCGAGTTGTTGATCGATGTCGCGACATTTCTACATTATTTTCCCTAGTATCGTGGGCGTGAGATGTCCATTAGTTGTACAGCACGACCCACATTCCACTAACTGCAGCTTCCCTGGTCGGCAGGGCGCCCGCTGCTGTTGTTGGCTTTGAGAAGTCTGCACTGCCGGCCCAATGCAAGTTGAAACCATTTCATCACCTCTTGGGATGTAGATTCAACCAAAGAAACCCTTCACCTTGACCCTTTGCACTCCATGGATACAACTGTAGTCAATTAGCCCTTGCCTATGGGGTATTTAACATCTGCGAGATTGAAACAAGACTGTTATCGTGAAAGGATGCTGCACTTGAAATCACTGGCAAAAGAATGTGTTTGTTGGTGGACTTGGTCCAACTCCTCAAGATGACGACCTAAGTGTACACAAGACCCCCTCAATTCACAGCATAAGACACCCTCGAAGTCCCCTTAGTCCTCGAAATCTTCTTCACCGCCGTCTTACCACACAAATCCGTGGTATCAACATGCGTCCCACCGCACGGATACACCTCGGCGCCTACAATCTTGACCACTCTAAACTTCTCCCCCGGCGGCGCCAAGCTCTGATCGGGAATCAGCCTTTCCAGCCCGTTCTTCCTGAAATCCTCCTCGTCCCAGAAATCCACCTCGACCGGCATCGCCCTGTCAATGTACTCATCCACCTTCTGCTGGATCGGCTCCTTCCACGTTCCCTCGATGGAGCCCTGGAACTCGCACGCCGCCGAGTCGGGGAAGTGCGACGCCTTCAGCTCGTCGAATCCGGGGATTTCCTTTTCGAGCAAGTGCCGAACCGCCGCGCCGAGGACGTGGCCCGCGGTGTGCAGGCGTGAGTACAAGAGGCGCTTTTCCACGTCAATGGATTGTTCGACTGTGTCGCCCAATTGGAATATGCTGGAAGAGGAAGAGTCGAAGCGGCCAAAGTGGAGGACTTGCCCGTCCTTCACGGCGTCCATGCGGACCATGCTCACACGGAAGACACTAACATCGCCCATGGTCATGACGCCTTCATCCGAGGGTTGGCCGCCTCCCTGAGGGTGAAAGATGGTCTGGTTGGTCACGATGGCGAAGTCATTGTCTGTGCCTTTTTTGAAGAGAAGCTTGTTGGCTTCTTCCAGGGCGGGAAAGGGCGTTATCGCCGAGACCACAGCTGACAGCTTGTAGAGCTTGGCATTGTGGTGAAAAGCCAGGTATGTTCGCGCGGCGGTGCTTCCCTGTGCGTGTGTTAGTGCTCAGCCCGCACTACCTCTTGAGGGCATATCAGGGGCAACACTGACCATGTTGACTTTCGGATTGCTTTTGGATTTTTCTGTGTATCAGTCAGACACCAGGGCTTATTATTGAGACTTGGATTTGACTGCCTTTTGCACTGACACTTTCGACAATTTCTGTATGATGCCTTTGAATCCTACTAGTGTAGATACTGCTAAATACAGGGTGCCGAGAAACCAACGGAGGGGCAAACTTCACTGGTACAGCGTTACAACGCCCTTTGGAAGACAACATTAAACCCGAGCATTTTCTCCACAGGCGGCCGCTCGTTGCCCTGGCTACGGATGGCTCCACGGAGATCACGACGGCTTCAAAACATTCCTAACGGGAATACAGTCGAACCCCCTGAAACTGCATGTAATTCAGACCTGGGATTTCTATGCACTAAGTAGCATCTATGCAGTTTCTAGATTGAAGCTAGGCCCAAATAGGCAGTCAACTAGTGGCCGAGACACTAAAATCCGACCCTATACTATAGATTTTCCCGCTCAAGACCAAGTCTGTAAGTGCATACGCACCAAAAATTGTCCGAGATTCATATGCAGTATGCAGTTATACAGTTGTAGCTGAGAATTAATTCAGACCGCTGATTCTTATGCTCTAACTGGCATATATGCAGTATCTGGTGGATGCAGTTTCAGGGGGTTCGACTGTATTGCACAATCCGTACGCCAAGCAGGGAGAAGGAAAGGGAGCAAGGCAAACTTTCTTCTCCAATTTAAAAGCTACCCAACATTATACTACTCCATTCACATTGACGTCTACCCCGCAGGTGATAGACATCCCCCCAGTCTCCGCACCCAGCTCTATCAGTTTCCAGCCTCCCGACTCTAGTCTTCGACTCAACATACCGTCACCACCACCCTATTCCCGCCCTTCCCACTCAGCCAACATCCCAACCAATACTAAACAATCAGCAGCAACCCCCCATCACTCCCCGCCACACTCCCCGTCGCATTCCATCCCTCACCAACCACAAAAAAAATCCCCTCCACCACATCCTCCGCCCGAGCATCGGTGGTGTCAATCGGTGGTCCTTGGGTCGTACTACTTGATGGATCAAACCTAGTTTTGTTGTCGACGAGTACAACTACAGTGATGGCATTGAAACTTACTTGAACACTTGGTCTGTGGGTGATTACTGATCATGAGACCATTGATTTACACGTTTTGGGTTTCATGAAATCTCGGCTAGTCGACCGGGAAGCAAAGGGGGATGTGCTTTGCGCGTGGTATGGCTCAGGGTCTGGATTCCCGTTTCGCTCTGCTTCTATTACTGTAACTTCCTCCATCCTGGTGTTGAATCTGCAGTATTGAAACATTCTCTCCTTCCCCTTTTTATTGCAGAAAGTTCTTGATAGCCCCTCCAACATTCTTCACATCCAACAAGAACGTGTCGTGACCAAACATGCTTTGCTCCTCACTCAACTCATAATGCGCCACGTTCCGGTTCCCAGCCAACCTCAGCGCATCAGCAATTTCGCGCTGTTGCCATGCTGGGAACAGAATATCGCTGGCAACACCCATAACCAACGCTGGGTGGTCCCGCAGGGCAGACAAGCCCTTGATCAAATCCTCGGGTGGTTTCGAGGAGTCTGACTGTGTGGCAAGCTTGGTGTCAATATCTGCGGAGCCCCCCGACTCAGGCTGCTCCTCGTAGGGCTTGTCCGGCAGCGTCAGGCTGCAGGACACGTTTTCATTTGATGCGTAGACCCCCTTATGGAGCGACTCCAACCGCTCAGCTCGTCTGGTAGCCGCAGCCTTTTGGCACGCATGACCCAAGTCAAACAGATCCATAGCCTTGCTGACGTACAACAAACTGTTTGGGTCGTACGTCAGGCAAAACTTCTCTCCCGCGTGGTCCAGATAGGTCTCTATGAGGAAGTCCGGGCAAAGAGCAGGCGGCTTGCTGGGATCCGCCCTTCTACGGCCGAATCTCAGCTCCCACTCGGGACCTGACCGATACGTCACAGTCGCAATTTCGCGCGCCAGCTTCATGCCAGCGTGTGGGGGGACGTTGTCATAGTAAAAACCTCGGTTCCAGTTGGGGTCCATCATGAGGACTTGCCGCTGCGTGTGCCGCATCGCAATGCTGTATGGGTGGCTCCTGGCGCAGCCGCTGATCGAGATGATCCGGCCAACACGCTCGGGGAATAGCACGCCGGCAGCCAACGATTGCATGCCGCCCATACTAGATCCCACGCTGGCGTACAGCTTGTTGACCCCCAGATTGTCCAACAAACGGAATTGCGCCCGTACCATATCCTCCAGCGTAAGTATGGGAAACCTGGTGGCATAGCGCTGTCCATCGGCCGGGTCAATACTACTGGGTCCCGTTGAACCGTAGCAGCCGCCAATAACGTTTGTGCAAATGATATGATATTTGTCGGTGTCGAGGGCGAGGCCGGGACCAATGAACCTCTCCCACCATCCGGGCTGGGGGTTGGCTGACGTAGAATGGGCATGGGACGACGCTGAAAGACCCGTGTGTAGCAGGATAACGTTGGACTTGTCGGCGTTCATCTCGCCCCACGACTCGTAGGCGATGTCGAACTCGGGGAGCATGCCACCCCAGTCGAGAAGTAGGGGTTCGTCACAATGGAAGGTCTGGGTGGCACCGGCAACGTAGGATGGCTCGGGGCCGCTCGAGTCGGAGCGCTTCTTGAGGGTTTCGGACCGGGTTTCGAGGGCGTCGAGGCAGGGAAAGGCCATTGCGGGATTGGAGGCGCCGCTGCGCCGGGGCGCTTGTCCGTGTAGGCATCGTTGCTGCTGTTGTTGTGGTTGAGCTCGAGATAACCGCAGTCCAGCTACCGCAGCAGTTCTAGATGACTGTGATGTCGCGGGGCTGTGGGATGCGTGGGACAGGGCTCCCGAAACCCTCCGCAGTGACGCGGCAATATGTTTCTGTGACCGCATGGTGCTGATATGTCCTCAATCTTGTGTTCAAGATGATGCAACCGTCGACAGGCACGAGCACAAACAGGAACAGATGGTATAGCGCGAGGTGTAAATGTAGTCCGTAGTTTACCTTGTTAGAGGAGAAGGCTAAGATTGAGTCGGCACGCTACTGCGAACCCGGAGCTCATGATGGAGAGAAAATGGAGATTGGTAATCCCAGTTGCCCAGTTCGGGGGGGGGGGGGGGGGGGGTCAACACGAAACCGAATTGGATGCCGTCAAATCCGGGGAATCATGAGGAGGTTGCCACAGGCCCCTCACTAACCCCATTCTGTCTTCATTGCAATCGGGATTCGGGACATTGTTTGCAGTGTTCTGATAAATCTTGACGGCGCTAACATAAGTCGTCATTTCACGTGCTGCGCGGGACGTTCCGAGCTGGCACCCCCGGGGTGTATCGAAGTAGTTGCCGGACCCTTGTGAAATGGACGAGTCCACCAGGCACACTGCAGCCGTCCGGAGAGGCCCGGCGTAAAGCCCCTGTCCCGTCACGCATGCCTGTGCGCCAATGTGCCTCTATGTAGACGGGACAATGCGGGGTACGACGGGTGATGTCACTGGCGTAACCGCACCTTACCTCCCAAGTACGCTGCCCCACCTTGACCATCCTCCAGCTGCTCACCACTACACGTATGTTCCAAATGGCACCACTCCGCCTTCGCTTTTCTCGTCAGGTTCCAGAACCTTGACGACCCAAACAGTCTTGGCCTAGGCTCCCAATTCACTGTCTGTCTCCAGGTTGGATATCCACGACCGCGCTCTTAGTAGTCTATTCTTAGTGTTTTCCCTTTGCTGCCTATTCACTCTTATTTTGCCCCGACAATTTGCAGTCCAGTCCAGGTTTCAGGGAAGGTTAAATAGTCAGCAGCCCCGAACACTCATCGAGAATCGAATCGAGGCCCCCTTCGTGCCAATGGCCTTTCTGTCCTCCATATTCAAAAGACTCTCTCTGAATATGGTCAGCCCGCTGAGTGCGGGTGATTCCGCACAAGACCAAGACCAAGATGACATCGACCGCTCTGTGAACCCTTACCAGCCCACCGCCATGGAGGTAATCCTCGTTAGGGCGATGCTGGAGAAGGCTCTTCAACTGCCACCCGAGATTATTAACGCTATCATCGATCATGCTGAGTACTGGCCCCATACATCGACCGTCATCGACTATAGTAATTGGCCCCAAGGACAAAGGGTTGTCAACGCAGGAGACGGCAGCTCGGAGAACGCCTTCTTGGTGAGTTTGGGTGTCTCGTGCTGTTGGGCCTCACCCTTATACTAAATTCTCGACAAACAGCTACGCACTCTTCCTCTCGGTTTCCTCAAACCGCCTTCTTCCTTCTTCGAAAATGACAGCAACCGCGAAGTCCCACTCGAGCCGATTCCTCGCGAGCCCAAAGAGTTCCCCATCGACACCTACCAGTCCCGCATATCCCCCACCCTCAGTCACCCATGCCGCAAGATCAAGTTCACCATCGTTTCCCACGACCAAGGCTGGGGCGGCGAGCCGCGTACCCGCCGGACTTACAAGAACTCTTATACCTGGTTCGATATTGGCCTCGAACGGTGCCTCCAAACCAGCGACGACATTGACAAGCCGACCTTTGATCCTCAGACCCTCTCAACTATTCTGCCAAAAGTGCGCGAGGTTGATCCCAACAATGACGGAGACCGCCATGTGCAGGGAACGCACACTTTTGACTTTCCACTATGCCCCCAGAAAGATACTATGATCCAGTGCAACGAGGTGGCTAATGGACAATACCATCAATATGAAGTGGAGTGGAAGTGGACCGACAACATCTCGAGCGCTGATCTTTTCGACAGCGGCTATGGTTGTGAGGAGGGCTTGATAGAGAACCCCTTACCCAAGGTGGGTCGCGGCCAGGCGACGGGCGACGGAAAGTTCGTGAGGGACTTGAAGCTCGGTGATGTGATCACTGTCTGGGCCAAGGCAAGGTTCGCGGGTTGGGCCAATTACATCAAGCGTATTCAGGTGGATGTTTACTGGGTCGTTTGAGATGATGAGCAGTTATCACATTTAAGTTTTTCGGTCCTCAGTTTTGAGGTATGTGTGGGTGGCGTTAGGCGTTTTCTGAGCGAGCGTTGTCCTCTCCTCTTCTTTCTCTAACATGCGCTTTCTGTCGCACACGCCGTTCATTTTTCTATCCTAAGGTACAACGAAGGGCATGAAGTACACCAAAAAAGAAGAGAAAAAAAGAAATCACGGAGCAAAGGGGAACACAGAACAACAAGGCCATGATGGCTGTTCATCATGGAATGGAATAACATAAAGGGTTTGCTGAAGTGCGTTTTACAGTGAGGGATTCAGGTTACCATAGGTTCAGAGGCGCGGATTACTTCATTGGCCTAATGCCCTACCTAGATGGCGCTTCGCTTCTAACAGACCCTAAGCGTACCTCAACGTATTGAATGAACTCTTATCTATTCCTCTATCTTGGCTCCTCTATCTTGGCTTCATGACAGTCCATGACAGTTCGAATAGCCTCTAGTGTCTTCCCTCATATGTTCTTGATATATTTGCTCATTTCCGTCCCTTATGTCTCGCCACTCCCAAACGCCCGTTCATTACAACTTTGCTTCAGAATCATGTCTATCTAACACATGAAGTAAGAAATTTCGCCTGATATTATACCGACGGGATAGAATGGCATACACTTTGAGATGAGAGCTCCTTTTTCCTTTTTTTTTTTTTTTTTTTTTTTTTTTAAAGGGTAAAGACCGCAAGGCTATGAGGTCAGGCTTGCAGGCTGTATAGCTGGACAAGAGGGAAGTCAAGTCATCTCCTTTGACTTGGGACAGTCCAATGTGGCTGTGCTTCTTATCTCTCTGGTCCGCATATGGTTTCTGTTCCGTTTTGTTGTTTGTTTGCCCTGACTATGACTTGGATGATATTTTCCTTTCGTCCACATTTGACAATGAACATCAAATCACGGAGAACGAAACAGTGAGAGATATGCAAAATTTTGAATCTTTTTACCACTTTTTTTTTTGTTTCGTTTTTTATATTTGCTTTTTGACTACTTTATCTTATGCTTCTTCGTCGTCGTCGTCTTCTTTATTCTCTTTACATGTTCGCATTGCGTTGACCCAGAAACGGAAGCCAGAAACCAGATCGGTATAACCCAATGAACCTAATCCCATTCCCTTCCCCGGATCATCCTTTCCATGAAGGTAAAAGAAAGAAAAAAAATGTACACACCCATGTCCACTGCCATTCCATGATCTAATCAAACTTTGTGTTTTGAACTTTGTTGTTCGGGTCTAATATACTCTGGTATCAAATGTGAAACCAAACAAGTGTGCAAGGAAAAACGGACAATGAAAATAACCCGAAAATTTTTCTCTGATCCTCCCCCTCTTGTTTCCCATGCGTGCTCAGCTTTTTTTGGTGTTCGCTTTTTTCCGTTTGCAAGTAACGTTCCCCTCCCTTTTCCTGTTTCCCATGTTCCAAATGGTGAACTGCTGACGGCATCCTAGATGAAGTCTGAAGTGGTGATAGCGAGGCCGGGCTTCAAAATCGGCGTGGTCTCGGATAAACAAGACGTTATGCGGATGCAGTCAACATTCCCACTGGAAGTAGGTCCCTCAAAATAACGGGCAGGAAGCCCCTCAACCCGAGGGGTGGGTTTGCGGCAAAATATTGGAAATTTCGGAGACAGAGAAGATGGGAGATGGGGTAGAGCAAGGGAATGAGAGAAGAAAAACCTCCAGATGAAGCAACGATACCATCCAGGCCGGTCAATGATGCCTAAACAACCAAACAAAGAAGCCACAGCATGATCCCATATGAAGTTCTGACCCCTGTGCTATATCCTTGAAGCTTTTCGCCAGCCTGCCTTGTTTAAGAGAAACGCTCCTCTGTAAATGCGTTCGAATGTGTGAAATGCAGTGCATATGGCCTAAGCCAACCGACACCGACGATAACAGGAATGACATTAATAAGGGCCAAGCAAAACCGAACAGAACCCTCCCAGTTCCCCTATTTTCATCAGGACCGAGTTCATCGGTCCATCCTAAATCCGCAAATGATGCAGCGTAGTCGTTTCGCTTTGATATAATGAAATAAAGATGCTTTATGCTGTTGAATCCGCCTATTTCGAAGTCTGCAGATAGATAACTCGTTCATGGAATACGACTATCCGTCAAGAAAGCTTGACCAGTCTCCAGTTGTTGTAGAGCCCGAAGGGTGATCAGAACGGTGACCGTCCATAAGACCTTCCATAATTGAGGTTCGTCGTTGAACAGCAGCAACATGGAATGGACAAGCAGATCTATCTTCAGTCAGGCAGCATGTGTCATCCGAGCTTATGCTATAATCCTGAACTATGTGTCCAATATGGGCTTAAACTTCCGATGGACGAAGCCAGACTAGGATACGTATCCAATAAAGCCAACGTCCCAGATTTCAAGTGCTCGGATGTAACACGCGATTAGTTTTTCGTCCGACAAAACGGAACTGAGGATCATCCCCGGTTCACTATGCCGCGCACGTTGAATGATCAACCACCTCTTCGGTCTCCGTCATTCTTGGGCACCTGCTCGCTCTGGGCAAAGGTACTCGCGGCATGTTTCAAATCAGCCATGCCCTTCTTGCGAGGCTTAGACTTTTGCCAGTCACTGAGCCCCTCACTCTGACCCTTGTTCCCATTCCGCAAGTGCCCATTGCCCCTGGAAGTGCCATTACTTCGCTGATCCAGAACCGGCGAGCGGGTTACAGAGTCGAGTTTTGCTGCAGGGCCTGCTGGCGGGGATTTCACCGGCGATGTCTTCTGTCCTGATCTCCAGGTATCTGAACGTTCTGAACGAGACCCGTTTGTAGACTCGAGAGTTGGCGTGGAAACAGCTAGCGAGGATTCATACTTTCGCATGAGGGTGGGCGATGGTGTTCGCGCCTCATAAACCGGTGAAAGATGTTGCAAATCTTGAGAGACGCCAAAGCTGCCAGCAGCAAGATCAAGGGGCGCTATCCCGTTCTGTTGGCGAGCTATTGATCTCATACGATCACCATTGGGAGGAGATAATCCAGGCGACGAAGTGGTATCGCTGGTCAGTGGCGCGTATGGAATGCCAGGATGGAAACTGTTGGCCATTGCGATGCGCTGCTGGAATGATGCGTCCCCCATATTCTTGGACGAGGCTGGAGACCGGGTAGCTGTAGTACTATTTACAATTACCGGCCGGTCCGGGAACTGAGCAGGGTTGTGACCAGTGACAGTGGGCAAATGGAAGTTGGTCGGCTCGGTCCAACCCCCATTGTAGAAGCCTTGGTGGATGTAAACAGGATTCTCATAAGTCGCATCTTCCGGGACCGGAGGCTCTGCAACGGGTAGTGGTTGACGAGAGACACTTGAAGCAGGTTTGGTTTTGCCCATCGAGCCATTAACAACCAGAGGCCCACGGCTGGGAGCGAGCTTGCCATTGGTTTGCGAAACGGGCGCCGACGGCGCAGAACTATTCCCAACTGATGGGGTCCTACTGTGGCCCAGAGGCGAGGGAGACCGTGAGGTACGCTTCATTCTTCTGTCAAGGACCGACTGAGGCAGCTGGTCACTCGACAGTCGGTGGCGAGTCTCATTGTCGAGCGTCAGTTCACCAAGGGAGGGTATGATGCCGTGAGTACCATTCGCGACAGGACTGGAGCCTCCATGCATGAAAAAGTGGTTGTAACGCGAACCGTCTTCCTCGGGCGGGGAATCGGTCACACTGTTGGCTGATGCAAGATCAATATCCGAATCTATCGCTTCGTCTGGCACGTAATGTGGCATTGCCATCCGCGGGAATGGAATAGGAATTCCAACTGAAGGCTGACTTGTCCCGAGATAGCCCGTCATGTTCTGAGTAGAGGCCGTAGGGGTCCTCGACGCTGGTTGGGATTGAGACCTGAGCGCACCGCTACCAGTAGAAGCGCCGGACTCACTAGCCGCAGCATTTCGATGGAGGCTTCGCCTATACTCGGGCCCTCCACCAGCTGTTGCAGCTGCCGTCACAGGGGAGGACGGATATGTCTGTAGTGCCGGATGGAAATAGGCGGGGTTCTGCAACGGAAATGCGTAACCGTAGAGTAGTTGCTCAGGCCGTACTGGAGGACTCGTCGGGAGATTATCAAAAGAGTTCGTCCGAGACCTATCGGTGTTCTGTGAGCCGCCCGCCCTCGTCCTATTAGCATGGGCGAGCAACTGCTGTTGGTTTATTTGCTGTGAGTGCGCGAACAGCTGATATCGGATACTATCTTGTTGCTGCTGGTGCTGCTGTTGCTGTTGACTCAGTGCGTTGAGCTGGGATGCGTAAACTTCGGGAGGTATCCCGTGCTGGTGATACCACTGCAGGAACTCAGGTGCAGCCATCTGCCCTGGAATTCCGGCCGGCACATAGGTTGAATTGGGATCGTGTGTCACACTCGATGAGCCCCGGCGACCGGCGTTTCCGTTCCGATTGTATTGTCGTGCGTTTCGAAAGCCGCCATTCCGTGGGTTTCGACTTGAGTGCGTCTGCGAAGAGCTTCTAACCAAAATTGGCCTAGATGTACTGGCCGGTTTCTGGAAGATAGTCCTTTCCTCCTCCTTGGGGAATACATATTGCTCACAGCATTCCTCGAATTTGCCGTTGGCAATCAGTTCAAATGCCCGACGTAGCTCCATGTGGAGACCCCGGAAAGACGTGTCGTCGGCTGTATTCCCAAGATTGCGCATGGTGTTGAATGGCTCCTCCACGCAGAGCATATTGTTAACACCAATATGCCAGCGTTTCTCAACTTTACTCAGGAGCTTGCCGGTGCGTATTGACAATGCATACTTGTCGTAGTCAAACTCGTGCGCGTAGAAACGGAAGAAGTTGAAAAGAAGAGCCGCTAAGCTGTCCTTGTTCTTGTCCCCAAATCCGCGCAACTTGTCGATGTCATCAGCAAAATCGCTCTTTGTCCCATCTGGCCTAAGAAGCTTGAGGCTGTTTTCTTGGTGAAGTGCTGGGAGAACTGGAGGGTGCCGTAATTGTAGAAATGCAATAGTCAAGCATATCCATGTATAAGAACTTAATGTGCCACCAAATGCTGCAAAAGAGTAAGCAAGTGCATGTCGAGGAACGAACCACAGGGCGACTGACCTGCATCATTAATTATCCTCCTCCTTGTCCAATACTTGATGATCATGGCCAAAGGCCGCACGCGTTCGTCAATTTCGACGTACGTACGCACCATCCTGGTATTCTCCAGTGCCAGTGTATTGTTGACATTCATATCACATGCTAGTTGGAGCTCGGGATCCCATATCTTGACAATTGGTACCTTTGCTGACGAGACACAAACGACCTTCTCCATGCCATCTGTAAGGACGGAATTAGTACTTGAGCCACAGACATGCTGTTTCAGAGAGAGAAAACTTACGTTTATGGAGTAACTCAGCGATCATGCAGACGCTCTCCAATTCTTTCCATGGAGTTGTGATGCAAATATCCACTGCCAAACGTCAACACTTAAATCTTAACCGCATAGTAAGGGAAATTCGGACTAACCGTCAGAGTCGTCAGAACATAGCAGATTGCCTGAAGACCCGAAAAGGTGTACTTGAATATCGTGTCCAGGCCACTCATCGTTTAGTATCTTCTCCAGCTTTTGTACCAGCTTTTTCCTCTTGCGCTCCACCTCTGGGGTTGGTATTAGACTGTCATATAGTTCGCGCAGGGTTGTTGTGAGTTTCGCCTCATGGTCCTCTGATAGCCTGCTCTTAATCTTGTCTGGATCAACCGGATCCAGTCTATCCGCTCCGATACTGTATGGCATTCGTCGTCTAGAGAATGGAATGGCGGTCTCGAAGCGACAGCCCCCTAACCTGGGAGGCAGTGGCCGAAGTGATGGCACGTTACCATTTGTCTCCGAATATGCAGAACGGGGCGAATGGTTCTGTGTGGCGCCAGGGGATGGATCACGGGACTCGAACGAGAATTTCCTAGCATGTTGATGAGGTGTAGATGGTACTGAGCTGGTTACCGTAGCTGGAAGATGATTCATCTGGTCGGTTGGGAGCGGCGGTCGGGCGGGTAGGCCGTGCAGACCATTCTGATCTGGTTGTTTCTTTCCCGACATCTTGACTGACATTTCCTTTGCGGACGTTATAAGCACGCGTTCGGCGTTTTCTGTGTGCTTGACTGGCCTATTCCCATGACAGCTCAGGACGCTGAGCTTCCCGTGCAAGCCGTCCTTGGTCGACACCTTGGAAGATGATTTCGACCGCGCGACAGGCTGAGATTGCGTCAACGAAATCGCAGTCGGCGATTGTAAGGTAGTCAGACAACTACCGCCTCCTCGGCTGGAAGAAACAAGCCTGTTATAGTACTGCAGCTTATCCTGAGAGATGCTCAAGTGTTGCGGGAGCAGAATCGGCAAGAGCTCGAGATGAGAGGGCAAGTATGCAATGACAGACTCTGGAGCGTAAATCGAGGTCGTCTTCGATATCGCAGGTTCGGCGGGTAGACGCGTCCACAGGTTTGTTTGATAATGATGCTTGAGTTCAGCCGCGGCCGGCTGGGCGTCCATCAAAGGTTATGGTCAGGATCTGCTCTCGGTGCAAGTCCGGCCTGCGGTTCAGATCTGAGGGTTGAACGGACGCGGGCGGCACAATGCTTGATACGTAGAAGGCACGCTGATAAATGTACAGACGTTATGTGCTTTGCTCGTTCACTAAGGCAACGCGGTTAAGGTTATGTACTCTTTGCTAAGCGCAGTATGCACGCTTGAAAGAGACGCTTCGTCTATTTTCCAACGACCAACTGGTACCTGGTACGGTATTGTTTGCCGCCAGCGCTTGGCGCAGACCTCAAAATCGCTTCCAGAGCACGAGTGTCAAGTTCGCAAGCACACGTTCTTGTCCGCAGGTTGAAGTGTCCCACGACAACTAACCGTCCACTGTGGCGCGTCTCGTGAAGACAACCTTTCAGCTCCAGGATAGCCGTTCCAGACACCAAATCCCTTATCCTGGTCTAAACACGATCGCCTCGGGAACACCCTGTTCGCACGTTGCTGACAGGTTCGAGAACCGGGTTATCGAGAAGAGAAGGATAGGGTCGAGAGAGGATCGGAGACGAACGGAGGGACGATTGTAGGTCGGTCGACGAGCGCGTCAGGTCGAGAAACAAGTCGTGGATCGCAGCAAACTGTTGCGAGCCGGGAAATCAGGCTGAACGACCGATGACCGTGATATTCGAGCAAATCTGCGAAAATGCACACTCGGAGCGACCGCAGAGTAGAGTGGGCGTGTAAAGGCAAATATGCGCAAGTAGGGTATAAAAGCTAGAACATCCGGGAGGTGCTCGGCGTCGTTCGGACGGAATATCTCTCGAATGGCGTAAAAGAAATAAGGGTGAAGAAAGGCGTGGTGGAAATAATCGAGAGGAAACGATTCCAGGCCGACGCGTTGAGGTCCCTAAGAACAAATGCCGGTGAGGCCGGGATTGAGGAGCAGAACCAACCAAGGGCGGTCTTTGTGTCGACAGGGGGAAATAGGGAAAGAATTGATGCTGGCGTAGGGCGAGCGATCGATCTCGAAAGCAGGCAGGCAGTCGAAGAAAGCCAGTCGCCGACGTTGTCGAGGATGAGTGGGAGAGGCAGAGCAGCAAAGACGACGAGACGACACCGACGAGCGACGAAGTGGAATAAAGGGTGATGTCGGTGTTCGGTGCGGTGCGGTGCGGAAATGTAATGCGTGAGTGGTGGAGGAGGTGCCTTGAAGTGCCTCTACCGCTTCGCAGTTCGCTTCGCTGAACCTGAGTGGGTGGTTGCGTGGTGGTGGGCGGGAAGCGGAAGATCAGTTGAAAGCGCCGCTCCTTGGTTTGGACGAAATTCCAATCCAGACGAATGTGCAATGCCGTGGTGGGTGCAGTGCGAGGTGAGTGAAGTGAGGTAGGTACAGCGACAGAGGCGACGGCTAGGTGGTGTCGACCGTCAAGCGTCAACCTGGTCACTGAATCTCGACAGGACGGGAAGGAGGTCAAAGTAATGCGATCTGACCCTGCTCTGCTTGGATGTCAGAGGTGCAGAAAGAGAATACCAGACGAGTTCAAGACCGGAAGGAGTCGAGAGAAAGAGATGGTGACGGCAGTCGGTACCTCCACAGTCGCTGTGTTTCGACGGGAAGTGGGAAACTGGAACTGGGCGCTCGCTACTTTCCAAGTCGCAGTGCAAGTGCCACCTGGGTCGCTAGTGATAGCAGCACTGCAGCCTGTACACAGTCCCTTTACCTGGATGGAGCCAGTGACGCCGGGGCTAAACTGGATGGCATCTCAACTCCCACTCGTACACTAGGTACCTACAAAAAAGGAGCATTCAACATTGGTCTGCTCCCACCTTTGGAATCGCTCATTCACTGGTCTCCCTTCAACGGCAACCCGTTCACGCCGTCAAGATTTCCGTCTCGTAGGTCGGTCCCAGCGATCCTTGGACCCCATTTGAGCGTGCGGTGATCCCCGGTTGTGCCCACAATGAGCGTGCCGTTCATTACGCAGTTACAGCGGATTACCGACCGCCTATCCTTACCTCTCCGGTACCCCGGACGGGAGGACTTCAAGCGCCATTGGATTATTGGTTAAGCCTCGACGACAGTGCTCAGCTTCTCCGATGTGTAAGTTACCGTAATTTCTGGAGACCCTTTGCTGCTTTCTGAGCCAATCAGCGGTCTTGGTACGAAAAGTGCGTTCCGTACAGCTCAGCCCAGGTTAATTTGTTAGGCGTTTCTTGCGACAGGGGTCTACAGAACTACAAAGTAAAATCGGGCACGGGACAACCAGGTTGAGAACGGAGACTTGGATAGGGGGCTTGAAGTATACGAAACGCATCCAGTTGATACTAGTCTCTTGTATGAGGTCAGGTGGAATAAGGGTTGAATTGCGTAGAGTGTCAGGTGTAGTGAAGTCCCGCGCTAACGACTCGAACAAACCAGGCTTGGACTGCACAAAAGAGGTACTTACTGCAAGAGCGCAACCACATAGGTGCCCCCGCTGAAAAGAAATCGAACCTCAGAAAGCCAAAGAAACACGCAAAATACACACTGTGACACTGGAACTGCGGCGAAGAAAGACAAAGTGCAGAAGCGTGCAGGGCTACAGTGGGCAACAGGGCTTTGCAGAAAATACCCAATTCACACAAAAACCCACGCGACATTTTTTGCAGAATTTCTCTGTTGAATGACCGGCCCGTCCTTTTACCGTTGATGGAGATTGAGTCACGAAACAGAAACGACGCACCAGCCAGGAAAACGTATCCGCATTTTTTCCCTCTTCTGTGCTTGAAATTGCCAGGTACCGAGCCGGAAGAAACATGAGCGGAAGCGCGAGCTTTGTTTCGGGGCCGGAATGTTCTGAAGGTACAAGGAACGCAGGTATTTCTGCGGCTTTGTGGTCCAGTGCCATGCACGTCATAGGTGTAGTCTCCTTGGCTCTACCTGCCCCCATTCAGCCAGTCCCTGTTGCATCATCTCGATGCTCCGAGCCCCTTTCCAGCCCACCTCGCTCGTCTCTGGCACGCTACACCCGGACTGTACAGCATTTCGAGTCTCGGCTGGCACCATCGGATTTTGGCCCTTGATCAATCAAACATTCTGCCTCAGCGCGGGGAAAGATCAGAACCGACGACAGTGGTTCAAGGCACATCTTTTTCCACCTTATCGGACAATCTGGTCACTGCTCGTCTTTGGATGAACGGCAAGAGACGGGACCAGATGCAGTGGGGTTGAACGATCTTGATTATTGTGGCTACCGTAGAGGTAAGTGATGGCTCTTTGCGCCATTGATGTCTGGGACATTCATTGTTCGCTCTTGGGATTTCTTCTCGCTCCTGCCCGTCGAGTACAACGGTTGCTGTTCGAAGCGGTACTTAGCCCCCCGCCTGGCCCCCGACCATTCTTTTGGCTCCTGCCGTGTCCAGTTATGTACAATGTTGCCAGACTTTGCCGGTTTCCCCCAGTTTTCCCCGCCCCTCCCTTCCTCATCAAACATGAACCCACTTTCATACAAATGCTGCCTGGGAAAGAGAAGCCTAGTGCCTATAAAGACAGCACCGACCTACGCACGATTGTCCAACCAGCCAACAACCATCTGGACCGCTGACTGAGCGCATATAGGTATATCTATATACTTGTCAGTAGCACGAAAGAATTGCCGATCCAAAAATGAATGCATCCCGTAACTCTTGCACATCCATTCAGGTTCTTGATGATCACCTCGATGACCCCTCATTATTGGGACAGGTACCCGTGTTTGATAAGCACGAGGCGCGCGCTCTTCAACTTGGATGGGCATCTCTTTATTTCCACGAGGACGTCACTACGGAGACTCGACCTACCAGTGGTGGCCAAAGATAGTCTAGCACGGCGCGCTTTGGCTAGGAAAGGCCGTCACAAAACAGTGATAAGGATCATTGAAAGTTCAAAATATATCAGCTAGAGTCCCTTTGAAATCTTTCCGAGAACTGTTTGAAATTTAAGCTCAAAGGTATGAATTAAGACGCTGAAATGCGTAATAAGAGTACACCCAAGATGTAAAGTGCTGACCGTAACATGTTCGGTTTATTTCTACGACCATTCGGCCACCTTCCCCTGCCCCGAGCCCCGTCTCCCCGTGCCATCTACACTCCGTCGAGCGCCCAGATCCTCGACTCGTCTTTTGCTGTACGTACCAGGCATTGCACAAGGCTGTTATTAAGCCGGGCCCTTCTCCTTTCGGTTGATATCACGGATTCAATATATTCAACAGCCGCCCCCTGGCTCGGTCCTTGCAGATTCTTTGTCATTTTTCAGCATCCCCGGGATGGAATCCTCGCATCAAAATGGTCGTCAACGGCAGCTGCGGCTTTTCATGGCATCCTTCACAAAGAAGATGGGCTGTTTTTCTAACGCCGCGAGGGAATGGACACCTTGACCTCTCTACAATTTTCTGGATCGTGCCCAGCACACTAATCGCCTGATGCTGAGGGTGCATGCAGTAATACGCCCATAGGGCTGCCTCTTCAAGATCCCGCCTCACCCGCCGCTACACTGTGTGCGGCGCAGCTATTGTCCTAGTTGGAATTGGGTTCGAGTTAGCCTTGCTCCCGTCATCCTCGACTCGCCTTGGTCACAGTTATTATTGTCATCGTGCGTCAGCTGCCGCCCGACAGAGATGCGAGTTCTGAGAATACCACGCTTTTCCCATCATGGTTGCCTGGAGAGCATTTCCAGTGCTTTGACCGAAACGAAAGCCACGTCGAGGAGCCGTCAAATGGGAAAATACCCATCATTACATCCGAGGACTGCTGCAGCCTCGAGGGTTGCACAATATGTTGCACAACATGCCTCATGGCCTTGTTGTGCTTTGCCCCGATTTCGAGAAGCAACTGGGCTGATGGAGGGGTCAGAAATACAAGGTTGGCTAGTCCAGTCACCCGCCGGTTACACATGAATATTCGACGACTCCAGCAATCAGGAGAGTCTCCGTTCGTTAACAGGGCATCGATTGTTTGGTTTTAATCATTGTTCCTGTATACACTACGGCACAAAATACTGGGGACTAGGCTGAGAGATGTCTAGACCACCGGAAGTGTGCGGTGACGCTGCGCCAGCACTTGGAACGTTGAATGCCTACTTATTCACGGTCAGCTTGATACAGCAAGGCACCAGAACAGGTGGAATCGACGAGACCAAATCTGGTCATGATAGCCTCAATATTCCCAAAGACCGAAGCCAAGCTGCTCTTCGGTACACCTAAGAAAGCTTGGGAGCTGCCAAACGGGCGCAACATGAGCTTAGCTCACTCATAACCTGCTGATCGGAACACGATGTGCGTCCCAGTGAGCATGCTAAAATGAAAAAGTACAACCGCAGCCAAAGCTAAAGGCACTAAAACCCCGGTGATAAGAAGCTGAAGGAATGCATCCCAGACCATCCACATAACCATAGGCACGGTTCCAAAGCACCCTCGAGGCCGTCATCAGCATTCCACGCCTTTGGGATCAGGTATGAAAACCCAAGTTTTCACAGTTTGACAGGCTCGTAGGGTTTCATTTCCTCAACTAACAATAACTGAAATCATTGCAAGTGCATTGAGCACACTGTTCTGATTACTTGTTTGGTAGATGTAAAATTAAGAGCTAGGTAATCTTCGTTGACAACCACCCACAGCAAGGACGCTCAAGTTTTGAGGGACAGATTATTATGCAGACGGCCTGCTCGGAGCGAGCCGGGGCACGCTACCTTGGTGGACGGGAAGTTCTCCCGGGCCCACCCCTTGGCTTCGGTCTAGAAGGACCCACAAAAACCCCGGGGAGTTCCTTCTCCCGTCCGTGATCCACCAAATGTCTAAGACGACGTGCCTCTTCGCCCTTGGCTTCTCTTCGTCGTCGGTTCTGGCAGAGCCCTGCAGCTGATATGTTTCACTGTTTTTGCTTTCTCACTCGATATTCACCAACTGTTCCTGTCGATCGGGAGTATCTTTCATTTCACCGGTGTTGTTGACAGCGCACGTAGGTATCCTCGACGATCGACGGAGATGCAGCTGTAACGGGTGCTTTTCTATGTAGCCGCACCATGGCATCTGGTCATACAACGCATATCCGCATCTTGTACGTCCATCAACATTAAGGAGCCTGGCAAAGGCGCTTCGTGCTTCACCGACATGCATAATAATTACGACCGTCTCGTGGGATTGGCTGAACCAAAGTTTGAAAAGTCCCATCCTCTTGAGGTTTTTCTTTCTTTCTTTTAACAATTTGAACGTCCTCAGTTGGTTGAATACCTTAACTAGACAACAGCTTTGGAACTGACATTTCTCAGCTAGTTGTCAACGCCTTCTAGGGCGGAGTTTCTGCAATACATCGTCTGGCTGGTGAGTATACTGGCTCTGTCTTTCTGTTTGGCTCTCGAATCAAGCATGGGGGTTTGACAGTCAGACAGCCACCAACGCATGTTCGGATCTATACATCTCCTTTGGGAAGTCCACCACGTCATCTTCACCTGATTCGCCTTGATTCAAACTGCAGTCTTCATAAATTTTCTCTGACTTAGGCGCAAAGTAGCGCTCTGAAGGTCAAATCAAAAAGCATACTGCGTACTATCTGATTGCATGGTTAACTGCGATGTCTATCGTTCGCCCGCTCATGTTGATCCCAGCACAGCACATGGAGACACGTCAATCCCCCACGAGATCTCGTGGCAGATGCCAGATCGCTCATCACTTTCTGCCTATCATTTGCTTCTTAACCAGGGTTTCAGGTTTGCGTCGGTGCAATCGGTACGCTTACTTCTCTTTTCAGAAAGCACAACACAGATATGCTCAGAAGAGAAGCAGTCAGCGAAGGTACACAACAGGTGGAGGAGTGGCTGCATGAAAAATTGGAGATTCACAGGTCCAAGGCGAAAGCTAGGTACTATAGTAGAGAATCGATGCTTGAAGGAACGCTCCGTCCAATCGGGCAATTCACGAACTATACAGATCACGATTCCCAAAGCTGCATTATCACTGAGACCTACAACTTCAAACCTTGCTAAGTAGGTACCTCTATGCTAGTGTACATGTGTTCAAGCACGTTGCATGGCTAGGCTAGCTTCAGCTATCATCTTGCTGGATCCTTGTTGTTCATTTTCATTTCGTTAGGGTTAGCTTCTACAGAAGCATCGATTTAGGGAAGACTCTTCCTTTCCGTAACTGTCATCTTTTGCGGGAAATTATTACTCTAATAACACACAAGAAGCAAATTTAAAAGAGACCTGGAACCGATGGCAACCCTAGCTGGTACCACTCAACACACGGTAAATTTGCCCGAGGATTACCGACTTAGTTTTGCATACCACTGTGTTTGAAGCCTGTCATTCATTATACCTTGTGAAGAACCAGACTACGGCAGCGCCAGGCGCCAAGGACCAGGGCCAGACCAGGACTTTCTTGAAGATCTCGAGACTACCTGCCAGTCATTCTGTCTACTGCTTGCTCAAGTACTATATGAAGCGAGCAGTTTCGCCACGTGAGTTGGCTTGGTTTCGGTTTTGTTTCTTTGGTGGTCTTGCCAAGAAGTAAACCTTATTCGATCCAGAACCCAGAAGTTCCAGTCCCATGTTTCGTTCATCTCTTGGCTGTTCCCTTGACATGGATAGGTAGGGAGAACTCAGTTCTCGCATGTATAATGATTTTCATCGACCATCATCTCTGGAGGAGCCAGGCGGTGTCAAGGTTGATGTGGTTAGGTAATGAGGGCTTTTTATATTCGTGCTTTCCTTTCTCGTCATTTGTACGACTTCAGTTTGTACACTTGTTGCTTGGTCTCTATCCTGGCGGTGGCTTGTAGAGGTGGTTTTCGTTTCTTTTTCTTGCTTCATTTGCTTCGTTCATTTTTCCCGTTAAATAACTGTTACTAATAAGACATAAACATGGGATTTGACTAAGACTTTCGTTGGCCTCTTTTCAGAAAAAAGAGAAAAAAATGCTCTCTGAGCTGAAGGAGGACACGGAAAGGTTTCACCGGAAGTTCTCTCCCCAATTCTCCATTTTTCATACCCTGGTTCGGACGTACGGTGAGCGAAGAAACATCGTCACACTAAGTATTCCTTTATACGATGCCTTTTGAAAAGCCAGGCGGCCACGCGCACGCATTATTTACCTTGAATATCTTGCGAAGCTGGCTGGCTGGCTTTGATTCACCCCAGATTCAGGAGCCCTGATATGCAGGACATCCCCTCGACGCTGCTCGACGCCTTCCGACGCCCTTCTTCCCACTTCCCGCAGTTATTGTCTAAGTGTACGACTGCAGGCGGCTTGTGGCCATCTAGTATAGGTGACGTAATTATCATCCATATCCCAAACGAGGTGTGTGGGTGTCATGATCCTTAACATTCAATCCTTCTATTTCACTGACAATTGGAATTCCGACACGGACTCACGGCTCACGAGCAAGCAATGTTCGAGACGTAGCTTCGGCGCCAGGTCCGGAAATTGCCTGATGTGTAACTTCATGCTTATCAACGGCCTCGATATACATCAGATGGGACCGATGATCCAAAACGAAGCAGGAAAAGGACAGGTCCATACACTCCGGCAGTAGTAGTGTCTGCTACTGTCATCATTTATGCTACATTCACCTCCCGTTCCCAAATATATAGCTGGGCCGGGTGTTTCTTTGCTTCCGGAGTGAATTCCATCTGTGTGACAAAGGGGGGTATGGGAAGCTCGATACCGTGATGATGTATCTGGCAGATTGGAATAATCAAGGTGTTTTAATGGCAAGATTAATGCGTAGTGGTTACCCCTGACGTTGGTGAGCATAGTGTAGCTTGTGAGTTTGGGGGGGTCAGCGTGTGCTTCGAAGAGTTTACAGAGATGCTGAAAAGTAGTGAAACAACAGGATGGGATCGACATACCGTAGGTAGAGTGTCTCAGGCTAAACTGAGAAGTGCTGCAGGTGTATTTCTAATACTTGATAATGATGGAGATAGTCCCTTGAGGTATGCCATCACTAAGCCAACCGAGTACATTCAAAATGTCAGTTTCCTGACTAGTCCAGCACCCTAGCAGGTTTGAGGAAAAGAGTACAAGACATCAGGCTGATCAAAGATTGAAATGTATATCGGATCGCTTCCTTCGCTATCAGGTATTTCAATGATCTCATGATTTCTGCCCAAAGGACATTTACCAAGAAGAAGGCACGATCGAGGTTAGCAACGCACTTTAGGTCAATGGTTGCTCTTTCCAAGATTGAGCACACCAGGCTATAAACAACTGAAGCGGGCATTGCTCAACGTAACATGGGATTTTATTTTTGTATTCACATTCTCGTCGACGGGGTACTGGTGCTGGTGGGTAAGACTCCTTTCAGCCCACGTTACCCGTTGGCTTCCATGTGTAACAATTATGTAAAGGAACCAGATTGTTTGAAAGTATTCATCATGTTCCACCAACTGATATACATTTACTACCATTAACTGGGAAGTTAGAGATGTGCGTCAATGTGGGGATAATTTCGACCATTGCCCAGCAACTAGGTTTCAATACCCGGACCATGTTGAAGAACGAGAAACCAAGCTGTCAACACGGGTCTTTGATAGTCAATTTTGAATACAATGACACAATGTTCAGGTAGCTTTGTTTCTCCATGAGAGCCAAAGGGTACGCATAGCCAGGTTCTCTCACTCATGAAATGATAGATGAAATCTTTGGCTGTGAAATAGGGAGCCAACAGTGTCTTATCCAAGTCCCTTATTGACGGAACAGTGGAGCTTTCTGGATACAGTTGTATCACACAGTTCTTTTATTCCATGAGCCCTTGCTTAAACACCATGTTCAAGTCCTAGTAAATTCCGAAATATTGGTTGTGTCAAAGTACCGGTAGCCCTAGCTCAGAGTAGCTAGTTGTAGGTGAAACAGGGGTTCTGACCTTACCCCCATATCCCATGTAAGACATTGAAACTAGCTGCACGTAAATGTCAAAAAGAACGAGATGAAACGAACGCGTCGGGAGAACCAGGTCGGAATATTTCGCTTCCCTCGAAATGGGCACGTTTCAGGTGAGTTACCAAACGTGAGACCGCACACGACGATAGTGTCTGGTCTCAACTGCAACCAGCCCTCCTCTGTTGACCAACGTCTTCGCGAACGATTTTTGATCTACGGGGAGTCCTCAACTTAGTCATATAAGACATATCTCTGACAATTGCTCATACTGCATTCGAATTGACGGATGGAAACGATGCCGAGCTTCGTGTGAGCCGCGCAGTTCGGAGTAGCAGTCAGTCTCACCTCCTTCCCGAGAGGGCCGCAGAGATGGAGATGTGGTGTGATGTGAATATGCCGTTCACATGCAGAAAATCGTCTGAAGATGAGCCACTCAGAATAGGGTGATATAAAACTGTGTTCTAGAATATGGGGTTGGAGAGTAGGCAGGTTGTTGGTGGCTGCCCAGACGTGGGTAGTCAATCTTCTGGGCCGACTGCGGGATTGGATAGGGATCCAGTGAAATAGTAGAGGTACTTCCTCACGGTGGTGTGGATTACCCTTGAAAAAAAAAAAAAAAAAAAAAAAAACCTAGAAAGACTTGTAACCAGCGATAAAATCTATGATATGCGCGAGGCTCCTTCATGACCATTGGGGCGAAAGGCCATCAAGGTTCTCCCATCTGCCGCGGCGGGTCGTTCTTGCTTCAAACTGGATCACCATTGCCTGAGACCGCTTATCCTCCAGTTAGTCAAGACTGAATGTCATTGTTGATGATGAAACGACTCACGCACCTGAAAAGACGTATGGGCATGTTTATCGGCTCAGCAGGCTGCTTGAGCAACTTTGTTTCGGAAAGTTGCTTGTTTGGATTTTCGTCTGGCCATCAAGGTACTCAACAGCGTCGTTTTCAGAAAGAAGTCACCGTGCAGGCGGGTCCATGGCTACCTATCACCAACACCCTGAATGCTGGGTGATATCGGATTCTTAAGACTCATGTCCTAGAGGTACCTGGGTATATCCCGAAACTACCAGGACACCAGTACCTGTAACGATATAATGCAGTAGAAATCCCTGCTTCTACAAATGGAAGCCTTCCTTTATGCATGAAGAACGCTTCCCAATCACAAATTATTTCGTGCCTGAATTTTTTCCCGTACTGAAGCTGCAAACTGCAAATCGCAAGACCTCAAGGCCGGATTTGCAAGAACAAGGGTGCCTTAAAGTGGTCAGAAGCGTCTAGAGGGGTCTGTGCACTCACCTGTCCGTCCTCTTGCACAAGATCCTCTTCAAATGCAAGAAAAATGGCTGCCCGAATTCAGTCGAAATCCGATAAAGGCAATCGTGGTCATGCAAAAGTTCGAGTTAGTCAGAGTCCAAATGTGTTCCTTTATCGCTTACAGATCTACCGATTTCACTGCGTGGTAAGCAATCAAAACAGCGTGCCTGTCTCGAAGCTGTGGATTTCCCAGAAAAACGTACAGTCTGTTGCGTCCACTCTACTTGAAGCATTTTTCGGTATGTGGCTGTAGGAGGAACTGAAGTTTCCGCAAAAACCGGACTCTGGATAGTCCAATTATTTGCGGTAGGAGATGCGGAATGACGACAATTCCACCAAGTACGGCATGTCTGCACCGCTATACATGATTGGAATCGCGATTTGTGCCACCGTGATTTTAGTCGCGAAGGCCTGATTGGAGCTTGATGGCAGTTTCTTGCGGTCTTCGAGTTCCGGAGTCTGGACGTCTTGGTGTCTTGGACCCTTGTTCTGCCTCGATCCGAATCTAGGCATGATAGTCCAGACATGCGAGAAATGTTTCCGGATGTTTCAGGTGGAAGGTTATGGAAATGGAAGCTGTCAAACCGCCCTCGGCCCAGTCCGCCAAAAATCCGAATACCCGGAGAGAGCAAACTCATGTCATGATGCATGCCGTAGATCAAGGATTGGTAAACAAACCATGGGAGCACCAAGATTCCAGCTAGAGAATCGTATGTATGTGGCGTGAAGGAGAGTTCGATGATCGCTGACCTCGAACTCCTAAATCTAGAGGTTCGGACCAAGCATATGCACTCGATTCCGCCTTCCTCTTTCAGCGGCATCATGGTACAAACAGTTGTGCCTAATCTCCACAGGCCTTCAACCTATGGCCGAGTGCATTTGTAAGGTAAGCAGCAAGCTCTGGAAGGTACAATCGCGTCCCCAGGCAGGGGGGCGATGAACCGGTAGGTGTGAAATATTGCCGTGAGCTTGCTTCATGACCTCCAAGGCCGGTTTCAAAGAGATACTTAAGTCATGTTCATTGAATAACAACCCAGAAACGCTAAAGAGGTCTTGGATGAATTCCCAACTAAGAAGGCAACTGAGTGATGTCCATACTGCCCCTGGTGCAGTGACAGTCGAAGTTCAGAAGTTGAAGCTTCCCGTCGGCACCTACCCCGCTAACGGCCAGAGAACGGCAGGGGTAAAATTGGGTCGACATGGGGCATCATGTACGGCTCCGTAACCGGCAGGTACACGGTACCCACTATGCAGTCTTGGGCCCGCCCGCGACCCACGTCTTGGGTTCAACTCCGCGACCTGGACCTTTTCCATTTGTCGCCGACCTTGAATCACTGCACCAGTGCTTTTCTTGCTCTTCCACCTGCTTGAGAGTCCACCATTCACGTCATGCTTAACTCGCAGCACACACCGAGCATCCGACGTTCGTGGTATCAGGCGGTGCCAATTCGGCGACAAAGCTAAGCCGGTACTTTGCCCAACCGACCAACCGACTATCTTACAACCCGACTCACCACCCTTGGGACGTAACCGAATTTTCTCGGGCTGTATATCCGCTGATTATGGCAGGCTTCTCCAACCTCAAGGTCTTCGCTGACCCAAACAAAGATCATCGATTGTGATGGCAATTCGGAAGGGAAGCGAGAAGGACCGTCAAGCCAGGCCAATTACCAAACAACACTCCACCTGCTCCTCCGCGCCAAGGCTTGATTCCATCACCAACCTCCATCACTAACAGTGTCTATCCAAAGCTTCAGGTTGCTCTGCACAACAAGAAGTTTCCGAATGCCCGGGTTTTGATGTTGGCGTTTAGCCCTGGGAACCCGGCTGGGCTGTTTAGCAGCCTGCGGAGGCTAGATACCTATACATGGACCGACAGGTGCACTATGGTGCGCGGTATGCACAACGTCAAAGAACTGTGTCCCATCTCAACCTGCTTGCTGGGAGCTTCGCTTTTTTACTCGGCCCTTGTCTGCCGCCGCACCGGGTACCTATTTAAGTTCTGAAAATGGGTTGCACCGCTATCCAGTGTCATTGACACATCGGCCGTCAAAACTAAGATAAATTCTATAGTGTACCTTCCACCGCCTCGGTGGTCTTGGATAAACGGGTTGGCCTGGTCTGGTCTGTACCTAGGCATTGTGGACGGCCCCGCGTACATTGCATCCGGCCGCTGTTGATGAAAGTGCAAGGTCGAGAGAAGGCCCCGTCCCCCCCTGTTGAAGAAAAGTACCTAAGAATTGGTCCAGCCTCCCATGTCTTGGGGTCTCCAGAGTTCTACCTCTTGGCGGTACCGGTAGTGTGCATGTGTATTTACAGCATGGTACAGTATCAAATTCCTGGGCAACGGTAGACCGCTGCACCACTGCACCATTGCACCAGCCAAATTATAAGGCCGGCGCATGGCTTCGTAATTCCGATACCACTTCTCGTTACGAGGGGAGCCCGCCATTTCGTCGCGTCTCTAGGTGGCCTTCGAAGCGCAAAGGTCGGAACAACAAGGTGCCAGAGCAAATGATGACACAGGCGGCTGTAAGAGCCTCCAAGGCCTCTTTGCAATATCATCACTCTCAATCATCTCGAATTTTGGTTTGCGCTTCGGTCTGTTGTACTTACTGCTGACGCTTGTGAAGGCACGGAGGGAACGAAAGGACTTTCTCCCACCAGTCGACGATGAGTGCGAAAAAAAAGGGGATCACACCTGCACACCCTGACAGACCTGACCTCTCCTGGCTCGAAGAACCACCACGTCAGGCAGATCGACCCACGTTCCGCACATTCGCCGGGACTAGCAACCTCCATCTCCCCGGTCTTTTCCTCTGTCGCAACCCTCCACTTTCCCACTTCTAGCCTACGCGTATCAGCGGTCGTAGTGTACTGCCAGTGCTGCCCACTCTTCTCCTAAAAACGCCAGCTGCGCGTCCAGCTGCGACTGCGACTTTTCCCTTCCTCTCCTCCTGTTTTGTTCTGGTTTGGATCTCGACTGCCAATTGCTTTTTCCATCCCGCTCCCGACCCCTTGGCCCGTCTGTCGATTCAGCATAGAGGGAACAAGGTTGCCGACGACAGGTAAGCACCAACTGCAAACAAGCCCGCAAATCGCACGAGCGACAATCGAGATGGAAGCGTGATTCAATCTTGGGAATCAAGTCGATCGAGGGACGTGGGAGGCGCAATCAGCCCTTTCTTCTGCCGGCACCGGGCGGTCACCACCGCTGGCTGGCACCACAGGAAAACGAGCGCAGATGTTCCATCAGGTTGCAGGGGAAACATTTTTTTACCTTTCCCAAGATCCAGATGCCAGTCACTCCAACTTGCCTGCCTGTGCGCCACCACGCCCGAATCGATTTGGGGGCCCAAGGAAAAAGACAATTCCATCTCCTTTCGAAGCATAGTCTGCACCGCATTGCATATTACCATCCCGTTTACACCAGCCCCGATTCATTATCACACCTTGACCCCTTCTTGTCCTTGCCTGCCCCTTCACCTTGACCACCCCTCGGTCTTTCCTGTCTCGTGCTGAGCAAGGAGGAACCGCCACCGTCCTTCACCTTAGTCGTCCAAACCTAACGCTTGGCGCCTTGTCCCTATTATCCAGCCGCTACTGGAGAGCACACCACACCTTGACGGTCTCAGCCTAAAAAGATCTTCTGAATTGCCGACTGACATCCCGCAGAGTCAACTCCAGACCGAGATCCCACCAACCTGGTCTCTCCCATCCAGGTTGCCATCCTCTTCCTGCGGCCTTCCGATATATAAACGCCCGACGTCGTCCTCGATCCACACCGAGTCCATCGATATAATGTCCGGATACTACGAGCCCCCTCAACCCCAATGGCCTCCCGCCGGCGGCCAAGCCTCGGGCTGGGAACACCAGACCCCTCCTCCTCCGCCCGCACGGTCCGGTTAGTCTCTGCTCTGCTCCCTATGGCGTCGTCCCTTATATTCCAGCCTTGCTTGCATACAGTCAACAGAGAAGACTAACTCTTGCATTCCATCATCAGGTGCTAGCTCTGCCGTCCCCCGCGAGGAGTCCGCCGCTTTTGCTTATCAGCTCGAGGGTACGTAAATACTCCGGCAAGCTCCGGCCCGCTTGGCTGCAAACCGAGCCCTGTTCAAAACCGCCCGCTTCGAACATCAAAATGCCTCTACGTTTACATGCACTGCGGGATGATGGTACTTGCCGGCATGGGGACAGTAGTTGAAGGGAGGACACATACTGACATAGACTATCTGCAGAGGTCGACCGCGCCATCGACAACCTCGTCAAGAGCGGAAAGATGTTTGGGATGCCTGGTGGCCGCCGTGAGTCGTTTCCTGTTCCCGGCCCAGCCAGATTCTACCCAGACTTCGGTAAGTTTGCCTGGGACTGGCCGGGCTCACCCCAAGTTCCTCAGCCCACTAACGTGAAATCGTAACAGGCGGCCGCATGGGAGCTGGACCTGGTCCCCGTCCCCACTCCATGGTCGACTTCAACGATGCGCGCGGCCCTCACCAGCCCTCCAACTTGCAAACCTTCTATGCTGCCCAACGTCACCAGCCCTCGCGCGGCTCCAACGAGGCGGAGCAGATGATGCAGGCCAAGAGGAGACTGGCTGCCCAGCGGGAGCGGGAGCTTAGGAACTACCACCAAGAGCAACAATACAACCGAAGTAGGCCGCCCTCTTCTGTATGAATCAGTTTCCCTATCACAGCCAAACGACAGGGAGGACGAAAAAAAAACAGAAAATCATAAAAATTAGATTCGGCGCCTTCGCGGGTCACAAAAACACATTCTGATCTCCTATTGTTGCATCACCACAAGTGCGGTTCGACGCAACCCTTGTCCTGTGTGTCCTGATATCGTCTGTAGAGATCGACAGATCGGCGCCCTTGGTCGACTCTGGCTGCTCACTCACATCCATCCTCAGACCATTTCCCTCATCTCTCCGTTTACGAAGTCTGACTAACATGTCTAGGCGTCCTTGCCGACTCATCCTCGCAGTTCGGTGCTGCCAAACCGGATCGTACCTTGAGCCCAGGCAGCGGCCTGTCTGAAGAGGAGCGCCGCAAACTGATCGCCTCGCAGCGCAGTGCTTTGTACGGCGAACAGGGCTTCCCTGATGCTGGCGTTTATGGTGAAGAGAATGCCGGTCCTCGGTTTGGCTTGACAGCTGGCCAGAACCTTCGCGGAGCTTCTCCAATGGCCTTTGATTACAACCAGGTCCCTCCCGGCTTCCCACCTCAGTCCCAGATTGAAGGCGCCCAAGGAACTCAGTCTGCCGGCCCGCACGAGCGATCGCGTGCTAATAGCAACACGAGCCCTCAGTCGAACCCGTCCGGCGGCAAGGGTATCTTTGACGCTCCTATCGGGCACCAAGCGAACCGTACTAGTGCCTCGTCTCCTGGAGGCTCGCCGCCGCGTCAAAGCGCTCCCGGCAGCAAGCCTGGACAAAACACTGTTGCGCCTATTGGAACCCGGCCATCGACGAGCAATACCGCCACGAACCCTGCTTTGAACAAGGGCTCCACGACCTCTCTTGCGTCCCCGTTGAGCCAAAGCTACAACGGTACGGCTAACAATGAGGCTGGCAACAACGGTTCCGCCGCTCCTGCTTCTGCAACTACCGAGGGCCCCAATGTTGGTCTTTCTGGCTGGGGTACCCGTTCCAACGGCTGGGGCAAGGTGGGCAATGTCCAGGCCAGCGTGTGGGGCTAGAGGTCGTAGACGTGTTTAAGGGGGAGGACGCCCCCAAAGGGGACGGTGACTACGAAGAGGATGAATGACAGCGCTTTGAAGAAGCATAGGAGCTTCCCGGAATCCGGTATCCACAAGCGTCTGACTGCAATGACTTGTTCAGGACTTTTTGCACAATTGGAGTCTGGGAAATGGGATCCATTCATGTGGTGGGGCAGGGCGCGTCGGATATGGATGGCAATGGGCAAATGATTTTTTCTTTTGGCCGGTTTGGTTGGTTGGTTGGTTGGTCGGTTGGTTGGTTGGCTGGTGTCTTGAATGTTGCGTGTGGTTGTTGCTGCGAGCGTGCGTGCGTTTGGTCTGAATTGGGATAACCCTCACCAAAAATTGAGCGAGTGCCAAAGTGCAAGGGGGTTTATGGGATGGCATAGGAAACGAAATGGAGGGTTATACAATGTTGATGTGGCTGGATGGTACGGAAGCGGTTTTTAATTGTTACGGAAGACTGGCGGATTGAATTGGTGGCGGTGCGTTGCGAACGAAACGGGACGTCTGGTTTTTCTATGGTTTTGTTGGTTTGCAAAGAGGTGGTTCGAACGTATAAAACAGGATTTGGCGGAAAGCTTGTTGGGCTGTTCATGTTATGTTTTTGGTCTTATTCTATGGTGTTATATTTCACAGCTAGTACATCTTGCGGCTCTTGCATTGGCATTTATTTGAATTTGGCGTTCAAGGACAGTTCCCTTGTGATATCACGAAGATCTGATAACGGCGTCGATCGATGATGGATGAGCGAATGAACGATGCTTGAATCGATCAGGCGACCAAGACACTTAACACCGAACGAGCGGGCAAAAAAAAAAAAAAAAAAAAAAAAAAAAAAAAAAAAAAAAAAAAAAAAAGGAAAAAAGAAAAGAAAGACCGATCGTCGATAAACAATGTGTAGAGGATGGAGGCCTTGGTATGGGTGTAATGTCATTCTTCCATAGGCGATTGTAGAATTGATGTTTTGGGATATCTATTCTTTCTTGTTTTGAGGGCTACGGGAGGCAATCGTTTTGAGGACTATCGGGAGGTAAACTAATAAAGAAGGTTAGTTTATGAAGATGAATGACAAGATTCAATTAGGTACATCAACGCCCCTATACCATCCATACACCCAGACTTAAAAGGACTCGGTCGTAGACACCAAAGGACACTCGAAGAACGACCCCTATGTGAATATGCGAGATCCCAAGGTAACAAAATGCGGCAAGAAACATGACCTTACGGCAGCGCTGTGTAACACTACGACGGCTGATCACAGTCACAGACAGGTCGGATAGGAGCTCGCTAGTCAAACAAGTCGGGTTTGTCATTTGATCCCAATCTGATATGCTCCACCTACGTATTACCTCGTCTCATATCCAACCCCCATTTTGTATCATTATCATATCCCAGAGGACGGGTGCCTCCACTTCTGCTTGACATGAAATGAACGGTTTTTAAGCACCGTTCCGTCAGCGACTCTTGGCCACCCGACTCCCAACTGTCCTCCAATCAACTCAACTCCTTCTGACAAGAAGTTATCGAGACAACCACTCCTTATCGGAAAAGACTCTTCATCCATTGTTCACACCCTCTTCGTCCCGCTTGGATCATTCACTCACACCCACCCTCGCCCCCTCACATGCCCCAAATGTCCAATCACACCCTCGCCCCAGCCTCCCCATCAGCCAGGGCCTTCTGCCTCGCCGCATTCAACGCCTTTAACTTGGCGGTTCCCACGCCCGCCACACCCTCACTCTGATCTGCGCCCAACCACGGCTTCTTGGAATCGCCCAGCACGCTTCCAGCCAGGAAATACACCACCAGTCCCAAGATAATGCACACAAACGCAATCGGATACATAAAGTGAATGACATACTTGAACACCTTGACACCCACAATGACGCCCCAGAAGTTGGCCGTTAAAAGGGAAATATCGAAAAAGGCGGCGCTGCCCATGCGCAAGATCAGGGGAGCGAGGGAGTAGAAAATCAGCATGGCGAAGGTGTAACCGACTAGGTAGCCGGCCACAGGGCCGTTCCAGGTAGCGTCCGTGGCGGCCTGTCGGTCGAAAATGGCGGCCTGGACGCCGTTGATGATGACGCCGAAAAAGCCCAGGAAGGAAAGAACCTCGTAAACGGGCCGTTTGGAAACGAACCACTCTTCGTAGACATTGGAGATTCCGTACAAGGTGGCGCCCAAGAGGCCAAAGAGGTCGCCCTTCAGCATGTTCACTCCGGGACCTCCGTTGGAACCGGTGATGTGGTCCGAAGCCAGCAGGATGCCCATGCCGCCGCAGCAAATCAGGATGCCCCCGATCTGAAACCATTTGTACCGCACTTTGAGGAGGGCAAAGGAGATGATGACGACGCAGACAATGGACCAGAAGTTGAGGAGTTGTGCTGACAAGAGGTTGGTGTAGCGGTAGGCCAGGACGGTGAAATAGTTGCCTTCGACATCGAGAAAACTGAGAATGATGTACTTCCAGCTGTTGCGCCAGGTTTGCTCAAAGAACTTGCGAGGGCCGCCGGTCTTGTAAAGGGCAATCGGGAAGTAGACGAGAAAGATCAAGGCGTAGACAAAGATGGTTTGGATGGCGGGGATCGAGGTTCCCAGTTCGCTGAGGAAAGAGGAGAAGGTGTTGGTTGCCGTGATGCAGAGAGAGAGAATTTGCCCGATGAGGATGACCAGCCAGAAGTCAACGGTCAGGAGGTACGAGTACCAGTGCACGTTTTGCGCTTCGAGCTTTTGGATGCCGAGGGCGACGAGGTCAGGTTCGTCAAGGCCGGTGAGGACAGCATTGTTGTTGGGAGCGGCGCCGCTGGTGTTGGAGGTGGTCTGCTCGGCGGTGACGAGGGTGGTGGCGCCGTAACTTTTGACTTGGGTCATTTCCGGCTCGGAGCTGGAGGGGGTGATGGTGTTGTTGGCCATTTTGGGCAACGGAGTGGGGTGGTGAGCTGGTGGATCCCAAGTTCCAAAAGTCACTTTTGTGACGATATTGCTGCTTTGTGGTAACAATACTTGTGAAACGCTGATGGAGAAGTTCTATTGACCGTTTGTATAGCAAGAGCTCAATCTCGGGTCTCAGAGGTATAACGTCTACCGTAGGTACCAGTTCAGCTCCAACAAGAGGAGTGGTGAGGATGTTTTCTGTTCAAACTGTTTCGTAGTTAAGACGAGTCGTTGTTTTTCTTGTGATAAGACAATTGGCAATGACCCGCTCAAGTCTTTCCTACGTCTTTGGAGCAAGCGCAAAGACTTGAAGTCGCCTGCTCTTCTCAAATTTGGTGCTCGTGTATGACTCGGCACAAGTAGGCCTCGTTTTGTGCCGAGTTGCTAAGGGAGTCGGAAGACGCCGATGTCGTGTTGTACATGTGGTTGTTGTTGTCGTGGGAGCTTTAAGGGTGACTGAGAGAGTCGGATCCAAATTGGTCAACCCAGGTGACGAACGAGTCGCGGGCGATTGTTGTCACTGGAGGTCAAACAGGGGAAGAGAGAGATGATAAAGATGAGCGAAAACAGTCTTTCTTTTCCTATGGTAATAGCTACAATAAGGAAGAAAGGGTGGGAGGAAAGGTGGGTGATGGAAGTCTGTGATGGAAGAGTGAAAAAGAAAAGAAGAAAAAACAGCAGACAACATGCCGGGGAAAGAGTGTGGTTGATATACTCTGGTGTGCAGATGAATGACCTGCACGATAGGGCTACGCTATGGGTCTCTATCAGGTGCTAGACCTCTGCCCAGTACATATGCGGCAAGATATTGAAAAATTCGGGCACTCCCGATTTGCAGATGGCTAGGCGTGAGAAACACGTTTTTTGTTAGCAAACAGATCGGCGACCTTTTTCGCCTTTTTTCCGCCTTTTTCCTCCTCTGAGGCGGACGAACGGTCCAGTTGGGGGAAGAGGAGCCGTAGAAAGAGGAGCTGGTCAACGGATTAAGCTCCTGAAAAGAGTTTTCTGGACCGGGCTCTGGCCCCACCACCACCGGAACGGACCCACTGGAGGCTCTCGGCCCTGACTGGGATCCTGGCTCTTGGGACTGGACGAGCAGGCGGGGAATGTTTGCCGGTTATCGCGGCGGGAGGGGTCCACGGGGGTTTGCCGCGTGGAAGGCGCACGGCCGCCGACCTCAACCGGCCCCGTCCCGTCGCTGTTACCAACGTCTACCGATCGGCACCCGACGGGTTTGACCACCTTCCCTCGATTACCTACTCACTTTCACGACAAACTTTGTAGCTGTATGCGAACCAAGTGGCGATGCTGACGTCTTTCTCTCCGCCTTCGCTTCAATTACCGTGCGATATCGATGTGCGATCATGGTCGTTCGTATCCCCGCCATATACAGCAGCAGAACCAAGATGGTTAAGTACATTCTATAACCCATCCCATTTCCCGTCACCTTTACCCCCCGCCCCGATCTGGCCATTCTACCAGCTCCCATTCCTCCTCCTCCCCATCCTCCTCCCTCGTGAATTGGGCTACCAACGCTTCAACTCCCCGTCTCGCCAGATCCATAACCTCTCTCGACGCGCCCCGAACAACCCTCGTGATATTATCCATAGCTTCGTTAATCTGACCCTCTACATCCCATTCCCTGTCTTCCTCTTCCTCTTCCTCTTCCTCTTCGTCGCTACCACTTTCAATTCCCAGCACCTCCTCCTCCCCATCCTCCCCATCAACCTCCCCCTCGAGCTCCCCCTTCTCAAGTCCCTGAACCCGTTCAATTAACCCCCCTACCACCTCCCTCACCCATTGTTGTGGAACCTGTTGCGTCAACAAGTCCTTTGACCACTGCGTTAACCCTCTGACCATCTCCTCCTTCCTCTCCTTTTCCCTCTGTTGCCTCCAGGTGGCCATAGCCGCTTCCCTTGCTTCTTCTGAAGTACCTTCTCCGAAATCCGTGACAGTTTCCGACACAGCCTCCGCAATGGCATCATAAACATGATCAGGATCATCTCCAGCGCGAGTCAAAACCCGGACCAGCCTCAAATCTCGCACCTCGCTCAGATGCCTGTGCAAAGCATCACCCGCTGTTTCGGGGAAAGCAGCTTGTCTGGCAGCTGAATGCTGGAGGAGGTCGTGTTGAAAAAAGTGTATCTGGACCTCGGGCAGGTTTCGTCGTCTTCTTCGGGTTGTGCATGTTTGGGCTTCTTCGCTTCCGCGGGTGAAGATCATGGGTATACCGAACGGACGAGGTAGAAGGGGATGTGGTTGACCATGTTGACGGGGTCGACCATGCTGAGAAGCTTGGGAGTGGGATAGGTGTTGGCGTTGGAAGCAAGCGTATTGCGTTTCGGTGAGGAGGTAGACTTGGCCCCAGACTTGCGTGTGGAGGTCGTTTTCGACATGTTGGGTTTGGGTATGGTTGTGAACTTGAGGATGGGAGTCGGAGACGGCGGTAGAGGTGGATCCGAAGGATGTGGCCGAGTTGTTCAGGTCGGTGGAGGGAATGGGAGCAGGAGTTGGAGTGCCATTAGGCTCGGGCCAGGCACCAGGTACTTGAGTGGGGAAGGGCGCGAGCGCGGACCTAGACCGTCGTCGAGAGATGGGTTGTCTCCTCGAGCAAGGACTGATGGTAGATATGGCAGGAGATATGCTGAAAGATTTGGCGTTGGTGTCATTGGTGGCCGGATTTTTGGGCAGAGACGGAGATTCCAGCATTGCAGACCACGAGCTCGTACTATTCCCGGTGGGCTGTGCCGTAATTGTCGATGTCATGGAGGAAGAGGCAGGGCGTCTCTTGACTTTGGTGATGGTCAAGTCTCCACGATGGTTAATCACCAAACGATGTCCATCGAGACGGGCAATCCCCTGTGATCGTGCATGCGGGCAGTATTTGGCTATGAACTCCTCATGGGGGATACCGATGGCCAAGACTGGGATGTCCATGGGCCACCACTTCAGGACGGTATTTCCGATCATGGTTGTCATGCTGGGCGGGAAGCCAAAGGCGCTGGATGACATAGAAGTAATGAATGAGAGTGGGTTGAATTGGCTGTAGACGAAAGCGAGATAGTGTGGACGCCTGGTTCGAACGGGGAAACAGAAGTCAAGAGCCTAATGGGCAGGCCCGGGCAATTTATGTTTGGAAGACGTTATGAGATGGACAAGGCCAATATGCTTCGCTCAAAGGACAAGTAGTCTTGAAGCTGCATATTCCATGCGGGAGGTGGCGGACGAGGCCCGGAGGTCCGGATCTGCCGATGTTTATCAGTACAGGTATAACGGGCATCAACTTGGATCTACGGACATGAACTTGACTGACCGAAACGACAACAGGGAGAATGGAGCCGTCAGCAAGAATCATTGCGGGTATGTGCTGTAGGCGGCGGTTTTATGTCGTTGAATCTGAGGCCCGTAGGTATACTGCATACCTTATCAACGCCCGACGCTGCAGCGGAAGACGAGACGGTCATCACGAAGGGCCGTGGTTCCGGGTATCATTACATCTTGCAGCAGGAGTCCCAGTGCTTCACATAAGTCAAGCAAGCCAAGTTTGCTGGAGTCATGCTTGGTTGAACTGTGAGGATTCCAGTTGGACTTGATTTGTGTGGAAAACATAATTGAACTGAATTACTCAATTGACATGTTGGGACCAAGAGTCTTTCTTCCGGTTATCTACCAGGGTTAATCTCCATCACACCACACATTAAGAAATCCTTCCCTCACTGCCACTTCCGAGGAAACGAAATTCCGTTCAATGCTGGGGTGCATCAGGCTATACACATGTATCTACGTGGACTAGAAACGCACCGCCGGAAAGGTATATCAGCTCCAAAGATTTTGATCCTCTGACTAAACGCGCGCCCAAATTCGTCATTACACAAGTCAGGACTGACCTTGAGCTTGCTTCGACTTGGCCGAATCCTAGGCACCTAGCTTTGCTTTGCTTAAATTTACCCAGATTTTGCTTTGATTGCATGCGACGTTGACTTGTGAGAAGCACTGGGCAGGACTCTCCTCCTTTCCTCCAAGCTTGTGTTGGTAACGACGTGGCCAACATTTAAGCTTGATCACAAGCATGGATTAGACGGTGCTCAACGAAATGATTGAAATTAAAGACTTGCCCAAACCCGAAGAAAAATATTCCAAAAAAAAAAGAAAAAAAGAAAAAACCTAGGGTGCTATGCAATTATGAGAAATTCCAAGATGAACTATGTATACACTAATCGCTACTTGTTTGTTGTGCCGATGTTCCAATAAACCAAAACCTTCCTTTCTAGAGTTTCCCATTATCCCTGCCATTCTAACAAACATCCAGTTGCTGATTGAAACGATGGCGGGAAGAAATATGCAGATGTACGAGACGTTCAAGTCTCTCTTCCCCTCCAATCCCACTTAAACCCCTCCAAGATTCCCTCATCTTCCACATCCTCCTCCGAGTCAAATATGACAAGTGTGACTTTGTACAAGAAGCAACCCCCCCTTCCCCCAACAGGTGCACCGAGGCACTCATTTATCCCACAATCTCGACAGCACCAGCAGCAGCTCCGCCAACTAAAACATGCCGGTTCCAAAACCATCCACCAACCTTGGGTTCGGTACTGTTGGCCGTTCTGGCGCCCTCTGCTTCGGCTGCTTAACGCTCAAACCCCTCGCAACCCCAATACCCCACACCCTCGCAACTTCTTCAGGGTCCGCTGCATCTTCTGCACCACCAAGCATGGGCGTCTGTGCCCTACTCGGTGCCCGGGGCGGATGTTGGCCAAAGATAGGCGTCATGGGCGGTGGTCTATGCGCGCCCAATGCGGTTGACGGTCTCGTGCCTATGCCTGTGTCCGTGCCGTCTTCGTAAAGTCCATCAAACGTACCATCGATTGCGGGCGTGGTGGCCCTGCGGAGTGGTGGGGTGTAAGGGGCCTGTTGGCTTTGGTCGTGCTGCGAAGGCGGGCTGGTGGTGCTACGCGAGTCAGCATCGGGACTGAAGTTGAAGTTGAGCGGCGCGGGTATGTGGGGCCTGTTGAGGGTTGAGGCGCGCGGGGCGGGCGGGGCGGGCTTCAAGGGCGAGATGATGGCGGGGCCGGGACCGATCATGGAGTCGGGCGTTGGAGGGCCCGTGGTTGTGAGGGACGAGGCGGAGGTCGGATCACCAAAGGTGGAGCTGGGGCTGATGTTCTGGCTCGAGCCGGTAGGGCCGAAATCGAAGTTGAAGCCGGCGTTGGCGAGCGGGCTGACGGCTGGTCGATGCGGTTCCGGGTCGGGAGTCAGGGCCGGCGTCGGCGGGTTGAAGTCACGTCGCGGAGGGGGATGGCAGAGCTGCGGAGTGTTGGATCGCTGGGGCGAGTTGAATGTGCTACTGTCGGCGGTGCCCGGGTACGGAGAGCTCATGTTGCCGCCGGTTGTGGATGCTGTGTCCGATCTTCCTGGGCGAGAAACAGGTGTCGATCGACCGCTGTACAGACTGTACTCTTCGAGAGCAGGACGACGAGTTCTGAAAGCTGCTGCCGGTGGCCCTCCTCTCCTCGGGGTTGGTATTCCATAGCCGCTACCGCCCGCACTGCTGAATGATCCGGGATGGCTCGAGATGATGGGCGTTTCAGGATCGTCCTTGGCAATCGGAGTTGGCGGGTCTTCTGCTGTCGGTGACTCGGAAAACATGTCGGCGACCATCGGGTTAGCTGCGCTGGTTCTGGTTGGAGTACGCAGCGGCGCAGGCTGGATCGATGATAGAATCGGCTCGTCATCGTCTTCGTCCTCCGACAAATGTAACTGGCTGTAGATGTTGCTAGCGGAGTTGAGGCTCTTGTCGTCAAAGCTGCGTTGCTGGTCGTCCAGGCTTCGGCCTTTCTGGGCACCGATGAGGCTCCTCTCCAGTTCTTCGATCCTCATCGAAAGACTTTGTCTTCGAGGGGAGATGACGGTCAAGGTGTCACGTCTCGCTCCGAGGGTCTTGATTATCGGCCTGGAGAAAATCGAATCATCGTCGTCAAGCAGGTGCTCTGCGATGGATTCCGGAGGCGAGGGCGAGTTGCTCCCGGTTTCGGCCGCGGAGATACCCTTTGGTGACCGAACTACACCCGGTCTGGAAATAGATCTCGGACTTGTTTCATCCTCCTGGCTAGGTTTGGCCGGGCCAAGAGTCTTCACAGCGGGGCTTTGAGGACGGCTATGCAAACCAGGAATCTGCAGGCGTGGGAGGTCCCCCAAAGTGGCATGCCCGTGTGACAGAGGACCACGAGTATCTACGCCTGGTTGTTGAGGTAGTGGCTTGTTGGGCGCGGAAAGAGGTGTAGGCCCACCTGGCTGTTGAGGAAGCGGCTTGTTGGGCGCAGAAAGCGGTGTGGGACCACCATGCGGAGGGCCTTGACGGGGAGATCCTTGAATAAGGGGGCCACGAAGACCAGGACGCAGAGGGCCGGGAGGTCCATGTGGAGTACCATGAGGACTAGGGTGAGGGCCAGACTGGTGAGGCCCATGGGGAAGGGGCCCGCGTGGAGGTCCATGAGGAGGGGGAGTTCCACGATAAGGAGCGCCATGGGGAGATCCGTGCCGAGGAGGTCCTTGGTGAGGAGACCCTTGGCGGGGAGTGCCCTGAGGTGAAATACCATGGGGAGGCGGTCCCTGGCGTGGTGGTCCTCGGTTGGGTGTACCCGGGTGAGGAGGTCCCTGATGCGGCATCGGTCCTCGGTATGGTGGGCCTTGGCGCGGAGGTGCTGGGTGAGGACCCGGATGGGGACCGGGTCCGCGGGGTCCTGGAGCTCCTGTGCGAGGTGCGGGTGGGTGTGGAAGGCCTTGCGTGGGTGGTCCATGGCGAGGAGGACCATGGCCAGGGGCCGGAAAGGGGCGAGGCGGTCCGTTGGGGCCACTCATAGGCATTCCACCTCGGCTACCGGGTCTCTGATCAATGTTACCACGAAAGATTGGGGCGGGACCACCTGGTCCATCGTGCATCCCACCACGACTTCCCGGTCTCTGGTCGATATTGCCTCGAAACACCGGTCCAGGGCCACCAGGCCCGCCATGCACTCCTCCCCGGCTACCTGGTCTTTCATCAATGTTCCCTCTGAACACGGGGCCCGGTCCATCCTGCATGCCGCCCCGGCTACTAGGTCTCTCGTCGATATTCTTCAGAACCGGGCCTGGCCCATTGAGGGGATCTAGCAGAGACGTATAGTGAGGTCTTGCCAAAGGCTCAGTGGGCGACATCTCGTCCGAAATCTTGTCCTCCCCAACGTTTCGCTCGAGGATTTGCTGGTCTTTCGAAATCGGCCCTTGCACGTCCTCCGCATCTTCGTCCGACTGAACCAGTCTCACACCTGCCTCCACCTTCCTCTCCACTGGCGAGTGAACGACGTTGGTGCCCATGGAAATAGCTGGAAAGTCCGTGGCAACCTGACTCAAAGGGGACTTGGGCGCGACAGGTGCGGTAGAGGCCTTCTTTATCGTGGGAATATCGGGAAGGTCAGAATTGTCCCACGGTTTGCTCTTGGCGTTCGCAGTTTGGGGGCGCGGCGACAGAACCGGACCCGGGCCGTGTGCCAAGCTTGCCGCAGACCCGTTCATAGCGCCAAACTTGGCCCGCAGGTTCGCATCCGAGGCATAGTGTTTGACGCCGGAGGCGTTGTTGCTATGCAGGTCGGCAAGGTTGGACATGCTCGAAGTGGCCTGGTTTTGGGCGCCGATGCCGTGCGCATAGGGAGCGATGCCAGGCGGAGGAAGAATCGGGGATGCCGCTGCATCGGATCGGCTGCTTTCGTTGGTGATGGCTCGTTGCAGGGATACCGATTTCTCAGAGTCCGCACAGCTGTTGTCCCCCGCCGCTGCTCTTTCGGGCTTCCTGTTTGCGCCATCAGTATCGGTGTGTGGTCATGATGGCATGGGAAAGATGCGTACCCCTTTTTCTTGTCGCCGAACTTGATACCGAATAGCGATACCATTTTGAAGATAAACGAATGACTGGATCAACGAAAGATTCAAGGTTTACAAAAAACACATTACTGCGCGAAAAAAGATTAGAACCAACGGCCGATCAGGTGGCAAGAGCAAAGACTATCACCAACCCAGCTGCTGTGATGACAATGCAAGACCACCTGTTCCCGGGTAGGTGAAGCACCGAATGGCGGAAAAGAACGTTGTTGTTGATCAAAGAGGATTGTCTATAAACAGCCCATGTCGACGGGGAAACAGAACGTGTATGGTATACTTTTCACAGAGTTGAGGTCTGGCAAGCCGGTCCCAGCTGTCGTCTCTTGACTGGATATCCAAATGACTATGAGCGAGTGTCTTCAAGCTTCTCGGCGTCGTTGCGCGATCCGGGCGCGGGAGTGTAAAATGAACGTGTTGGTGTGGTCGCAGGGACGTGGTGCAGCAGCCAATTGGCGACAGAGTTGGGAGAATTAAAGAAAAAAAAATTAACTGAGAGAGAAAAGATAAAACGAGTGATCAGATCCCAAATGGGAAGGTTGTCGAATGACTGTTGTTGCTGTTGTGAAGGAGAGTGCAGTGACGGGAGAGAAAGACGGACGATAAACAAGGTTGGCAGGCTGCTGCTATCACCAGCAACCGTGCGCTTCTCGACAGGGATGGGAAGGGAAGCGGGAGAAGAGATGAAAAAGGAGGAAAAGAAGGCCGCTGTCGAGGGCGTCGTGCGGTATTTGGGATTGCGCCGTCGAATGAACGTCGCGTGGGTGGAGCGACCAGACAGGGTGCTTGTTCGCTTTTTCCGCTAGTGTAGCGTCGTGTCCAGGGGTTGGGTCAATCTGTACCTATTTATTCTGTACACTAGAAGCATCTTGGTGAGCTTCCATACCTAGCAGATGACCATGATGCCAAAATGGAACCGGATGCAATGTCATCAAATATCTGGAACGGCACCAGTCTGAAGACGGGCAGAAAATAGTCCGTAGCGCCGGTTACCGTCGCAATCCGGCCGTTGGCACATGTCCAGACTGAGTGAAGCTCTCCCGAAGCTCCGACTCCCGGTCCATCGTTTCATCCTCCAAGGCTTAGGTTATAACGTTTGTACACATGTCGCGCAGACTGCTAGCACCCTGCGCGCAACCAGCCGAACATGTCGCAAATTGTTTTTGTGCGCCGATACGACAAAGATAGCCAGCATCTGGTACTACGTATCCATGTTGACAGTTGACCAAAGTCCGGGGGGGTTCGTGTTTGAATCTCGAACGAACTTGTCCAAGTTGCGCTCCAATGAGCCAAGATTTTCCAGGGGTTGTGCCTGATCGTCAGGGGTATGCCACCGGAAATGACGTCCGCTCCTGATTCGATTGGACCGGGCCGTTGACCGTTCGTCTGACAGCCGCGGTGTCCATTGTCTGTTCATCATGTCTATCCCTGGGATGGGGTTGATCTCCAGCTTGGAATCCCAATGCCGCACGTGTAATGACCATGGACTGGTCTCCATCACAACATATCAAACCCAATTTCATTTGATTGGCCTTGGACTTCAGTGATGTCAGTTTTAAAGTGTGGTGCAAGTGTTGGCTAAGTACGCGGTACACTGATCAACATGCGACGATTTCGGTACGTGCCATTTGCACTGACTGGCCGGCGACCTGCCGCGCACGTGGAAAAATGCTTCACATGACGCTCCAGTCCCTTTGCACTGCAGGGAGTGAGTGCCCGATTTGGTAGGTAGGTCGGCGCTCGGTTGGCGGGGAAAGCATGAGCCAGAAACCAAACAAATTAGTTCTTTTTTGTGGTTTTTTGTGCCACTACCCACACCCTGTCCGCAAGCAAACAATCGCCATGGGAGAGGGGAAACGACAGTTGACAACTTGGGAGTAACCAATAGTCCCTACTCATAATACAATGCCGTTGCTTTTCAGCTTCCCTTGCAAGGAGTTTGCGTCTCGGACTTTTCTTCCCTTGAGGTTCAATTCACGAACGCGGCGCATCGAGTGAGCAGAGAGAGCAGAGCCCCCAGCAAAGAGGTCGAGATTTTCAACCTGGAAATTTCTGCCAAGACTTGATCTCAACATGGGTGTGAAACTCCGTTGGAAGCCGACCAAGTCTCGGATGTCTATCCCGATTGTGACTTTGATTTAGCTGGACCGTCGTTAGGACTGACTTTCATGCCATCACCAAGCTCTTTCCCATTCCCACTATGTTTCCCCATCTCACAAAATTGTTGATACTAGAGGTAGCTGGAATGGACGCATCTGGTCCCCAAGTGCCAAGCCTGGATAATCGGTCCTCTCTTCCCTTTAACGGTGAAAATGGTCCATTTTTGCCCAGACCTTGAGGAACTTGCGATACTTGACGACTTTGGCAATGCATCAGGCGTCGCCATCAGTCGATTACACCCCTGACCTCTCCTAATCAGCTCTCGACATCGTCTGCATTGACAAGAGTGCTGCAAATTCCAAGGTATCTGCAGGGCTTAAATGTAGATATGGATCGATTGAGAGCATCCGACTGGCCGCTCTTAGTCTTGGCAAAAGCATAATATGTCACCGTTAGAGGGAAGCTATGTCGCCGCTTCCTTCACACAAAACGACAAAATCCTCACTCCACCTTTTTGAAAAGAAAAAAAAAAGAAAAAGAAAAAGAAAGAAAGAAGGAAAGGAAGAAACCGCACCACTTAAGTTTAATTTCGAAAACAAAAAAAAAACACATACGACCATAGATGGTAGAGAACTCGGGATCCCGTCCGCTCTCCCATAGATAAACTACCAATCGCTTGACTAGTAGTTGGGTCGGTGACGACCAGCGAATCCCAAGTGTTGTATGTTTCTTTTTTTCTTTTTTTATATGTTCTATTGTTTTCCTCTTGGACCTTTCTTGTCCAAATTAATTCCAACTTCCCTTACTCAAAACATCTGGCTCTCTACAGTTTTTACACATCAACAGAGACCCGTACAAATTTATTGATAGTGAAACATAGTCAGGAAGGCGATCCCAGATCGGAATTCAAATCCCTGGAACCAAAGTCCCAACATACCTAGTGATATTCATAAAAAGTGCCAAACACTAATCTCCCACAGGATTAGCCACGACTCCATTCTTGATACCGAAAAAAAGAGATGGTGAATTGCAGCGAGTATCTTCCGCATAATTTGTATAACACACGCCTCCCCTTCTCCTCTCACCCGCACCTTTCCTTCACACCTCTTCTCCTTCCCCGTCTCCTCCCCCCTCCCTCCTCCCATTCACATTCGCCTCTCTCTTTCCCTTCTCATCCTCCCCACCAGCCTGCACAACCCAAACCAAGCCACTTGCCCCCGTCAGCAACCCCCCGGCCATCCAAAACGGCAACCCCACCCAACCGCCGCCCTTCCTCAACCCCTCACTCATTCCCTCTGCTAACACCGGTCCCGCAACCATGATGCCCACCATCTCCAACCATCCCACCACGCTATTCAGTAGGCCCATGTGCTCCTCGTCCACTAACGCGTTCAACAAGCTTCTTAACGTCGAGCCTAACCCGGAACCTAAAGCGAAGAGGATCATTCCGGATGTAAAACCCAAACGGGTCGTGGCGAGGGCGATGAGGAGGCAGCCAAGGGTTAGGAGGAGGGAAGAGGCGCGGGCTAAGTGGAGGTCTTTTTGTAGCGGGGTGAGGGGGGTGAGGTTTAGGTGGTAAAAGTGTGTCCCAGAAGAGGCGTGGGAGGTATCAGAAGAGAGGGAGGAAGAAAAGGTAAAAAGAAGGGGAGAAGAAGTGCCAAGCAGCAAGGAGGAAACGAACGGCAGAATGAAGAGGAGGGTTATCAGCGAAGTAAAGTTCGGGATAGTGAGCAGATACGAAGCTGCGGACCAGGAGTAGTTGAAGCGCTTGGTGGCGTATTGGAGTAGGAGGACTTGAGCATATTTGCCGATGACGACAAGGCCGAGGGCAAGGGTGAGGATACAGATTCTTTTGTTGGTGGTGAGGAAGTGGGTGGAAGAGCGGAGAGAGGTGGCGAGGCCGTTGATCCTGGTGGTGATGGATTGCTGAGCCTGAGGTTGGGTAAGGGGGGAGAGCGGTGGTAAGGAGGAGGATAACATGGGTTTACCAACGTCTTCGTCGTCTGTGGAGGGATAGGTTGAAATATCTTCATTGTCTAGCCGTTTGGTTGATGAAGCTTGGGCTTTCAGATGTCGAGTTTCGGGGAAGACAAGGGTAGTGGCGGCCGCGAGAGTCATGAGGCCCAGAGAGAGGACGAGTGGAATCCAGGGACTTGTGATCATGAGTGAGCCAGCTATAGGCCCAGAAATCATGCGCGCTGTGAGGTAAGTAGCGTGCATCTGGAAAAAAAGGGTGGCTCGCTCAGCGATGGGGACGATGTCGGATATGAAGGTATAGAGCATGGCTGCGATGATACCTCCACCTCCGCCGATGCTGATGTGTTGGCTTCGGTCAGACGAGGATATTCCATTGACTCGGGCCAACACCTGGGAAGTGGACTTACAGTAGAAACGAAGAGGTAAGCCAAACCGTCCATATCGGAAAAATGTTCGGGAGGAATACTGCGATGCGCTCAGTTGCAAGTCTACCACCACCAAACTACCAGATCCAAGAGCCAGACATACGGATAGTAGACAACGCAAACATCTGCAACATAGACCCCAACATCGCTAGCGCAAGCACCGGTCTTCGGCCCCATTTATCCGACAAAATTCCAAACGGTATCGTCATGAGGATGCTTGGGATGCAGTCAAAAGTGGCCTGCCACCCCTGCAACGTGGCCAAGTAGCTCTGAACATCGTCCTCTTTGCACGCTGGATTATCGCTTAGAAGTATGCTCGCCGTGCTGGTTCCGAATCGCGAGACAACATCCGGATGCAAGTTGCGACAAATGATGCTCTCCTCCACAGCGTTAGTTGGTGGCACACTGAGCGCAACGCTGAGGTCAAGGAGGAACATGACGCTGAGACAAAGCGGAATGATTTTGGACTTTAAACGTTTTCTTCGCGCCTCGAGTAGGGAGTTATACTGTTCTTGGTCTGCATCGTCGGCGTTGTTGGCATTGGAGTCAACGGCGGTATCGGTAGATGAGGTGGCAATGGTATCTGCTCTTCCACGCGCGGTGTAAGTTATCCGGGGATTGATATCGATGACGGCGTAGCTGAGTTCTGGAACTGGGGATTGCAACAAAGGGGTGGAATCATTTGTGGAAAGAGACGATGGAGAAGAAGCTCGTTGCTGACCTAGTACCACTCCTTCCTCTTCAAAATCTCTGTAAAAAGCCATTTAAGATAGCTAGTAGTGAGATCAAGATATGGAGGAGATGGCATAGGTTAGTCAGTAAACCTTGATTCTAGTTGACACTCCAAGAACTCGGATATGGCAAAGGATAGGTCAGGAAGGGGGACAAAAACATCATTTTAAGAGCACTGGGGGAACAACATCAGACTGCATGCATACCTACTGAAGCGGTTGAGTTTTGGGTACGGTGATCGGAACGTTGAGTGGTATGGTACCGTGAGCAACGGCCCAGAACAAGGCGTCGTACTCGTGATAGGGTATACTATGTCCACACTACACCCTAATTAACCTCGGATCCGGCATGTATGGGCAATAAGTGACAGATAACGAGTGAACGAATCAAGATTCGGGATACCACAACGGATATGGCCGCCCAAAAAGGGCGTGGTCTTAGGAACCCACAGTTTGAGGCACAGCATGAACAAAACGGATGTATATGCGGTACCAGTAGATAAAGATGGATGAGATACTCAGCGGTGTATCGGTTGTGAGTCTGGCAGGTGTTGAAGCTTGTGATGAGCCTTGCTATAAATGAGAGTAAGGAAACCTTGAAAGAATAGAAGAGAGTGAGGAGGTAATAGTGTTTTGTGGCAAGGATAATGGGACTGGGACGACTTGCGCCTATTTTGCGCCTCACTCGCCCCGGGAATCTTCGTGACAATTGGGTCGGTCTGTTTGAGGTAAGATCCTGTGCCTCTGGCTCAGCACTTGAACGTGAATGACAGGATCTAAGACACTGGACATCTTCCTGTGACTGCTGGGGATGTTGTTTCAGCCTTGGACTCGAGCTCATCCGACCCTTATCGAGATTGATTCTGGAATGAGCGACTGGGAGGACGGGATGTGTTTGTCATAACCTGTGCTATATCAAGTCTACGCATGCCAAAGTAATCAGTCAACACGAGCAGAAATTGTACTTGACAACGAAGAGGGCGGTCTGTGGATAGTGTGGCCTGGGCAGACAACTCTTGGCAATTATTCCGTGCATAAAACCCATTCTCACCATCCTTTTGGATCAGTGGGTGTCCACGTGGTGTGTATTCCAACGCGGTCTGACCCATGGCTACACAGCCGTTTGTTTGTGGACATGCATCTGGTCTGGTGTTACTCATTAGACACTAAAAAGGCAGCACTGAGTCCGGCAGGCACCCACCTCTTGAGCCAGTCGCTGTCGAAGGAGGAAGAGTGAGAGTGAAAGCTTCCAAGTTCTCCGGTTGTACATAGCTCATAGCCACAGTCCGCCACTCGGTTCGAATCTGGTAATTCAAGGCGTAAAGTGGAAGGTGTGAGCAACCACGTGGATATGAATGAGAGGCACTCGACAGGCTTCTCCTCACACACCTCGTCCCTTCAAACATCAGGTTCCAAACCACGGCATCAGGTGTGCAGGTACGTGCGGCAAATAGGCGCGATAAGAAAAGGAAGAGGCGCCGCCTATCGGGTGTTTGTTCCGAAAGGCGCCTTATAGGTGGATAAGGTGTACCACGATCCTTTGATGGGATTAGTCTTGTGGTTCAAAGCGTTATTGGAAGATGGAATAAGGCTGGTCGTGGATTAGATCTTATCACATAAGATGAGATGAATCAGCACAAGGACAAACCTTACTCAGTAGGTGTACATGGAAGTAGAGGTCTTCAATCCGGATTTTCCCATATTGATGTCGATGCGTAAACTCCTAATACCCCCAGAGGAAATTCTTACCAGAACCGCTCTACTGACCCCGCGATTGATGGCGTGCTATACTTAAGAGTCTTGGTTACTTCCGTCAGGTAGGTCATGCGCCCTGGTCAAGGAAGTAGTGTACCTACCTAGGTATTGAGGGCACTCCAGGCATCGCTAGTGTATGGATGGATGTTTCAGGCGGCAGCCCCACTGATTGACACGGCACCAACCGCAATCCGCTTGGAGGTGTCCCACGGGCCGGCACGATCTTTACCTGTAGGTCACTTTCCAAGCGGCCCTGGGGTAACGCAAAGGTTCATCCGCTTTGCTCAGCTGCTACTTACTACCTTCTATCAGACAAACTCGAACAGTCAGACAGCTGGTAGTGACCAGTGCAGAATTACTCGAAAAATGTCGCAAGGCAAGGCGAGAGTGATCTCTACCGAGCTTTTGGTGAGTTGATTGACCCCCTTGACCAATGCAGGTCGATGCTGACCATCAAGGATAGCCCAACAGTGAGGCCGAGTGGAAGAGACTAGTCAAGTAAGCCCTTATTCAGCTGGCACAAGCGTAACCGAAACGCTGCTTGTGGTATCTTGCCTGCCTATGCGGTCACGATACTTACCATTTCCGCTCAGGACAACCTACATCGGCCAGGACGGCGTCACCCGGACATGGGAACACGCGGAGCGGACCACTCGTCCCGAGGGCAGTGCCTTTGACGGTGTAAGCGTTGTTGCCATTTTGGAAAAGGACACTGGTAAGTTTCTTCCTCTTATCACTAGTGGCATGGTTGATCATTGACCTCATAGGCCGCGAGATTCTTCTCGAGAAGCAATATCGTCCACCTCTTGATAAGATTTGCATAGAGCTTCCTGCTGGCTTGGTAGATAAAGGGGAAACAGCCGAACAGGCTGCTGTCCGGGAGCTCAAGGAGGAGACAGGCTATGTTGCGCAAGCTTTGACGACGTCGCCGATTATGTTTAACGGTATGTAATTTGCTTAGTTACCTTGGGTGTCAGTTCTCGCACGCTAATCACCTAGGTTTGTCAGACCCCGGGTTCTGTAACACCAACTTTAAACTAGTCGAGGTCAGCGTGGACATGAGCCTGCCGGAGAACCAGAACTTGAAACCCGAGCTGGAGGAAAACGAGTTTATCGAGGTCTTTCACGTTAAGCTCGACGATTTGTGGGACGAATGTGTCAGATGGGAGGCTCAAGGATATGCGCTTGATGCGCGCCTGGCCAGTTTCGCCAAGGGTATTCAAATTGCGCAGAAATTCGGACTTGTGAGTAGGCCGTAGAAGCAATAATGACGAGAGTCGCGAACATCTCCATCCAGCGTTATTCTCAAGAACACCCGGCACACGTACTTGTGTTTTAAGATTAGAGCTTTCCCTCTCTTCGCAAGCTTTCCCATAAGGCCACCGCCGCAAGGCTTTTGGCGTCTCTTGCGCCCTCGCGCCACAGATCCTGCATCTTGATCAGCTTCAGGGATATCTTCTCACCATGCTCACGGAGCCCCGTAAGTCGGCCCGTCCAGTCACTAAGCGTGTCCCGCGGCACGCGTCTCTCGTGCATGTAAATGGGGATGTATTCGTCGCAGCCCCCGGCAGAAGGGTACATGGCTCGTGGAAGATTACCGTCCTGGATCTTGCCGTCGTCGCTCTTTGGGGACATGCCTGCCATCTCGCTCAGGCACTTCAGCTCCGAAGTGGGAATCTTCAAGCCGAGTTCTTCCTCGATTTCCTTTGCGGCAGTCCCAACGAACTGGCCCTCTTGATCTACCATGCCAGCGGGCAATTCAACAAACTCGAGGCTACCGGCTGGTATCCGTGGCTGCACGGTGAGTACAACGTAGCGCTCGTCGGTGTCGACGGGTGCATCTTCGGGGATCAGGATCACAAGCATGGCGACGCTTTGCCCTCGCAGGAAGACGGATCCAGGGAGTTTCTCTCCGGCGCTGTTGGTCACTTCGGCGATGAGCTTGAGGAAGCCAAGCCTCTTGCCGCCAAATAGGTCAAATGACTGAATCGTCACGGAGCGGAGCACATAGGGATCCTGGTGGAAGGGGTGCGAACGGTTCTGGACTTGCAGGCCAAGGGAGTTCTCAAGCGTGGATATCCAAGACTGCGTAGGTACCAGTCCTGTCAGTGTCTCACATGGGACGAGAATAGCCAGGAGAGTGCTCCTCTTACACGAAACGGATGAAATTCGAGAAGCTGCTCCTGGGAAAGACCCTCGGGCAAGGTTATGGGCACCGCGTAGTTTGGGTGGGTGAAGGTCGACATGGTACGGTAGATCCGGATGTTGAAGGGAGAAATCAGGGAGTTTAGCAGTACAGCTCGAGACGATGGTGGCCAGCGATGGAGAAGCGAGATGGTGTTTCTACTTTGATAGAACGCTGCAAGAAAGATTGGCATGATGAACAAGACGGCGGTCCATCCTCGCATGTTTTGTGCGATCTCCGGTCCCCGGGCGGGGTCCAACTGCACGCGGGGTGCGGACGCCGAGGCCGCCCTTTGACCAGACTGCTGTGAGCCTGTGAGTTGTTAAGGACAACGAAGCAGAAGCACGGCGGTTGCGCGATCCAACCACGACCCGACTAGTAATTGCGGTTGCAAAGTTGTTGTTGATGTTGCCAGCCCGATCTGTGTCGCGTCTCGAATGGACTTTCAGTGTCGACGCCTCGACGGGAGTTCGGCAGCGCAAGCGGGTTGGGTCGGGTGTCCGGCCTTCGTTGGCTCCAGCTTCACCACCGAATGGTCTGAAGCTCCAGGCTGACGTCAACCGATGGAGCCCTGGAGACGGCCGGAATCGGGAGCCTAGCGAAGGGCACCTAGGTTGCGGGGCCCGGGCGTTCCTGATCCACCTCGCTAGGTAGCTGTGGGTCAGGGTCCAGTGTCTTTCGTTGCACAGTACGTACCATTACGGGCTGCCGTCCCACCCAGGGTTAGGTGTTTTTGCATGCAGGGCATTCTAGTATACTTCAAGAACCAAGTCGACAATGAAAGATAAACAAACAACATGACTGAAAGCCACGCAGTCCGAGTTGGAGATGCCAGTCTCTAAAACCTCGACTCTACGGCTTCCTGGTCACATGAAGCGTCTTGCGGTTGAGATACATACTTCCCCACAAAATAACGCTCAGGACATGAGGATTCAAACAAATGACGTCGAAACAACTTGAGATGTGTTCAATATAGAGCTCTCATCTCCTCTTTTGAATCACATCTTTCTCTCTCTGACATCAACCACAGTCAACCCAATTTGAAAAAGCACACAAAAGGCTGAATCAAAGCCATTGTATCAAAGTTAAACACGTACACGACAACCACACAGCTACACGTTTATCAACATGCCTCGCCAAGTTGACAGCTACTTCGAGCTGCTTGGTCACGACATCATCCACGGCGCCGGCTGGGAGCCGGTAAGTGTTGCTTTTAAGCTTCTGCTATCTGCCTCTAGATAAAAGACCAACACCAAACTCAGACCACCCGCGTCCCACGCGCCGACAAGACCGCCCCCCTGCCCGAGCCCGAGCACGGTCTTGCTATACCGGGACTGCCCGCCAGTGGAGGTTCGTGCCAGGGTCTCACTAGGGGTCCTGAAGCAGGACAGGGTCACGGTTCCAAGTATGGTCCCAAGAAGTTTCGACTTGGTATTATCTAATAGACGAAGATGAAGCTATGAAGGATCAGGCCGCTTATTCAATATCAACTGTGCGGTATCAAGAAGTCTGGTCTTGTGCCTCAGAACATCATGGCTGGTTGTGAATATGAAGGTGTAAGCCAAACTGTAAACAAGTCCCCTTTATGTACATGTTGTATCATTTGGGAGGTGTGGGGTTAGGGTTAGACGTTAACCCCCACCTTCCCCTCAAACCCCCATTTCCCCCTCTCTTCTCACGAATCCCTATTCTCCATCACGTCATTAGATACCTACCCCATCCTGTTTGCTTGATTGTAGTGTATATCATATGCTGCCCATAAGTATCCCACAAGTCAATACCGGGCAGGAACCCCAAGCTTGATACCCTCCTCTCCGCATTGACCTACCTCCATGTGCCAACGCTTTCCAAGCTCCCGCGAACTCTCAGCTTCTCCATCAGAACCCCATTTGTCCTGAAGCTCAACACAAGATCGCTCCCGGTCCCCGCTCAAGTCCACCATTGTACCATGTCCTCCTCCTCTTCCTCTAACCCCTCCACCCAAAAGCCGGCTTCGGTCGACACCTCCCTCCAAGGCTCGCCCACCGGCGCCGCCGCGCTCTTCGCTTCCTCGCACTCTTCTCCACACCCCCTCAAGCTCTACGGCGGGTGGTTCTGTCCCTTCGTCCAGCGAGTTTGGATCACCCTCGCGGAGAAGAACATTCCGCACCAATACATCGAGATCAACCCGTACCACAAAGCGCCCGAGTTCCTCGCTCTCAATCCACGGGGTCTTGTGCCCACCCTCGCAGTCCCCACCTCCACCGACCCCAAGACCGGAAAGGTGAAGGAGGTCAAGCCCTTGTATGAGAGCTTGGTGCTTTGCGAGTATTTGGATGAGGCGTACGCGGATGAAAACATGTACGGGGAACGACTCCTCCCACAAGACGACGCCTACGAAAGGGCGAGGTGCAGACTGTGGATCGACCATATCTCTTCGAGGGTGGTACCGGCTTTTTACCGCTTTATTCAGCACACCCCCGACAAACCCTACACCATGGACGAGATCCGAACCGAGTTCCACGGACACCTGAAAGCGTTCGCTAAAGAAATGCTTGATACCTCTTCCCCTTCTTCCTCCCCAGGCCCCTTCTTCCTAGGCGACAAGTTTAGTCTAGTAGACATAATGCTAGCGCCTTGGGCGAAGCGGTTATTCCTGATTGATCATTACAAACCAGGCGGAGTCGGGCTCCCTCCCAATGGTCAAAGGGGCAGTGAGGTAGATGAGGAGATCTGGAAGAGGTGGGAGGAGTGGTACAAGGCTGTGACGGAGAGGGAGAGTGTTAAGAAGACATGGAGCGAGGATGAACAGTATGTGGGCGCGTATAAGAGGTATGCGGAGGATACGACACAGAGTGAAGTGGGGAGGGCGACGAGGAGTGGGAGGGGTTTACCTTGAGTACAACAGTTTGAACTCGAGAGCTATCTGCAAGTCTTACTACTTAGTACATGTTCACGCGACAGAGAAGTGAGTGAAAAGAGCGGCTCAATTCTCATACTTTACCAATGTGCATAGCAAGTATCGATGGAAATTTCATCATATTTCATGGGACGAAGCCTCGTTCGCAGGCCTCAGCATCTTCAATCACTGCCGCAAATCTAAACTTCAGCGGACTGGTGTCGCTTAAACGCCTAAACGCAGTCGGACCCAACATAACTCTGACAACGAATCTTTTCTCTCAGTGCCGCAACCCTCATGCTCTCTATCCCATTTTTTTCTCTCTACCCCCCTATTTTGTTGCCCCACACACTCTTTTAGCCATGACAGGGACGTCAATGGCCTGAAATTCTGACTGATTTCCACAGGGAAGTGAGATCCCAGTAGGAAAGAAGGGGGTATAATAATTGCAAAATTTCCTCCTCTTGAATATGCTGCTCAAATACCGCTCGAACCTCTCAACTGTACCATGGCGGTGCCAACACAGCGTCGGCTCCCATTATAGCCTATCCTGGGAAGCAGGCCATGCAAAGAGCAATTGTGAGAGAAGAACGGGCCCCTGAACCCAAACCCGTGTCAAAAATGCTGCGAAGGAAAACACATTGGAAGAAAATGAATGGAACCGTGGATGCTTCTTCAAAGCAGGACAGGGTCAAAATGAAGTATCTACGGCCGGAATGGTTGGGTAGTTTAAAGCCACAATGTTTGTGATGATGGGATTAGAGCTGAAGGGTGAATGCCTTGAAATGGCAAGGGGGCGATCAAAGGGTTACCCCTTCCAACGGAAGCACCTTTGACCTATCCCCCAGGAAGCGAGCGCGGTATTCGATGATGCCGCGAGCAATCGCGTCGAAGTCTCTGACCTTCTTTGCACGGAATTCGTGAAGGAGCTTGCGAAGACCATCGATGAACCGGGTCTTTTGCTCGCCTTCGAATTCGTCGGCTTTGCCGAGCTCCAAGAGGATGGCATCGTCTGGTAGGTAGAGGGGAAGGAGTCAGCGCGCTGGGAGGGGGGAGGAAGGAGGTCTGATGTTAGCAGCCTACCACAAGTTTTGAGGGGACTTACCAGGAGCAACAATAGATTTAATGTGCTGGAAGTCGCACGTCTCGTCGCATTGTTCACCAGCAATCTCTGACGGGCAGAGAGGTATGGATGGATTTATTCTGTTACTGTAGGTTAGAGATCTGAGGCCACCGGAAACAGTATCCCGGTAGCTCGGGTGGAATCGATACGCATGGAAGTAGCGCAGCGGGCTTTCGTAAGGTCTGAACGAGCCTGTCTTGGCCGCCGTCGTCTCGTGAGTCTCCTGTGATCTGGTTAATTGAACAGGGTTAGGGACCTCAGGAGAAACGACGTTTACATCTCTTGCAGGTTCCTCCTCTAGCTCCTGAGCAGCTTCACGAGGCTGAGCAGCAACCGAGATTTGGTCTGGTAAGTGCGAACTGTCCTCGGGAGAGGACTCAAGGGAAATAGGACTGGACGGAGATGAGTCGATGTCCATGGGCAACGTTTCATCAAGCTTGGCAGGCGTGTTCTCGCGTTGAGCTTCAGAGTCACCACGGCCAGCTTCGTCGACCGGCTGTGATGGCTGGATGCCCTGAGACATATATGTGGGCCGTCCCGCTTGGTCCAACTCCAACTCCTCGCCTTCATCAAGTGACATGGTGGATGCTGGATCGTCTTGTTCAACGGTCTCTGCAGAAACCGTCTCCTCTTGGCCATCGGTAGCCCGGACCGGGATGGAGGACGACGCTGAAAACTGATCTTCAGCACCTACAACGGTGCTGCCCGCTTTCAAGGATTCTGAAGGCCCTGATGAAATATCAGGCTTGCAGAAATCCGAATCATTTTGTAATTCAACGGTAGGGTGGGCAGATACTGAAGAATCACCCGCCGATTGTTAGATATAACTTCGAGCAGTACCAGGTAAAACGGCAATCTCCATGGGAATCATGCTCCAAATGCAATCATCGCGGACATGACTTACCGGAAGTGGTGTCCTTATCTGAACTGTTCGACTGGGTGGGAACTTCCATAGTGTTGATGTCAGGCTGCTCGGGTTCTTCGGACAACCCATTGATCTCGGCTTCCAAGCGAGCTTGTTCCTCTCGCAGCTGCCTCAACCTGTCCATCTTGACTTCTAGTGCCGCCTTTGCAGCTGGACTCGGCTTTGCAGGTTCTGCAGTGCTTGGTGAGCTAAGAACAGGTGCTGCTGAAGCGGGCCGTAGGGGCGTTGTGACAGAAGATAGGCCCGTACAACTTGTCGAAACCGACTGCCGAGTGATAGGCAGCCTGGATCCTCCATCATCCTTCAGCTCCGGGGTGTGCTCAGGCTGCGTAGGCGTTTGCGAACCCGCGGAAGACTTCTTGGCCTTCCTCTTGGCCTCGGCCTCAGCAATCTTCCTGCGCATTTCCTGAATCATCCTTTCTTTGACGTCGAGTTCTGTTTCTCGCCTTCTAATATTCTGCGCTGTTGCAGGTGGATTCGATGCCTGCATAGCGGGGACCGGGCTTGAAACTTGACGCGACGGCAAGCTGTCTGTCAAAAGTGGGAAATCACGCAAGGGCCCGCCACTCTGGAAGCTCCCATTAGCTGTCTGTGTTGGCTGTGGGACATCAGTAGGAGACTCCATGTCCATATCTATGTCCATATCCTCGTCGTCGTCTGAGCCATCAGTCACATCAATGACCAGGGAGGTTTCCTTCCGGATTTGACCGAAAGGTCGTTTAGGCAGACTGGTTGCTGCTGAGGAGTACTCTACAAAATCAGCAGCCACTGGTCTTTTCCGCGGGTTCGCAGGTAGCACAGGTTGAGCATTCGGGGTTCCAGAAAAGTGAAGGCCGGGAATAGACGGCACCGCCGTGGAAACATTGGCCTGGACTTGAGGCTGGGGTACGCCATTTTTCAAACCGGTTGAGGCCGCATAATTAGAAATATGAGTGCTTGTAGCCTTGTCAACAAGACCTGGGGTCGCGATTTGTGGTTTGATGTTTGCCTGTCCCTGCTTCTGCGCTTCGCGAGACTTTTGCAGTGCTGCAATCTTTTGCTGTAACAAGAGCTCCTTAGGGCCCAGTTTGGGTTTGGGCGCGGCGGCATCGCCACTCGGCTTTTCTTGCATTGCCGCTGGCGCTGCCTTTGGTTCGGAAGATACGGGGCTCGATTGCGCCATTGCGACAGGAGCAGGTGCCGTTTTGGGGGCGGGCGCAGAAGGAGGTTTCGAGGCAGGGGCAGCTGGAGGCTTTGCGGCCTTATCGGCCTTTGCGGCCATTAACCGCGCGATACGGTCTTTGCGACTTTCTTCTTTGCCTGGTTGCTCAGTTGTGGAAACGGTATCAGTAACGACAGGTGTCGGTTGTTGCTGTTGTATCTTTGTGGTCCGCGGCGAGGTGGGTACGGGGCTGGACACCTGTTCTTGGGCGGCCTTTGGCGCAGTTGTCGTTGCAGTCTCCGAGGCGGGCTTCGGTATATCAAGATGAAGGTTGTTGTAAAGCTTTTGGACGACCTTCTCATCGATACCCTCTTCTATATAATTCTGATATTTGACGCCTAGGGGTAACAGACGCAATATGGCAAGCTGAGCTTCCTTTTGGACCGTTTGTAACGTTTTCGGCGCAGACGAGTTACCGGGAGCAGTTTGGGGTGCAGGCACCGACTGTTCGGTAATTTTGGGTGTCGCAGAGTTGCTAAAGGAGGATGCGGCAAATTGAAGGCCAGGAACAAGAGGCGCTCGTCCACCAGCATTACCGATCGCTTTTGTTCGGTCGGGGACAGATTGCGGTGCTGAGACTTATCAGCTTGTTGCATTCGAACCAAAGAAAAGGAGGCAAAGACAGAAAGGCAGAAAATAAAAAAAAAAGAAACAGGAAAAAAAAGGACGGACAAAAGGAGGCCCTACCTGGCATATTCTTATCGCCATTTTGCGGAGTCGGATTTCCAGATTGCAGCTCCCTTGGCGAGAGGAAAGGCGAGTAGGAGCCGGACCGTTCACGTGTTGAGCCAGGTACACCACCTCGGCCATCCTTCGCCGGTATTTCTCCCTCGTCCTCATCATTTCCATAGAAGTTCGCATCCGGAGTATCGACTGCGCTCGTGGGCTGACTCTCGACAGGAGCCGGGACGGGCTTTGAAGCTTTCTTTATATTGGTGTTGACAGTGATGGGAGGGGCAGGCTCATACAGGTCCTCGAACTGACCCTCACTCAACTCCCCCTCTTCTATCTCGATCTCTCTCGTGACGCGAGCAGGCGGCTTGGGGGGAAGCTTCGGCGGGAGATTGGCGGGGCGGTTTACAGGGCCGTTCGAAGAAGGTCCAGCAGCAACGGGTTGGCTTGGACCAGAGTATCCGCCAAAGGCACGAGGCGCAGAGGGCTGCGTCGGCTGCTGAGGCATCATGGGCGGCGGCTGATAGTTCTGGAACGACGGCGGCGGTCGACCCCAGGGACTGGGAATAGGTGGGACGCCAAAAGGCGTGCTCGTAGCAGGTGGGCCACCAATTCCAAGGCCCGGGATTTGCATCGAGTTATAGTCAAATGCGCCCTGCGAAATGTTGCGATTCGTATCAATACCGAATCCAGGCTGACCCGGAGGCGGAAACAATGGGGCGGCGTTATATGGAGGAGGAGCTGTAACGGGAGGAGGGACCGAGAAGTTCGGAGGATGCTGATATCCGTACGGCGATTGGGGAGGCGGCTGGGGAGGCGGTTGGCCGTGATACTGGCCGTAGCCGTTGTAGGGTCCTGGGTAGGGAGGATATTGAGACATGACGACGAGAGATGTCTGGAGGCAGCTATGTGGACTTTGTATGGGATTGCGCTAGCAATCGAGCCGCATTTCCCAACGTCGACACAAGATGGTCGTTGGGGCGCGGGGGAAGGAAGGCTTTTCCCTCCTTTGTGGTTGTCGGCCACTACGACTGCCCAACTCACGATAACTCTTTTTTTGCGGAAGAGAAGATTAAAGGGCTCTGGCGCCTTCTTCCACTTTTTGGTCGATAGTCGCACGAGGCGATTGGCAGGTCGCGACGGTCTTTTGTATGATCGGTCAAGCAGAGACTTGGGAAGATCAGATGAAGGAGGGCGTATGGATTCCCGTCGTGCGGCGCGTGAAAGGGGTTGAATGAAGATGGAATTTCAATACCGTACACCCTACAATGTTAGTTCGACGACGGACCACAATCCTGTCCGTACGACTGCAGCTTTGGTTTACTCCGTCTCTGCTGTCGGGTCCCAAGGAGACATGCAATCAATCAGATAACAGGCACGAGCTTCACGAGGATGAAGGCGCGCGAGTTATTTGGATTGATGGAGGTCGTGTCCTTGTCTGGAAAAGTCGTGTCGGACGTGGATCCCAAAAAAAGTTCCAGAGTTTGGGTTGCAGCGAGAAAGACTGAAGAGTTCAAAGTGCATGTGCGATGGCCACGCTTTTGGTTCAGTCGGGGATTCGAGAATTTGGAGGCTTGTGGCCGACGACGACTGGCGGCGCCGCTTTCACTGCAAAAAGCCCGCTAACCAGATATGGCCGATAAGAAGAGAGCACGGGCCATTCGATTTGGAGTGACATCAGGCCGTTGAGGTTGCGACAGCTGAGCCGACTCTTGACCTGGGCTATGGACATTGCCCTGGACACTGCACTTGAGGGCGGTCAGCGATGCCCGAGCTGCCCCTGCCTGCCCGTAAGTGGCTTGTGCTTCGGTTCAGTTCCTACTACCATACTAGACCATTGAGGTAGAGGTACCTCTAGCTCTAGTGGAACGAGCTGAGGGGTCCGTGGAGCGGGGAGGAGCACTGGAGGAGCACTGCCGTGGGGAGCATTTCCTTGAGCAGCGCTACCGGGCCGGTCGCATGGCCCATGCCACAGCCACCCAATCCCACGGCAGTCGCTGCCCGCCCTAGCGCCAAATCCCATTGTTTACTTCCACTTGACACGCCGTGCGCTCTCCGTCCCAGCTCCCAGGCCTCCACTGCCAGGGCAACCACCGCCAACCAGGGGCATGGCCGCCAATCGCCAACCACGACGGCCATCGGCCACCTCAGCGGTGCCCCTGCTTCTCTTCCCACTTGTTGCAGCGGTAGCTCTCCCATCGTCCCCATCGTCCCCGTCGTCGTCGACCGCCTTCCCGGAAGTTGTTTGTTTGCTTCGGCCTGACTTTGGTTGGAGATCAAGCTACAGTACACACCTACCTCTCGTGCTCTTCTCTCCAAAACTCTCTCTCTCCGACTCTTTCTCTCTGTCTCTCTTCTCAACACCGAGAAGCCGATGTCTGGGACATTGGTTTCTGGACTCAACACATCTTCGTAATTGAATCTTGTCTCTTCTGGGCGTCTTACTGCTTCCAGCTATATCGCCTTGCCTAATCCTACTTCCAACACGACTTGCTGCGTCCTTTTCGTCGCCTTCAGCTTCAGTCTTACCTTAGCCAGCGCCGTGCAGCCTTTCAGCCTTTCAGTATCGTATCCCTCGCATCCTTCGGTTGTTTACATGTCTGCGCGCAGTTCACCGACACCACTTGGAGCAGAGCAGAACATCATCGTTGCCAGAATCGCTAGCCCGAGCACGCTTAATGCGTAGCATTTCCATGGTTCCCTTCAGCCCTATCTAATCCTCACCTAGTACCCAGGGCAGCTTCTACACCATGTCGGTGCGCAATAATCCTTTCGCGAGGAACAATGCCCCGCCGCAACAGGGACCGAATGCCCCTGGCTTGGGCAGGCCAAGATCCGCCATTTTCACGAACCCAGCGGCGCCCGTGATGCCCTCCGCCGGTCCAGCTGCTGGCGCTACTCCGCCTACACCGCCAACCCACATTCGCAGTCTTTCCCATGCCTCGAGCACGCCCACACTCGTTCAGCCGATACCGATACGCCCAGGGCAAAAGAGCTCCTTGCCCGGCTCGACTACGTTTGCCCCGTCCTTCATCAAGACGGACGACATGAGGAAGCATGCCGACATAGTCAAGGGAATCGAAGGCGAGGACTTCTCGGGCAAAAAGTATGTCTGGCTTAAGGATCCCCAGGCAGCCTTTGTCAAGGGATGGGTCGTCGAAGAGCTCCCAGAGAACAAGCTGTTGGTCCAGTGCGATGACGGAAGCGTAAGCATAGCCTATCTATGATATGTGTTGAAGGCGCAATGTTCAATCAACTGACTAACTCGCCTGATAGCAACGGGAGGTGGATGCCGAGACGGTCGACAAAGTCAACCCGGCCAAGTTCGACAAGGCTAATGACATGGCCGAACTGACCCATCTGAACGAGGCCTCAGTCGTCCACAATCTGCATACGAGATACCAGTCTGACCTCATATACACATACTCCGGGCTCTTCTTGGTTGCTGTCAACCCATATTGTCCTCTCCCCATCTATACCAACGAGTACATCAACATGTACAAGGGGAGAAACAGAGAGGACAACAAGCCCCACATATTCGCCATGGCCGACGAAGCTTTCCGCAACCTTGTTGATGAGCACGAGAACCAAAGTATCTTGGTCACCGGCGAGTCAGGTGCTGGCAAGACGGAAAATACAAAGAAAGTCATCCAATACCTAGCCGCTGTGGCGCATCCAGACCCTTCGGGCAGGACTAGAGGTTCTCAGCATTCGAATCTGTCGGCGCAAATCCTCAGGGCCAACCCGATCCTAGAAGCCTTTGGTAACGCTCAGACAGTGCGGAATAACAACTCCTCGAGATTCGGCAAGTTCATCAGAATCGAGTTCTCAAGCAATGGCTCTATCGCGGGTGCTTTCATAGACTGGTACCTCCTTGAAAAATCTCGAGTGGTCCATGTCAATGCCAATGAGCGCAACTACCACATCTTCTACCAGCTGCTCAAGGGCGCAGATCGGAAGCTTAAGCAAGAGCTTCTGCTTGATAGCATGGATGTAAAGGATTTCACTTATACACGGGATGGCCATGACACCATTACAGGCGTGTCTGATAAGGAGGAATGGGATTCGCTTATTGAAGCCTTCTTGGTGATGGGTTTCTCTGACGAAGAGCAGGTCGCAATCCTCCGAACGATTGCGGCCGTCCTCCACCTGGGCAATATCACCGTGGTTAAGGAGAGCAGATCGGCCGATCAAGCGCGGCTTAACCCTGATGCCAAGGCGATTGCCGGAAGGGCTTGCAAGCTTCTCGGCGTACCTTTGGAACCCTTCCTCCAGGGTTTGCTTCATCCCAGGGTAAAGGCTGGTCGGGAATGGGTCGAAAAGGTGCAAACCCCAGAGCAAGTTCGTTTGGCCATAGACGCTCTTGCCAAGGGTATCTACGAGCGAGGTTTCGGTGATCTTGTAGCGAGAATCAACCGCCAGCTCGATAGGACCAGCATGGGTCTTGACGACACGCGCTTCATCGGTGTTCTTGATATTGCTGGCTTCGAGATTTTCGAGACCAATAGCTTTGAACAGCTCTGCATCAACTACACCAACGAAAAGCTTCAGCAATTCTTCAACCACCACATGTTCGTCCTCGAACAGGAAGAATATGCCCGGGAACAAATCGAGTGGAAGTTCATCGACTTCGGAAGAGACTTGCAGCCCACCATTGACTTGATCGAGCTACCAAATCCGATTGGTATTTTCTCTTGCCTCGACGAGGACTGCGTAATGCCCAAGGCCACCGACAAGACTTTCACTGAGAAGCTGAACTCCTTGTGGGATAAAAAGTCGCCAAAGTACCGCCCTTCTAGGCTTGGCCAAGGCTTCATCTTGACTCATTATGCTGCCGAGGTCGAGTACTCGACCGAAGGGTGGCTGGAGAAGAACAAAGATCCACTCAACGACAACATCACACGTCTCCTGGCCGCTTCCACCGACAAGTACATGGCCAACCTGTTTTCCGATTGTGCTGATCAAGATGATGAAGCTGGAGCTATGCGTAGCCGCGTGAAGAAGGGACTTTTCCGAACTGTTGCGCAGAGACACAAAGAGCAGTTGTCCAGTTTGATGACACAACTGTATTCTACCCACCCGCACTTTGTGCGTTGCATCATTCCCAACCACAAAAAGAAGCCAAAGCAATTCCAGAGCCTTCTTGTTTTGGACCAGCTTCGTTGCAATGGTGTGTTGGAGGGTATTCGTATCGCTCGAACTGGTTTCCCCAACAGGTTACCGTTTGCCGAGTTTAGACAGCGTTATGAAGTTCTTTGCCCGAACATGCCCAAGGGGTATGTCGAGGGTCAGGCAGCGGCAAGGATTATGCTCGACAGGTTTGGTCTCGACAAGTCACTGTACCGTGTCGGCTTAACCAAGGTCTTCTTCCGCGCGGGTGTGCTTGCCGAATTGGAAGAGAAGCGCGATGCCATCATCACCGAAATCATGGCCAAGTTTCAATCTCTGGCGCGTGGCTACATTAAGAGGAGGATTGCCTACAAGCGCCTTTATAGGGCAGAGGCAACCAGGGTCATACAGAGAAACTTCCAAGTCTACCTAGAGCTGAGCGAGAATCCATGGTGGCAGCTCATGGTCCGCATGAAGCCTCTTCTTGGTGCCACAAGAACTGCAACAGAGGTCAAAAAGAGGGATGAAATGATTCGTCAGCTTAGTGACCGGATGAAGCAGGAAGCCATGGATCGACAGAGGCTGGAGGAGGAGCGTCGCAATGTTCATGCCGAGATGCTGCGAATCCAACAAACCCTCGAGAGCGAGCGTGCTTTGGCGCTTGACAAAGAGGAAATCTTCAAGAGACTGCAGCTACGGGAAGCCGAGCTCGAAGACAAACTGGCGGGCGCTTTGGACGACCAAGAGCGCATGGAGGAGCAAATGGACGGTCTCCTTGAAGCCAAGAAGCGTGCTGAAGTCGACGTAGAGAAGTATCGGACACAGCTTGAACAAGCCGCTACCATTATTGGAAGGTTGGAAGAGGAGAAATCTGAACTTGCAAACCGGATTGCGGATTTGGAGCGTCAAATTGTCGAAATCTCACAGAAGCAGTCTGAGCGCAGCGAACAGGAAACGGCACTGGAAAACGAGCTTAAGATGCTACAGAGTCAACTCTCCCTGAAGGATCGCAAAGTCAAGGACCTAGAAAGCAAGCTGCTCAAAATCGATCAGGATAGCGATGTCAAGCTTCTGGCCACCGAGAAAGAACTTCAGATTGCCAAGAGCAAAAATGAGCAGCTGACTACAGAAAACACCCAGTTCCAACAACAGCTTACACAACTCTCGAAGACGTCAACAAGTTATGAGGACCTGATTCGTAAGAAAGAAAGCGAGCTTGCGATTCTCCGCTCAGAAAACAAGCAACTGGCAACGGAGAGACGAAGCATTGATGATCAAACAAAGATGCTTGCTTCCGAAAGGGAGAAGGCCGCCGAAAGACTCCGGGAAGTCCAGGCTGAATTGACTGCCATGAAGTCGCAACAAGCTCAGCTGATGAGGGAGGCCGAGGATGCCAAGAATCTTCTCCAAGCTCGTCTCTCGGAAGACGCTCAGGCAGACCAAAACCGCCAAGTGCTTGAGGCACAGATCAAGGATCTCAAGGATGAGTTGTATAACGCTCAGATGGAACTTAGCAGGGAACGTCAGTCTCGTGATGATGTCCAGTTGCTTGGTGAACACAAGTATCAGACCCTCAAGGACGAGTACAATCACCTTAATGAGTCCAAGATTACAATTGAGAAGGAGCTCTATGCCCAGCAGGATACGCTCCGGCGCGCGGTTGAGACTCGTACAACGCTTGAACAGGAGCGGGACGATGCCCGCGAAGAAATCCGCCGTCTTCGTAGTGCCATGACCCAGGCCGAGGAAGCACGGCGTGAAGCCGAAGTGCTTGGAGAGCGAGCAGCAACCAAGATCGCGCGAGAACGCGAAGAGAGTCTGCTCAAAGACCTCGACGCGGCAAACGACAAACTTAAGTGGTACGAGTCCGAATGCGCCAAGTTAAACTACCAAGTTGAGGACCTCAACAAGGTGATTATCGAGTCGGGCGAGTTTGGTCTCAAAAACGATCAGGCAAAGGAACGACTTGAGCGGGAACTCAATACCGTGAGGAGCCGACTGGCCGCTTCTGAAAACGACAACCGCGCCCTACTAAACAAGTTGCAACAAAAGGGCCTCGAGATTGCAAGGTCCGCATCAAGAGCCGGTGAAGCATCTCGAGCTCAACTCGTCCAGGTACAGCGCGAGAAAACTAGAGTGGAGGAACAAAATACCAAACTCAACAAGCAACTGGGAGATTCTCAGGTCACTGTCGCCGGCTTGGAAAAGAAGGTGGAGAAATTGCAACTCACAATCGAAGACCTGAACCACGAACTTGCAAGGGAAACACAAGCCAGCCGCAATGCCGAAAAGCTATCGTCGAATGTTACAGTCCAGCTAGCAGAGGCGAACAGGACCATTGAGTCTGAGCGGCAGTTGCGTACCCAAGCCCAAGGTACAGTCCGCACTCTTCAGTCAACCTTGGATGCGCGTGATAAGGAGCTGATTGAGCTTCGGGCTCAACTCCTGAGCGCGCTGAAGACGGTCGATCCCGACACAGACGACACTCATGTCCAAACCGAAGGTGCAAGTGCCAGTGAAAGGTTCCTCAGCAAGAACTTTGATCTTGTCCGGAAGATTGAGGACTTGCAGCAGAACCTTCGTGTCCAGACTACTGCACGCGCCAGTGCCGAAGCCCAGCTAGCGGACCTGAGGACTAGCAGGAATGACTCCCCGACCAGGCCGCGGCTCGAGGAAATCAGTCCTAACGAGGCACCTTTCACCGGATCACCGACGCAGAAGCGCAAGACAAACGGACGACACCACTCCAATGCGTCCACTTCTCCTCGTGAACGTCGTTTTACAAACAGCGACTCGGAGAATCTCCATGATTCTGTCCGTTCGGACCGCACGGCAGATATCGTCAGCTTCAATACTCGCATGGATTTCAAGGCTGAGATCGAAGAGCTACAGAATCAGCTTCAGCTTGCACAGATGCAAAACCGTCATCTCCAAAGCCAGCTGGAGCGTACCGCGTCGGGTGAAGAAGACGCATACCTCGACGAAAGCCCACAGCTTCGGCGGGTGCAGAAGCTTGAAAAGGCCAACAACCGACTTCACGAACTCCTTGATGATTCCTCCAAGAAAGTGTCGGCTTTGGAGAAGGCTCTTCGCACCGGTGAGCTGTCGCTTCGTGACATCCAGACCAGGTCTCATGAAGAAATCCTCGACTTGCTTAATAGCCAGGAGGACTCGCGACGGTCACTCTTGCACAGCCACAAGGATGCGGTTGCAGAGCTGACGGAACTCAAAGAGCACTATGACAAGGTACGACACGAGCGTGCCAAGCTTGAAGTCGATCTCCGCGACGCCAGGTCGGATCTCCAAGAGATGTCGCTCGCCAGGGATCAGGAGGCTGCAAGCCGGAGCCAACTACTCCAAGAGTTTGCGGACCTCCAAATTCGCCTGGATGCTGAGGCGTCCAAGCTGGCTGACGTAACAGCAAGCCTTAACCTCTATAAAGGTCGGGCGGATGAGTACTTCAGCAAACTTGAACAGGCAGAGATTGCCGTTCTCAAGGCCAACCGGGCGGAGGCGTTTGCTAGAGCGCAAGCCAAGGAAGCGGAGGACAGCTGTGCGGAGATGATGTCGGAGAGGAAGCGTCTGGATACGATGATTGAGGATCTGCAACACTCGAACCAAAGGTTGGAGGAGAAGATTGAAGACATGTCGACGGACCTTGCCGCCGTTACTCAGGCCAAGAAGAGGCTTCAGCACGAGCTCGAAGATTACCGCAACCAGCGTGCTAACGACATTGAGGATAAGGAATCGAGCATGGAGCAGATGCGCAAGAAGTACCAGGCTGAGTTTGCGACACTGGCCAACGAGCTCGATCGGGCCCGCGAGGAGAAGCTACGCAAGCAATCGGAGATTACGAGACTCCGGGAAGAGCTGGACGAGCTTCGGTCCAAGTGGGATGACGAGGTCCTCAACAGCTCGACGTGGTCTAAGGAGAAGGCGCGGCTGGAGGCGACTCTCTCGGACGTGGTGGCCTCTCGCGACGAAGCTGTCAGCGCCCACAACGAGGCTCAAAGCAAGATTGTCACGCTCCTTGGCCAGGTTCGGTCGCTCCGCTCGTCTCTTGACGAGATCACGGCTGAGCGCGATGCCCTATTTCGTGAGAAGAGGAGTATCGAGGCAAGGCTTGAAGAGGCCAAGGCTGGTCTCGATGAGCTGGCCAACAGCGAGAGCCCGTCGCTGCGCAACGCGGCGCACATGGACAGGGAGATCCTGGAGCTCAAGTCTAGCCTTGCTCAACAGGAAGATATCGCTGCGGCTGCCGTCGAGAAGATGCGGCGCGCCGAGGCGCTTGCTGCCGAGGTCCAGAAGGACATTGCTGCTGAGCGCGAGAACAATGCTGATTTGCAGAAGCAAAAGGTTACTCTCGAGAAGAACTTTAACGAGCTGCAGATGAAACTCATTGATCTTGAGACCAAGGGCTATTCAACTGCCAGCCACGATATCAAGTTCTTGCACAGCCGCATCAAGGAGGTAAGTTTATACGGAGCAATCCATTTTTTTTTTCTCCCACAAGAGCGTCAACAGCTAACTCATCATGACCAGCTTGAATCCCAGCTCGAAGAGCAAGAAAACGAGCGCAGCAAATCCCAGCGTTCCGTCCGCAACGTCGACCGCATCGTTAAGGACCTGCAGTCCCAGATCGACCGCAAGGACAAGCAGAACACGCAACTCCAAGAAGACGTGGCGCGCATGCGTGACAAGGTTGACAAGTTGCTCAAGACCATTGACGAGCTGCAATCCTCGGAATCCGCCAATGAGCTGTCGGCCCGTCGCGCGGAGCGCGAGCTGCGCGAGGAAAAAGAAAAGGCCCTGAGGCTGGAGCGCGAGCTCGAAGGGTGGAAAAACCTCCGCATGGAGAAGGGCTCCGCTGTGGGCGGCGGCGGCGGCGGCGGCAGCGTGGCGGGAAGCGTGCTGGGTAGTATCCGGGGCAAGAGGACGTTCACGAATGATCATATGCAGATGGATGGTGTGATTGAAATTCCGAAGAGGAAGAGCAGCATTAGTAGGGCGCCGAGTCTGACGAAGGGGTTTATTTGAGTTTTGAGGTATCTATGGGGATGAAGATGACAACTTGTTGGTGCTGATGAGAAGGAAGTGGAAGGGGTGTAATTAGGTTGGTTTGGTGGAGACGGCAGTCTCTACACATCTGGAATAATTCTGTTGCTTTACTTGTCCTATGGAAAGTTGAAAAGCTGATGTTGTCTAAAAGGCCGGCCGTTTGTTAGGAGGGGGCTGAGTAGGGCGAAATTAGGCGGTTTCTCTCGAGACGTTTGTCGTACATATATACCTGTTTGCTAACTTTGTATGTTAGTTGGTGTATATGATGAAAGTGCTGTATGTCAGGTTGTGTAGTGAAGTAGTGAAGGGACTGTGTAAAGCTGTTGTACTATCGTGAAAGTGCCGTTATGCGGTCGTTGTGAGTCCAAATGATGATGAACCAAAGCGGTAATTTGGAAGACGTCAAGCTCAAAGTGCTCGCAGGAGTCACGAGGTCACGGTCATTCACTTTTTTTCTTTTCTTTTTTTGCGCGCACGACGATATGATCGGGCTGTCAGAGGTTTTGCCAAATGCAGTTCGCAAACGTAGAAGAGCGTGTGCGCATATGTCGGGCACCTTCAACCTTGCTGTTCGGAATCTTAGCTCACGATATGATATAAAGTGGTGTTGTCACCAAAAAAAATGGAATCGTAGAGAGTGGTGTGTGCTGGTGCATATATCTGTGTACACTAGGTCTTGCTCAATCGTGACGGTATAGGGTATTGCTAAGTAACATTTTCGAATCCTGAACGAAAGTTGGAATTGAGACCGCGGTGTTTACCTGGTTTGAAAGGAGGGAAGGGAACGTCGAGTTTTGCTTATTTCAATCGGCCTCGGCTTCTCTCTTCCAACTTCTGTTACACCGACGTATGTCTGTCATACGTACCTTGAGTTGCGGAGCACAGTCCGATGAATGGATGAAACCTGATTCCGAGATTCTGGAAACCTGCACCCTGCCTGCCTGGTGTTGCCGTGCGTGCGTGTGCTGACTGGCGGGTTGGTGGACGAGACGAGACGAAAAAGATTCGCGATCAATTGCGGCCCAGCGCGATGGGCGGATCTGTCACGACTCGGAATCTGATCTCCGAAATTGTTCTGATAGGCAGGGCAGGGCAGGGAGCCTCGATCTGTCGAACTCGAACCCCCCCGCCTTCTCCATTCGATCCGCAACCAGAGAGACCGGGACAAGGGACAGACAGATCGCCGGGAATCAAGCGGACTCCCCTCCGCCTCAATCTGGTGGTGGGCTTTCAGGCCGCTTTGTCAGTCAGATACATATGGGGGGCTTGGCCAGTGCGCTTCCACTTTTCAGGTGGAACCATACCCCTGATCACCTCAGCAAATCACCTCCGCTGTTGATACCCAGGAGGGAAAGGGCAACGCTACACCAACCGTTTTAGGTCGGATCGTCGAACCAAACGGTGGGAAACGACTCCACTTTATGTTCAACTTGTTGTTGGAGCCCGGGGGTGGTGTCCGATGCAAAAGCCCATCTTGGCGGCGATGACATCGTGCGGACAGGGCGTTGATCGGTTCCGCAGTTCGGTTAGTTCCCACTTACTGATGAAGACGGGACTGCCACCGATTCACGACCCTCTCTTCCACGGGATAGCAAGGATAGAAAGAAACGCCAAATCGAGACCTTTTTGTTTTCGCATGTGATGATGCCGTCTCCGCTATCTACAACCATCGACCCGCGGAACAAAGCAGGGAGTGGAAGGAATGTCGGTCCTTAATGGCAATCGAAATCCAGGGGGGGGGGAGGAGGGGATAGTCTAGATGGGGGATAGCTTCCCTTGCTTATTGCATGGGTCGATGCAGCACAGAGCGATACCACGACAACACCACTAGCTTGTGATTCATGGACGGCGGTGGTCGGGCGGTCGTCGAACGGTGGGAGATAGATCTAGATATCGACTGTGCGCATCATCACTTGTCTTAAAAGGTTCAGTTTCGGGATTGTTTCTCTCCGGAACGGTCCGTTCAAACCTTCATATACCTGTTGAAGGTGCTTGTGAAAAGCTCTTGCTCCCACCACCATCTGCCTTGACTCTGTGCTTTCTACTTTGCTCAAAGTATCTTAAAGGGTAATAATCTTACCTACCTGGAATTCCTTCAGCTTTCTTGGACTTCTGAATCTCTATACCCTCCAGACTCTTTAAATTTTCTCGGCTTTTGTGCAGAGAGAAGGGGCGACGATAAGAACGATAACAACAACGACGACGACGACGACGACGACGACGAAAGAGCTAAGCGAAAAAATACCAGACTTATTGACAACATGGCTGAGACTCAGAGACCACGAAGCGCCATCATTGTTGGTATGTCTCTCTATCTGGAGTTTGAGCTCTTCACTTTAGCCTCAGGATGTATGCTAACTTCTTCCCCACAACAACAGGCGCAGGAGCAGGCGGTATCGCCGTCGCGGCCCGTCTGGCCAAAGCCGGAGTAGACGTCACAGTCCTCGAAAAGAACGACTTCACAGGAGGCCGCTGCAGTCTCATCCACACAAAAGCTGGCTACCGCTTCGACCAAGGTCCCTCACTCCTCCTCCTACCGGGGCTCTTCCGCGAGACCTTCGAAGACCTAGGCACCACTCTCGAGCAGGAAGGAGTCGAGCTCCTCCAATGTTTCCCCAACTACAACATCTGGTTCTCCGACGGCAAGCGCTTCTCGCCCACCACCGACAACGCCACCATGAAGCTCGAGATAGAAAAGTGGGAAGGCCCCGACGGCTTCCGCCGCTACCTCTCGTGGCTCGCCGAGGGCCACCAACACTACGAGACCAGCTTGCGACACGTTCTGCACCGCAACTTCAAGTCCATCCTCGAGCTGGCGGACCCCCGCCTTGTCGTCACCTTGCTCATGGCTCTTCACCCCTTCGAGAGCATCTGGCACCGCGCCGGGCGGTACTTTAAGACGGATCGCATGCAGCGCGTCTTCACTTTTGCGACCATGTACATGGGCATGAGCCCGTTCGATGCGCCGGCGACGTACAGTCTGCTTCAATACTCGGAGTTGGCCGAGGGTATCTGGTATCCCCGCGGAGGCTTCCACAAGGTGTTGGATGCTCTGGTGAAAGTTGGAGAGAGGATGGGCGTCAAGTACAGACTCAACACGGGCGTGTCCCAGGTTCTCACGGATGGAGGCAAGAACGGAAAGAAGCCAAAGGCTACGGGTGTCCAGCTTGAAAATGGCGAGGTGCTGAACGCCGATCTGGTGGTGGTCAACGCCGACTTGGTATATACGTACAACAACCTCCTGCCGAAGGAGATCGGGGGCATCAAGAAGTATGCGAACAAACTCAACAACCGCAAGGCGTCGTGCAGTTCTATTTCTTTCTACTGGAGTTTGTCGGGTATGGCACCAGAGTTGGAGACGCACAATATCTTTTTGGCGGAAGAGTACAAGGAGTCCTTTGACGCCATCTTTGAGAGGCAGGCCCTGCCTGATGATCCCAGCTTCGTAAGTTTTACTCTCATTTCGGGTTTTCCCTCTCTCTCCCCCTCTCCCTGTCTGATAAGTCGTCCAACCACCCTTTGACTAACTTCACTTCACCCCTCAAACAGTACATCCACGTCCCCTCCCGCGTTGACCCCTCGGCCGCCCCTCCCAACCGCGACGCCGTGATCGCCCTCGTCCCCGTTGGCCACCTTCTCCAAAATGGCCAACCAGAGCTCGACTGGCCTACTCTCGTCTCCAAAGCCCGTGCCGGCGTTCTGGCCACCATCCAAGCCCGTACTGGCCTGTCCCTGTCCCCCCTTATCACCGAAGAGATCGTCAACACCCCTTACACCTGGGAGACCAAGTTCAACCTCAGCAAGGGCGCCATCCTCGGTCTGGCACACGACTTCTTCAACGTGCTGGCCTTCCGCCCGCGCACCAAAGCCCAAGGGATGGATAACGCGTACTTTGTCGGTGCTAGCACCCATCCAGGAACCGGCGTGCCGATTGTCCTTGCAGGGGCCAAGATCACTGCCGAGCAGATTCTTGAGGAGACGTTCCCTAGGAACACAAAGGTGCCGTGGACGACGAATGAGGAGAGGAACAGTGAGCGGATGAGGAAGGAGATGGATGAGAGGATTACGGAGGAGGGGATTATTATGAGGAGTAACAGTAGTAAGCCGGGCAGGAGGGGGAGTGATGCTTTTGAGGGCGCCATGGAGGTGGTTAACCTCTTGTCGCAGAGGGCGTTCCCTTTGTTGGTGGCGTTGATGGGGGTGCTGTATTTCCTGTTATTTGTGAGGTAGGGTTCTGTTGGCTTGACGGGTTTCACTTTATGCTGAGCGGGCGATTCATGTTTCTTTAGGCCTTGGTTCTAGTCTAGATGATTTCCTTGAGTAGGTATAGTTCGATTGGGTATCAACGATTTCGTAGATAAATTCTTGGGAATATATAGCTGTTTTGTTTCTATGTCGATGACAACAGGGTGAATTACAGCTTGGAAAGTATCTTTTTTCTCACCGATATATGCTTAGTCACCCCCATCTGCCTAGATGCCGTCTTGCCACTGAGTTCTGCGGTCCTTTTTTCTCTTTTTTGTTTTTTTCTTTTTTCAAAGAGGTTAGTACCAAAGCGCAACTTGCGTCATCAACAATGCCATGGTATCGTTGAAGGTGTATATGGTAAAACAGCACAGTCCGTGTTGTCAGGAATAAAAGTACCTGCTAGACAAGCAACTTGTGATGTATGCAACAATGATTAGACTCTCTTCTTCTCTCCATCTATAGCCACCCATCCTCCTGCCCCGAATCATGCAAATTCCCATTCTTAATGCCCATTGCTCATCGCCCATCCAACTAACCAAACCTCTTTCGAAAGGTGGTTTATTACAGAAGTGCAACTAGTAAGTATCGTACCGCAACCTAAGCAGAACCAAACCATAGCCGCTCTTTATCTTTCTAAACTAAGCACAGTAAAGGGACGGAGCATACCCTGGACAAAGACGAGAGTCAATTAAAGGTCCTCTCTTCGCCGTCCGAACCAAGGCTGATAAGACAAAACGTTGATCCTCCCACTATTCATCCAACACTCTCCACAATATCGCACCTCCTCTGCGTCCTATACAGGCCTCAGCTAGAGCGTGTATACATAATCAGTCATCATCATCGAAGATCTGATATGTATTCTGCAAAATGGTATCCACCACGCGAACCTGCCACCCGGCATCCGCAATGTTCGCGCCAGGACCCGCAGTACCCATCAGCGTCGGCCCAAAGACGATGGCCAGGTTCTGCGAGCTCATCCGGTTAACGCTCGAGTTGTTGATGACGCGGTGCAGGTGCAGAGTCAAGGCGCGGAGGGTGGCGTAGTTGGGATCAGGAAGGCTGTTGATGATGGCGTGGAGGGAATCACGGCGTATGACTTCGTCTTCGTTTTCTGTCGAGGGAGATGTCGTTAGTTTGATGTAACCTTGGTAGCTGGAAGGGTAATAGGGGTGCTTACTGGCTGCCTCGATAAACGACGCGTAGTGCTCCTTGGTCAACAACGGGTCGGGAAGATCGCGGAAGAATTGCTTCAACAGGCCAGCTACACTGTTGACATCGTGGAAGAAGTTCTCGGGGTTGCGGAAGTCAAGATTGCTGGAGCCAGAATCTGCAAGCTTCTGGTTAGCCTTGGTTCAACGTCAGAAATAGTGTTAGGCTATAACCCTTACCCGTGTCAAAGAGAGTCTTGAGCTTGTTCACATGAGGTACGGAGCCAGAAAGTCGATAGATGCCTTCGAGGCCAAGGCCGAAGAGATCCACAGCCTGGATGCATTGGTAAACAACCATAGGAACAGCCAGCCCATCTCGCTCGTATAACTTGGACAACGACACGCCAAAGACTGGCCGCGTAGGCTGAGCCATTGGCGGCGTCGACTGTCTTCCCTGTACAGGACCGGAAGGATATGCCTGTTGGGTTGGACTTGCTAGCGGCGCCGGGGGTTGTTGAGGAGGTTGACTAGATGGCGGCTGTTGGGGTGGTTGTGGTGGTGGCGGCTGAGATGGTTGTTGCGGTGGTTGTTGGGTTGTAGATGGTGGTGATTGAGGCTGGGAGTATTGGAATGGCAGCGCTCCCAGTTGCGGAGGACCCGAGGACGAGATCGATCCAATGGCGCCATTATACCTGGAGCTTGCGGCCTGGGCCTGTTGGGTTGCCGCACTCCGAGAATCGCCGTACTGAGGGTTGAAAGGGGTGCTAATCTGATTAAGGATGTTCCCATGGCTGAAGCTACGTTCGTGCGAAGGCTGTGATTCGGACTGTTGGCTAGCTGAGATAATCGGGATCGAGGAAGAGCTTTGGCCATAGTGATGACCCAGAGGCGCAGTGGGAGTATCGTTCAAAGGCCCCGTTCTCGAATTCATTGACCCCTGTTCTCGGGAATGCGAGGGTGCCTGTTGACTGCCACCCGGTGGTACATATGGAGTTGTAGTAGTGCGATTTGCCGGATCCAGGAGCTAGCAGGGGGTTAGCCTTGATGACCATGGCATGTTCACGAGATTTATACGACTTACAGCGTTCTTTTCATATTTGGGCTCCCCTGTCCTCGGAGGAAGTCGCGGATACTGGCTAAGGAGATACTCATCCAGGTCTTTGTCATTGTTGATCGCCTGTACACACTCGCGCAAACTGCGTGCTTCTGGACCATGTTTCAGAGGGCTAACACTCAAGCCGTTACTGAGCAAGAGCTTCTCGTTAAAGGACGCTACCGGTTTCATCATTAGCCTCGAGCCTTGGGGAGAGAATGACTAGCACAGCACTTACCGAACTTTTGCATTTGCAAGACAACGCCTGCGTCACATTCTCTGACAATCTCCTGAAGAGCTTTGATGGTATCCGGCCGTATCTTGTTGATCAGCTCTCCACGTTCTGTCTGTACCGTGTTGACCTTGGCCTGGTAATCCTGATCCGCGGCCTGGGCCTTGCGTAAGAGGTCTTCTTCATGCTGAGCAGCTGACTTGGGACCCTTGAAACCGAACATTTTGCCTTTTTGCTGACCAGTGGTGTCGCCGGTGCGGGCTCGGTCGTATTCCTCGGCTAAGGCATCGTACTTGGCCTTGGACTTGCGCATAGCGGCCTCGAGGTCGGCCACTCGTTGCTCGGCTGTCAGTCCGCTTTGCTTCCATCCTTTCCTGGATTTCTCGGCAATCCCTGCAAGCTCCAATAGGTCCTCGTGCATCTGGTGGAGGGACATGGCGAACTGGGTCCCGTTTTCGGCCATGCGCTCGTGGATCGTCATCATGTCTTCATAGGCTTTGGCAAATGTTCCGCCCCTGTGTTCCGAGCGGGATGAGCTCTCGTGGGATGCTTTGCAGAGTTTTCTGAGGCCGTTCGCATGTTCGTCCTCGAGTACCGAGCGCTTTTTCAGAAAGGTCGCGAATTCCTATATGAAACCCTTGAATTAGACTGCTGTGTCTACCCGGATTGGTAGGTAAGGGTTTTTTTGCAGGATATGGCCGTCGTAGTCGGTAGTCGAGGGATTCGCACCTTTGCGGACGCAATGCTCTGTTTCAATCGGTTGAGCATCGTCGCGATGCCAATCTGTTTTCGGAAAACTACGGGTTAGAGACTGGATCGGCGTCAAGATAAGTGACTCGTCCGGTCTGAACGGACCTCTGAAGAAAGCACATCTTGAACATGCGACTTGGTCTCGTCGTTAGGTGTTGGTGCTGTAGGCGGCGCAGGCGCTGCTGCTATCACCGGGCTGCCACTGTCTGGTGTCGGTGAAGTTGCTGGCGCAGAAGCATCTCCTAGAGACATTGCGAATATGTTGTCGCCCTCACAGGCAACTCGGGGTGTGTTGCGTCGACGGGCACAGATTCGGTGGTAGTGGGAGTGGCGTGTCTTTGTCGCGGAGGCGCCAAAATGCTAAGTAACCAGCAAATAAACTTTTCTTTTATGTTATACGAGATGCAAAAGTTTCGCGCGTTCAGGGTCGGGGTCGTGGAGGTGGTCTTTCAGTTGGTCAGGAGGAGTAGGGTACGGAGGGGGGATCATGAGCGCGCGGGTTAAGCCAAGATGCCGTCGTTGACCCGACGGTTGAAGGGTGTTGGGGATGGGGTCGAGTGGAACGGGAATGGATCCCCATGGGTGGGATGGGGCTTGTGCACCGCTGCACCTCATTTAATTCTCCAGAATCCACAATGGAACCACTTCCAGGCTAGGCGGCAGGGACCAGGACCGCCAGAGCTGCAGGTGCACTGGTGCACTGTCGAGCTGTGTTGCTGCTTCATCCTCAGTGGGCTCCACTACCATCAATGACGCCCCACCTCGTGTGCCGTGTTGAACGTTGAACGTCCATCATGCCGCTGACTGCTATGGAAGATGGAGGCCCTCTTGGCCCAAGCTTCCATTTCAACCCTTCAACTCCCAGGTGTGCTACACCCAAATTGCTCCCTCTTGTTGGTAACCAACACTGCGAATTTCCATGTTCCATTTCTGTCGAGCCGCCAACCCGACACGATAACCTTCGACTAAGCTATATCAGCACATGCTCGACAAAAACATCCTGTTGATGCGCATCTGTCTTTTTCAAGTTATGGGTCAGTAGCGAGGGATCTGCGTCCCTGGCCCTTCATCCAACGGCACCTTATCACGACGGACGGAAAAGAAAGACAATGGAAGCGAAATCGGACACCATCCTTTGATACATGGAGGTACCCCAAAGGGCAGCAACGCATAAGGTTGTGCGGTTTCAGCATGCTTTGTACCTACCAACATGGCGCTTGGGTCAATGCCTGCCTGAGCGCGACGGGAGAAAGGCCCGAGTGATGGGCGGACCAACGATCTTCTCGAATCGACGAACGGCAGACCATCCACACACCCGGAGGTCTTACCATACAACTTAAGGGCTTACTTTCTGGTATCCTTGGCGGCGATCAATCCTCTCCCCCTCCTCGGCGAAATGTGCTTCGAAATCATATCCGCCCCATCATCCCTTGCTTTACGACGATATCCGTCCCATCGAGGGCCATTTGGCGTATCCTTGTCCTTGGCGTCGAGAAGACGGTCAGCCTCACATCGACTGGTCTCCCGTAACATGGCTACCTCGAGAGCTATATGGCAACCCTACTAGCCCAGCTCCTGGAAATCCATCGAAACCAGCAGTTTTGAAAAGCTCCCAAGGTTCATGGATCGAATTTCCTCTGCAGCTCGAATTCAGTATCTAAAACATCATAACTCGGTCTCGTCTTTCCCGCCTCCTTCTGTTCCACAACGTCAAAACAGGCAAGTCCTATGACGATAGTGTTCGTGCGCATCGTCTAGCTAAGACTCCTATGTCTGTAAAAGACCGTGGATGGGTATTTCACTGCATCGTTAGGCAAAAGCAATCCAAGACAAGGCCTTTGCCATGCCCATACACCAGATGTTGGGGGTGCCGACAGTTCGACGAAAGCTTCTCCCGCCAATCAACAAGACGGGCTGCTGCATCAAGCATGCTTCCCTGGACGGTCAACACGCGATGGCGGGTACATGCATTCGTTCGATTCCCATAGACGAGACCACAGGACGGATCAGACTTTCCGGTGTGTCTCGCACTTTAACCGCACGACACCGGACGAGATATGGAAGAGAGAGAAGAAGAGCACGAAGGTTAAATTTTAAAACTTTTGGCTCCTGACTTTAGCTTGCATCAACGCTCCACACCAAGGTCACCCATGAGAATTCCACAAAGAAACCCAATACATAGGTGCATGACTTTATACTTTTATAACAGCAACCCAAAAATGATTAAATTTTTGTTCCCAAACCCATAAAGCAGCCCGCTTAACCTTAGATGAGACCCTTAAATATGGCAGCCTCAGCGTTGAGGATAGAGGAGCCAGCAGCTCCAATAACAGCTACAGAGAGGTATTAGCGCGAAACTTGAAGAGGCGTTCGAGGCATAAGGCGACTTACTGTTGTGGCTCAGGGCAACAAACTTGATATCGAAGATACCACTCTCGTCCTCTCTAACGCGGCCAACGCTGACAGTGTATCCCTTGCAGAGATCACGGTCAAGACGGGGCTGGGGCCTGTCTGCCTCGTCAAAGACCTTGATAGGGGGCTCGGGGGCCGAGGGGCATCCCAGCTTCTGAGCATCAGAAACATAGCTGCGCATGGCCTCCTTGACCTCCTCGGCGGACGGGGGCGGGCGCTGGGCGAAGCGCAGCGACACGCAGGCGGTGTGGCCGTCCAAGACAGGAACACGGTTGCAGGCTGCCGACACCCGGAGCTCCTTCTGGTCCTCAAAGGCAGTGGCGTCGGCGTTGAGAGAACCCAGGATCTTCTGGGCCTCGGTCTCGAGCTTGTCCTCCTCGCCCGAAATGAAGGGCACAACATTGTCAATGATGTCCATGCTGCTGACGCCGGGGTATCCAGCACCCGAGACAGCCTGCATGGTGACGACGGATACAGTATCGATCTTGCCGAAGCGCGCCTGGAGGGCGGCAAAGGGGGCGACGAGGCCAATGACGGCGCAGTTGCTGTTGCATACCAGGAAGCCCTTATCGAGGCCGAGGGTCTTGCGCTGGTGGGGGATCAGGTCGAGATGGTGGAGGTTGACGGTCGGGACGACGAGGGGCACGAGGGGGTCGCGTCTGTAGTTCTTTGCATTGGAGAAGACGGCAATGTTGGCGTGCTGGAACTCCTTCTCGACGTCGCCGGCAACATCGCTGTCGAGACCGCTGAAGACGATGTCGCAGTCGGCGAATTCGCTGGCCTTGCAGTCGCGGACGACTAGGTCACCGAACTCGGCAGAGATGGGGGTGGATTGCTTCCAGCGGACGGCATCGCGGTACTTCTTGCCAGCGGAGCGGGAGGAGGCGCCGACGGCGACAAGCTTCAGGACAGGATGATTCTGGAGCAACAGGATGAAGCGCTGGCCGACAGAGCCAGTGCAGCCCAAGACACCTACGGGACGTCATAGGAACGGTTAGTGCTCGGGCCGGCATAATGTTGTTTCGTGTGCGTGTTGATTGGAGAAGCAGCATGGATCCGTCTGGTCTGGAGACGGGGACACATGCTGAACACATGCTGCAGTGTCCCCTCTCAAGGAAGGGACCTTAAAAGGGTGAGGTGTCGCAGAGACTCACCAACGTTTCTGGTAGGAAATTGAGACATGATGACGATCTGGGCTGGGAACTAAACAATATGATTCAACGAAGAGAATGGAATGGATCAAGCAACCAGAACAGGAAAGATGTTGGGCAGGATTATGGTTCAGATAGGAAGGTGAGTCAATGGCGCTCTTTCTTCCCAGACAGCGGCGGGATCTGCTCCGCAACTTTTTTCTCTCTTGCCTCTCACAGATGAGTCGCCATCGGCTCGGCGCCCCGCCACAGGGTTCCTCTCCTACACTCCGGCGATCGGAGCTGTGATGCACTCGTGTGGGTGTGGGGCCAAGCACGGGAGCCCCAAGCGTGGAACTTGGGGGACTTCCACTTGTCCAGCACTGTTTCAGGGACAGGAACGGGGCCAAGCAGCGTCCGTGTCCATCAGGGTCGAGTGGTCGCAAGACAGGGTGTTCCCAGGGCCGCGTGTTAGCTCCAACGTACCTAGGAGGGTTGCGATCAGCGGCCTGGTCCGACTTTGGAGCATTGCCTGGTGGAGGCGACCCTGTCCCACTCCGGGGAGAAGTGTACTTCCAGCCCAGGGAGTACCTCTTCTCTGTACAGTAGTGTAGCAGGACGGTACGGTACGCGGTACGTAGAGGTACATCTCGCCAGGCCGTAGGGCTGGAACCCGTCCACATACTCCATTTTGACAGGTCACGGACTGCCGTTCCGTTCTGTTCCCTCACCACCTTTTTACCACTGCAGCCAAACACACGCTCTCAACATTCGTCATGATGCGATTCAGGAGCATCGAGTCGCACCTGACATCGTTTGTACAGTGCGCGGCACATATAGCTTCACCACAGCAAGAACTTCTTCTGGACTTCTCGCTTTCTGGAAAGTGTGCTGCATCTGTTCGACGTTGCACACAAGGCTTGGCCGTTACGTACCACGACCGGCTTTAACACGACATGTTTTATAGGTGAGCAGCGCTCCCCACAATAGAAACGACGGGATAAAGAAGCACAACATCAACGTCCCCCGTCGTGATCAATACCCAACTGCGCTTGGGGAAGAGCTTTGCGCAGGCGATTCCTTGTGATCGTACGACAGCGTCAACAGTCCCCGCCTATTGTCAAGCTCTTCTTCCCTCACGAGCCGCTTGTCAGCGTCCGCTCCAAATCCAGCATAGCGCCCGGAGCCAACAATCGTATTCTGCTGGCTTACCAGAGGTGCATAAGGAAGAACATCATATGACCTGGATATGCATGGGGTAGTATATGCCCCATGAGGTTGGCTTCGAACTGGGCCCAGATAATATCTCCCCCGCCACAATACGTACGGGATCCCGCATGCTCGTCACCCAGCCCTACGTACTCTATCTTTTGCTCAGTCGAGCGGTGAGCAACCCGACTGAGAGCTCAAAAGAAATACGACGGCTGCCTTACCGGGCCATCACCCTTGGATAAACATGTACTGGGCACAATGTCATGTCGCCTTCACTCTACGTCCGAAGCATGAGCATGGGATCCTATCGATGCTCTTTGTTTGTTCAACAGACAAGGGTCACGGAGACTATCTACCATCCCAAAACACCGAGATCCCACCGTCAAGCGGATGGGTACCACCTCGTTATCGCACCATGTCCAGAGATTATGTTCACGATGCTTGTCCCATTGGCAACAGATGCAGTCTTGGCAGTTCCCATTGGATGAAGCCCAGTGACGCAACCCCTTCTGAGATGAAGGGAAGCGGGCGGGCGACAGCTGCCGCTGACATTGTCATGTAACGCGCCTCAACGCCTTGTTAGACCAATGTTGGGAGGATGGCTTGACATGGCGCAAATACTACTATGCAGTAGTGAGCCGCCTGGCTGAAAAAGAGCCAGATGATCTTATCTTTCTCTTCAGCTTTTCCCACCGACTTAACTGTGATATGATCTCGTCGGGGCCCTCTGTCGCCCTCGCTGTTCAGCTTTTCAGCCGCTTCGATTTATCTTGAGCCTTAAGCACTCTGATTGCCTCGGTTGTCGACGACCGTTGATCCATGAAGATCATCTACACTACCCCCCATCCCACTGTTACATTGCCCACACAACAACAGGCCACGAGGGGTCATTTCTAATTTTTTTTTTCCTGATTTGTATCAGGAAATTTGCTTGGACAACTTGACCTTTAAGGTTCTCGGTAAACTGGCATTGAAGACAAGATCTCTACCCAACGTCTTCAGACAACTGGGAAATTATATTGGCCGTCTGTCTTTGTTTCTTCGCCCAGCAACTTCCAGGTTGAACGCCTTTACCTACCAGCGAATGTTGAAGAGAAGCTTACAATTATGGAGAACTCAATGGTAACAGACGACCTCTCTTGGTCAATTGTTGACACTATCAAGCAATCGCCACCCGTCGATGTCAAAGCTCCTTACGACACCAAGTCCCTCGCCGGCAAAACCATCCTGATCACCGGCGGGGCATCCGGTTTCGGTGCCGCTTTCGCCCGCAAATGGGCCCAACACGGCTCCCATATCATCATCGGCGACGTGAATGACTCGGCCGGCGAGGACCTCATCGCCGAGCTCCGCTCCCTCCGCGGGTCCTCCAAGCACCACTACTACCAGCACTGCGACGTGACCAAATGGGAAGACCAAGTCTCCCTCTTCAAGATGGCCGCCCGCGCTAGTCCCACCCGCGGGATCGACGCCGTCGTAGCCAGTGCCGGAATCAGCGAGCATGGGGACGTAGCTTCCGGCGCCCCGGGCGTCTTCGACAACCCCTCCGATCTGGATTCCGATTCCCTCCCTCCCCCGCCACCGCCCTTAAACGTCCTCAATGTCAACCTGACAGGCGTCATGTACACTACCCACCTCGCTCTCTTCTGGCTTCCCCGCAACGGCGGCGTCTCCCGCCTCGATCTCCTAGATGACACCACTGCTGCTGACGATGGCCGACCGATTCGTGACCGCCACCTCCTTCTCGTCTCCTCCATCGCCGGCCTTGCACCCCTCCCTGGCCAAACGGAGTACACTGCCTCCAAGCACGGGGTGCTCGGTCTCTTTCGCTCGCTAAGGGCGACCTCCTGGACGAAGGGGATCCGATGCAACGTGCTTTGTCCGTACTTTGTCGATACCCCCATCGTTCCCTGGCGCGCCCTGGCGCTGTTGGCGGGTGGGCCGAAGGCGGAGATTGAGGATGTGGTGGATGCGGCGACGAGGTTGATGGCTGACGAGGAGGTGGTGGGGAGGGGGTTGCTTATTGGGGGGAGGCAGCGGGTCGTGGGGGGGAAGTTGGTGGTTGTTGATGCTGAATATGCTGAGGGCGAGGGAGGAGATGGGGATGAGGATAGGGGAATTAGGAATTCGCCTAGTGCTGTGTGGGAGGTGCATGCGCATGATTATGAGATGGTGGAGGTTTTCGTTTATAGGTTTGTCAAAGTTTTGAACATGGTGAGGACGATCAGGGGGTGGGTTGAAACGCTAAAAGATCTGTGGGCAATTTATTTGAGTCGGGGGAGAGGTGGAGGAAGGGCGGCGAAGGCGAAGGCAAAGAATGCAGTGTTGTAGGGGAAGTGAAGTTTGGTCAGGGTGATCCTTATGCTATGGCTTTCATGACCGACGGCGGCGGCATTTGAGACAGTTCTTTGAGTGGATGTGGTTCGTGGAGAGGTCTACTTTAGTCTCTTGGTTTACGGGGCTTCAGGGTTCACAGTCTTTATTTATGCAAAGAAAAAGAGAAGAAAACAAAAAGGCCGGAAATTTAAAGAAAAACCTGACGAACAGACAGATGAACGGACGGACAAATCAAACAGGATGAGCGGGAACAAGGAGCACCATTTTTGAATTATCCCTCTAACAAACAGATTTTGAAGTCTATAACGCATTATTTGTTCAGCCAGCCAGGTGCTAATTATACATAACACGAGTCCTTGGAAATAAAAATGCGTGACATGGGAAACAGATATGAAATGAATGATATCAATTGGGGTAGGTAATGAGCTTATAGGAAAGGCGCTCTCGTTGAAGGAATCGGGAGGAATGCACACCTCAGTGGAAGCTCAATGAAATTTCAAGTGTCGTGAAATTAACAGTCAGGACATCAAGTCAACTAAATATTGAACGTCACCCCTTTAGTTCCATATGTCTTGGAATTAATCACTGTAGCCATTGGTGACAAAGATCCCGACCTCAACGTCTTTTCCCTACGGATACAAGAACATTACAGACATTCTGCGCGCAACACACTACTTCGTTAGCACATTGTCCTTCATCGATGAATTAAAACGTGCCCGGCAGCTGTAGTCAGGGACAGTTGACGTCATTATTTGCCAAGTCGAAAATTCCGCCATGACAGACATCAAGTTTGGTAATATCCGAATAACGTCAATTAACACACTTCAACAGAGCCAAGAAAAAAAAAATGCTGATATGACATGACGGCTCTCCCATTCACGCTTCTGATGGATTGAATCGCAGTCATTGCAGGCCTCCAAAAGACTCTGGCTTCGTCCCTCATCTGCTGCCCATCTCTCACTCTTGCTGTTTTGAAATGCGCATTTCTGGAAGTAATGGTTGCACATCAGACGAGGCAAAGGGAACCATGAGTTACATGAGAAAAGTAAGCAGCAAAAAGAAATAGAATATCTAGTATAGAGTGTGGTCCCTTTCATCCTGGGGAACATGAACTCCACCACCATATGCCAACGTCATGCCTTCCACAAAGGTTTTGTCGGGGTTTGTTTCGGTTCGGTGGTACCCGGCTGGGGTTGCTCGTGGTTTTTCATGTTGTTCGCGGTGTCATACCGAGAAGATAAGCAGATGTGTTTGTCGTTGTCGGATGAATGGAAGATTTGTCGCAACTCGTTCAAAGAAGCGATGAAGAAGGGGTATAAATATAACATGGCGCCAAGAGGATATAATCCTAACCAAAACGAATGCCCACGACAAGACAGTTCATGCAAGAATGCAAAAGAAAAAAGAAAACAAAAACATTTTCCTGTTTAAAGTGTATAAAGTTGGTATCATTTCATCCCATATCCCCCAAGTCTTTTGCCGTTAACCCCAGAGATGTATTTAGCACGGTTTGAGATGCGTACCCCGAATATGTATGTATAGTCCTCTGCCATATAATGTCAAACGATCCGGGGTTGAATTCCTTTCGCCGCGTGTGAGGGCTGCCGTAGATACACAAAGGTGGTTGGACTGATTGTTTGGAAAGACTGCACCACTGTGTGTATATTCTCTTGCACCGCAAGCCGCCTGCATGAATGCCAGTGTGGTTGTATGTGTTGCGATACACCACAAGTCAAATAACAATAACTCCTACGGACCTCTTGAGTCCAAGTCGCCCATGCTTATTTCTCTCCCTTGGATGCTGATGATAAACCGATCGTGACGCCGAAGGCCGATGCCAATCCCTAGACTCCACGCACGCTGGTGTGGCCACGAAAACAGCTCTTGAACCATGGTCGAAGGCCATTAGACGCTCGCCCTGAACAAAAGCCAAAAAGGAGACCGGGGAAGCACAAGGGGAATTCTGGGAAATAAGAATCCTCTACGACTCCAACGTGTTGGGTGAAACGCAAAATAAAAGGAAAAAAAAGAAAAAACAACGACGTTAAATTAAGAGGGAAATCGTGTCCATGTCGAAAAACACCATTCATGTGTCCGCACGCACCATGCGCCAATGCATGCCATGTCGAAGATGCCAGCCGTATGCAAGCCGTAACCACTGTGCCTCAAACATCGCCTACCAGCTCCAATCAACACCCCATGTCCATGTCGTCTTTCTTGTCCAATTGATCGGCGCGAGGCAAAGAAGAAAAGATGTGTAAGTGCAGTAAGAATCCAAAACGTGAAATATCCCTTTCTTGAAAATACGCAGAAGAACATGGACAACAAATCGGAATTAACGAAGAGATCCGAAAATGCCATTCGGAGGGTAAGGGCGCCCGGTTCGTATACGTATTATCATCTTCCCATCATGTAAGCCGGAAATTGCGCCTGAGAGTTGCCGTTCAGCTGCGAAGAGCCGTTGAAGCTCGAAACCCAAGGGCTCTGAGTTGTGGGGAACGGGGGCGGGGTATACGGATTGTGTCCGTTGTTCAGCATGTTAGGTGACCCCGAGTACAGCAACCTGTTCATGCCCAAACCAGGAGGGGCAGACAAGCCCGGAGGAGGTCCATTTGCGGTTGTGAAGCCAGTGCTGGGACCGTGGGGGAAACCGTTCATGCCATTCATAGGCCCAGGGCCATTCTGGCCAGGCGCCTGACCCGTGCGGACTCCCAAGGGATTCTTTGAGAAACTCAGTCGCATGCCGCCCTTCCTGCTGTTGCTGAGTGTATGACCATAGAGCTCGTTTAGGGCCTTGGTGGCAAAAGAGACATCCTCGAACTCAACAAAGCACATGGGTCCATTGTGCTTAGTCCTGTAACAAAGGCGCTTGTATCCCCGCACCTTGGAAAAAACGGCCTTGAGCTCTTCCTCGGAGGTGTCAATGGGCAGATTTCCGACATAGAGAGTATTGCAAGGAGGGTTCATGTCCGCAGGGTTCGCAGGTGGGTGTTGCCGATACGGCTGAGCATGGGGCATCATTGGGACGGGCCCGCCCATCATGTTGGTAGGCGACATGGTAGCAGAGTGCGCTCCCATGGCCCCCATGCTTGACTGGGAATAGTGCGACATTGATTGCGGCATAGTCGTGGGAACCGATGTGTTTAGCGACAAGTTTGCCATACGCGTGATGGGAAGCTGAGATGAGGTGGAGCGACGTTGCTGAGGGCCGCCTTCAGCAAAGCCGCCAATCTCCTTGAGAATTTCGCCCGTTTCGTCATCATCTGCGGAGTCGTTGTTGATCAAGGTCTTGCCAGTCGCGCGACTACCATCTGTGAGATAGTTTCCAATAGGCGATTGAGCCGAGAACAGGTTCTGGTAGTGCGCAGTGGCTTCGGGGCTGCCCAACTCGGTGGATCCGTACGCAGTATTAAGGGGCGGCGACATTCGGTCAAGAGATTGGAATGTGCCATTGAAGCGCGACACTTGTCTCGAGGAGGGCGCCGTCAGCGCTGTGGGCGAAGTGACTGCCGATGTCGCAGCGGAGACGGATGTGTCAATCGAAAATCTGGCGCTCGAGGCAGCGGAATCGGACTGAATGATCTCAACAATCATTTCGGCGTCGTTGGTCATGTTTGTCTTGCCATTCAGGAGTTGCCTTGTCTCTTGCGCGCCCTCCAAGGTTTTGAATGTGAGAATTGCGGTACGGAAACCAGCATCGTCCGACATGTCGGCGGGCAGTAGTTCAGCTTTGACGAGATCCTTGGAGAGGGCCATCATGAGGCGCAGCTGGTCTTCGGTGAAATTGGCGGGCAACTTGCGAATGCGGGCGACAGAATAGGTTGGGGAGGGCGTCGTGGCAAACGGGGTTCCGACAGACTTGGCAGCTTCGCGATCGAAGGGCTTGCCAGGTGTGTAGTAGCCGACCGGAGAGGTCATGCCTTGTCTACTGTTGAAGGCCTGGGCAGCCTGAGCGGCGGAAGGCCGCGGTAGGTAGGATGGAGCGGCCATTGTGTTGGTTGTCGCAGTGGACGAGAAAGGGCTCGCGCGGTTGGAGGCCAGGGAAGCGAAAGAGTTGGCGTTAACAGTGACGGAGGAGGTTACGCCCGGAGCGTTCACGTTCTGACGATGATCCCCGTTCATGCCTCGCGGTGCGTTTGGTGCATGTACAGGTTGGAGTCGCTACAAATAGAACGGAGTCGGACTGGGGCGACGATCGGACGTGATTGATCGAACGGGCGACGAGCCGTCGGCAGGTTGGCAGTGGAGGAATTGGGTTTCGCAGAGTGGATGCGACGGCGATTTTGTGGAGAGTAGGATACCTGGCTACGTCGAGCGTGTCAGGTACCGTGCTGGAATCCAGTTCGTACGCACGCGTACACCACCCTCTTAAAATATGTGTGTGTGCTGTGACTCGCTCGCTTGAGAGATTGAAGGAAGTGCTAGGTGCTAGGTATTTGCGTGCAGTGTTCGTTCGGCAGCAGGGGGGGCCGGGATAGGTGGGCAGTAAGGATGAGGACAGGACAAAGAGGCGACGGGGCCAGGCCTGGGGTGGAATCAAGCATACCTGTAGGTTATTTACCAAGACGCGACAGGATACCCAGCCAAGGTGAGAGCTTTGTGTGAGGGTTCGTTGTTATGATAGTGACGATGAGGGGTGCGCAGTTGTCTGCTTATTGCTCGCTCTTGTATGGTATTGGGCGGTAGTAACTGTGCTTGTGGTTGCTCGGTGGCAGCTCGTTTCTCGTTGTGCTGAATGGAGGAAACGAATGTTGCCTCTGATGCCTGCGTTTGCAAAAAGGTACGAGGTAGCGAGGTAATGTGCAAAGCAACAGGAATACGGCAGTTTGCTGGAGGACTAGGTGGTGAATGAGTGGGTGTAAGTGTGCAGATGGTGGAGGGAGGAACAAAACAAAAAAAAAAAAAAAGTTGGCCTGGGGTTGGAGGAGAAGGAAAGTTCAGAGTCTGGGTGATAGGTGGTGTGGGATGGGGGAGAGCTTTGTGGAGGATGGAGTGACCTGTCGCAAATGGGCAAAGGGGGAGCGAACCATCAGTCGGTTGTGTGTGTGTGCGAGTGCGAGTGCGGGCGCCGACGAGACAGGTCCGGGGGTGAGTGTGGGTGATGTCTGGGTGAGCGTGCCAGAATGGCCGGGATGAGAAGAAAAAGTGGAAGTGCAGGTGAACGAGACGGGACTGGAGGGAAGGGGATGACGGGACTCCAAGAGTGGGCAGGCGCGATCTGGACCTGGACCCAAGGATTTTTCTAGGAGGTGAGCTTTTGGCTTCTGGTGCTACGTACTCTGCACGCGATGCTGATTGGTTTCTTTTGGCGACTGAACGCATCCTGCATTTTTGACTTTTTGGTCTTTCGGGATCCCCACTTGTGACTCGATCGTTCAATGGGAAGCTTCCCAGATTCAGGTTCTGTGTGCTTTTAGCCTTTCGGCCCCCCGCCCGCGGCTTACACTACACTACACCACCAAGTGAAATAATCCGCCAAAAAGGATGGGTTACATGCTGAATTGGAGCGCGCGAGGCTACCAACAGTCACAGCTGATTTTCTTTGTGGTAAACGCGGCGCCCGTGGGCAGCCAAGCGGCCAAAAGCAGCCTCGACCAAAGTGGAAGACACAGTTTGCGTTAGCTACCGGCACTCCTTACAAAGTACCTGAGCTAGGCCGGTTTCAGCACAGCACGAACGCGACTCCAATTCGTACCTGTCGATTGCAGAGAAACAGTGTCGTTCAAGTCCGGGCAAGATTCATCCAGTAACAATCATACGCACGACCAACCCATAAGTTTTATCGAGTGTCACGATGAGCGCGACTTGAGAGCGGAACTTGAGAAGAGACGCGACAACATGGAATAGAATTATATATTACCTCAATCGTAGAGGTACTCATGCTCAAGGTACGCAGGACTCGTGGGCTCGACGTGATATTTTAAATAAGGCAAGCATCCCCGTCACGTCATTGGCTGTTCTTGATACACTAGCGAGTTAGTGCCCGCGTGGTGGAGACATGGGCCATGAGCCAAGGACACGCAGGGCAAGGGGGAGCCTGAGGCCCAGATGGGGGATGGGGCCCGGGGATGGGTGATGGGCTCGGGCGGGTTTCTCGGTCTTCGACTGGCCACCAGTGGCCGCAACAGGGTGGCCTGCAACGCCCAAAGTGTGGTTCCCAGCGATGGCGTGCATGCACAAATGCAGGACGCTGCAGCTCGACGAAGCTCAAAGCGAGGATGTCTGGATGAGTACAAGTTAGCGCGAATATAAGAGGTAGAAACCCGGATGAATACGCCCATTCTCTGTTCAGTGAAAGTGATGAAAGTGGCAGCTGCGGTATTCAGAAGAGTTATCACCGGACTTGGGTAGGCAGATCCGGACAAAGGCGAAATCTTATATAAGCAAATGTTGTTGTCGATGATGGTTTTCGAGGCGATCCCTCGACACGGCACCCCCAATCCCATGGGATTCGGAAGTGGGGCAAACGAATGGGCATTGAGATCGATCCCATCTCCAAATTTGCAGGCTCTTTGACCCGCTTTGTATGAACTTGGGGACCAAGACCTTCCCAACGCTCACTCAGAAGACACCTCCAAACTTTTGAATAAAAAAGATAGAAGGAGAATGAACGGAGGCCTCTAGTTAGACCACGGCATAATGGAACGCTGATGGTGGAACAGTGTTATTGCACTCTTCCGGACGCAATGCAGTGCCTGGCGAGAACGAGAAGCGACGAAACTCCAGCGTGACATCGGGGCGTCGCGGTACAACTGGGCAGGGAGCCTCGGGTGGTATGTGATACCGTGATGAGGATATGCCCTGAAGAGGTCGAAAAGGACTGAACATGTTGGCGGCAGCGGTCCAGCGCCATGCAGCAGGAACCTTGTC